TTTTTTTTTTTTTTTTTTTTTTTTTTTTTTTTTTTTTAATGATCACTGTTTACGTGGGTATTACTTTTGGTGTCTGATCGTGCTGATTTCCTTATTGATTATCTTCCTCTCTTTCTAGGCTGCTTACCTTCGCTCTATTGCTTTCTTCTTCTTCTTCTTCTTTTCTTTTTCTCTTTCTATATTTTCTTGCTTTTGGCTTGATCCCGGAACTCTTCCTGTCATTCTCCTTTCGACTGAGCAAAGAAAAACTCCCCATGCCGGATCGCCTCTACACGAACGTTTGATCTTTCCAATTGTACTGAGTCTGGTCATGTCGTGTCACGAGAACGCACTACGATCCCGGGTGAGGCTGTTAATGCTCCATTATACCTATACTATTTAAGATTTCGCCTCGGTGGATGAAAGGTCTTATCTACCTACCATCCGTAAGGGGTGGGGCCCTCTCCTGGTCCTTGGTGAGAAGAAGCCTGCGTTGAACACGTTATCCGACATGGAGCCAAATTCATCGCCCGTTGAGTCCTCCCGTGGGAAAACAGATACGGCACACGGCAAATTATTTACAGCGTTTCTGGATCGCAATTTCGCCTCGAACGCGCAGAGCAGTCCCGAGGGTAAGAATGCGACATCCGCTTTGCGACGCGCCCACACGGTGGCCCAGGGAAGGAACGTGGGAGAGAAAGCAAAAGTAGGCTCGAGGACAGCAAGGGAGAGAATAGCAACCTCGTTTCTACGTGTAAAGGACAGCCACGAATTGCTTCGGAAGCGTTCCTCCAAGCGACTCGACGCCCCATCACCTCCACGTGATACACCTGCAGGAGCGAGAGAACCGAACCATTTCACGGTTGCAAATGTTGGCCAGAATGGAAAGATTTTCCTGAGGTATGAGCGTGGATGTAATTCGCCAGGACCCGCACGATGAGTGTCACGGACCGAACAGGAAACTAACTAGTGCTCTCACCCATCAGGCCGATTCGCAACCCGTCTCTTAAGGAATCTTGTCCGCAGCCCTTCGCTCCACCCGCCGACCAATCTAAAGGTGAGCACATCCATTCGCGCCGACGTGATGGTCTTGGGGTGGACGAGCCTTCTCGATGGTCCAACTCGCAGCTCTCTGAGTTGCGCCCGGAACTCATACCTGAAGAAACTTGCGACGGCGATCACTCGATCAAAACCGAATCGACGCAATCTGCGCAGTATCCATCTCTCCGTCACCCGCGCCTGAGAGCACACTCTTTTTCAACAATATCAGAACAGGGATCAACCTTTCGTGCAGGAGCCAACGGGGAATTCCGCATCTTCATTGATCGATCGGACGACCGACCTAAGTCTGCAGATGGGTCTTTACGCCCAACTCTGGGAACCTCGATTCCTCATTACAGCGTGGACTTTCCCCATTATAGTGCTCAAGGAAGCACCCCTCTATATAGGTCCATCTACTCGAGAACCTCATTGTCTGACAATTTTCTCTCCGCGCGCATCTTGAGTGAAGACTTAAGCACGGGCCCTATTTCTGATGTTTATCTCGGCCAACCAGACAGGCCGTCATTTGCTGCCTCGATGTTCTCAGGAACGCCTGCCATAGAGCTCACGCGAGGCTCTACTGCCACCGATAAACCTGTTCTGTACGAGCTAAAGGGGCCTATTGAACCATCCATTTTTGAAAAGCTGGCTCTAGAGATGGACAATGACAGAGTAGTTCGGTATGCCCCTGGTACCAAGGATATCAGCGCTGCTACTCCAGCGCGCATCGTGGCGCAGATATCATCCGAATCTTTTATGGATTATGAATTGGTTTCCGATTTCTTTCTCACCTTCCGGTCCTATCTCTCCACCGACACTCTCCTTGCCCTTCTGCTCGCGCGATTACAATGGGCGATCAATCGCCTGCAAGACGATGGGAGAATCATCCGTATTCGCACATTTGCAGCTCTCCGTCATTGGATATTGAATTACTTTGTTGATGACTTTATTCCGAACTATGGCCTTCGAACTCGCTTCTGTGAGACAATCAATCGTATGTATGATAATGTCAAAGCCCGAGAAGGTGGCGGTACGAGCGATCTAAAAATCCTCATCGATCTCAAACGATGCTGGTATGGGAGATGTTCTGTCTACTGGGATTTTCAGGACCAACACATCGCATACCATACCCCAGATTACCCTATTGTGCCAGGTGGTGATGAGCAGCCAGCGACAGGGTGTGGTGAGAGCCACCTTAGGAGGGTCCGTACCATAAGCACCCAGGAGGGCGACCGTCGAGCTCGGCCACCACATGTGCGGAATGATTCCTCAGCCACAGCAAAGAGTATGCCGGTCTCAGTGGACAGTGACGGGAGCGTTCACGTAACTTCCTGTTCGCTACCTCCTAAATCTCCCAAACGCCTCTCTATGTCCATCATCGACACCAAAGCTCCTCACCCAGTACCCCTTGTGCCTCTAAAACCAGTGGGTTCGCTGCAGGAACCCCTTACTTCTTCTCCAGTCACTTCAAAGCGTATTCCATTCCATAGCCATGCGCATAAACGAAGTGGTAGCTTCTCTGACTCTGCGCGAGACGGCAGAGCGCCACCATCCTTGCTCAAGCTTGATATTCAAGGCTCCGTTTCTACCCAGGAAGCACTGAACCTTGGTAGTTTAATACGCGGTGAGCTTTATGCTCCAGTCGAGTCATATATGACAATGATGGCGCCGCCATCTCCCCCTCTACCAGCGTCTTCTGGTACCGACCAACGCAGCCAGCCAGAAGATATGTCCAAGCCTGCTGCATCAGGTTCTGGCGTTAAAACAATTATAGGGTCGATACGCCGCGCACTAAATAGTAGGAACGGGGGCCAAAGCACCTCTTTGCGCAACACGAATGGGCCTTTCGCTCCTGCAACACAAGGGAAAACGTCAGCTCTGCCAACAAATATCGCCTTTGGCTCTGATTCTTACCGCGACAGAATAACAGCGACGGCGGCCAAGAAACCGACGAGAATTGACGTCCTGTGTGATAAATCGTTGCAACAGTATCACCGCACTCTCGCGGGATATGCCGATACTAAAGAAGGTAGCCCGGCCCAGGAGGTGGACACTTCACGGGTTAGACAATCCTGGCTCGCACCTGGTTCAGATATCGAAGAAGCGGATAGTAGGGTTTTGCTGCCCGATCGAGGACGGTTCAAAAGCCAGTTAACGGGGGGGAGTAAATCCATTGTCATCGTTGATGATACTGGCTTAAGAGGCCCCGTCATGTCAGGGGCAATCGGTCTCGAGCAACCTCCTGGCTTTCTGAACAGGGAGAATCTACCCACTACCCCAAGAGCTGGTTCCTTCTATCCTCAATCTCAAAGAACAACCCTTGCCGGTGGTGAATACTCGTTGCCAATATATTTTGACGACACAGATTCGAGATCACTGGGCAGAGACTCTCAGTTTTTGCGCCCACCTCGCCTCTTTGCATCACAAAGGTCCAGTTCTGTAGGACGTGGGTCATCTTCATGGAAGAGGACCTCACCATCCCTTCGTCTTCGTAAGTATGCTTCCTTTCAGAGCGGAATCTCTAGGCAGCGCCTGGCAGTGGTTGCGGAGCCAGATCTTTCAACCATGGACCGAAGCTCCCAAGGAACCTTTGACAAGCCGGCTGGCCCAACACTTCGCAGACGCCCTGGTGGAGATCTACGTCAAATGCGAGATGGTCTTGGCAGTCCATTGCGATCAGGACCTGCTTCATTTATATCTAGTACCACCTGCCGTAGCTCTACCGCTGACAGCACGGTCACGGATGCTTATTCGAGACCTCAAACTCATCTGATTCCCCCTAACCCGCGCTTTTCACTTCTACAAACGCACTCATCACAGAACTTAAGACGTTCGTTCGAGGCCGCCATTGCGCAATTTGCACAAATCCCTGACGATGACGACGGCGGTGTCGAGTCAGCGTTGATGAAGCTTGAAGGCAAATGGCAAGGAACATCCGCCGACATTGGCGCCGGGCCATCCGAATCACCGCATAACGCCCAGGTCCAAGGTAGCATGCGCGAACAGGAGTTGCTCTGCCACTCTCGCGCAGTTCAAAACGTTCGCAGGGGCTTGGATCCGGGTGTCCATAGACGTCAAAACTTTGTCAGTGAAAATTTGACTTATTCTCACTTTCGAGGAATGAGTGTTCCTCGCAGGCCGTATTCCGAGTCTCTTGCAGAGTCCGAAGACTCGTACAGCTCTATACCTCTTTTGGAGCGTGGGCTGAGCGACGAGTCAATGAAGAAGCCAGCCCTGAGCCGGACTAGTTCACGCCAGACTGTACCTGGCCAAATCCAGCCGAGTGACGCTTCGAGTAAATACACATGGGATACGGAATCATCGCACCCCTCCTTCCATCTCGTGAAGGAAACCGAGAGTATCAAACGCATTCCTCGGGGCTCAACGTTCCCAGTGCCTCAGAGTTTCAATCACCGTCTCTCAGGGCTTTCTGAGGATTCTACTGACTTGGTTTATTCCCAAGAGGCCACCGAACAACAACGGCTTTCACTATATACAGACAGCGTGGGCCGATCGTCTCTAGGAATACCGCGGCATCCCCTTGCTCATCCTCCTACCCCTCCAATGACCATAGAGCACACCCGATCTGTAACCTCCTTTGCATCTCCTTTGAACCCTGCCCTTTTCCAGGCCCCACCCTTGACGCCAGATCCATCTCCTAGCAGAAATATGGAGTCAGGGCAGTTTCGGGCAATTGATACACAACACGTCTCTGGTGATGTTCTTTCCAGGTCAGAATGGGACCGTTCCTGCCAGGCTCCCGAACCTGACCACATACCTTTCATCCTTTCTTGTGAATCTCAAATCCTCGCCCAACAATTGACGATAATTGAAATGGCTGCACTGAGTGAAATTGACTGGAGAGACCTTGTTGATATGAGATGGAGTAGTGGCTCTCCCTCCTCTCTGAGCTGGGTGCAATTTCTCATGGAAGAAGAACGCCGGGGCATTGACCTTGTGGTCGGACGATTTAACCTGATGGTAAAATGGGTTCTCTCGGAAATTGTCCTTACACGCAATATCCATGAGCGAGCTCGCACTATCACTAAGTTTATCCATACTGCTGCGCACGCAAGACGCTTATGTAACTATGCGACTATGCTTCAAATAGCCATTGCACTGTCCTCCACCGACTGTTCTCGGCTACAGAAAACTTGGAATCTTGTGTTACCGGGGGATAGGGATCTATTGAAGGATATGGAAGTGCTCATCCAACCAGTGCGAAATTTCCATGACCTCCGTGTCGAAATGGAAACAGCAAATGTACAAGAGGGCTGCATCCCCTTTGTTGGTAAGTTTCGCCCCTCGTCTCCCAGACAGAGCCTCGGAGATTAAAGATTAACTGTTCAATAGGCCTGTATGTACATGACCTTACGTATAACTCCCAGAAACCAGCACAGGTTGCAGCCCATGACGGAGAGCCATTGATCAACTTTGAACGATACCGTACGACTGCCAAGATAGTGAAAAGTCTTCTCCGCTTGATAGATGCTGGTACCAAGTATAATTTCGTGCCGGTGCATGGTATTGTCGAGCGTTGTCTTTGGGTTGCATCGCTCTCGGAAGAGCAAATCCAAACCTACAGCAAGCAGCTTGAGTAAACGACCACCGTCATCCAAAATCTTCACGGCAGATTCCTTGATTAGTATACACGACATAATACCCACTGATAATACCCCGAACCTTTTGCTTTTGTGCGATTGATGTTTGTTAACGAATTTGAGATTTGCGATCATGAAATGTAAGCCCATGTACTATATATCTTTGCATCGGTCTGTCTGCCTTCCTTTGCTTTTCTTTTATTTTCTCTTTTATTTATTTATCTTATTCTATTCAAATTTTTTTTCTTTTTTTTTTGTTTTTGCTGTTGTATTGGTGCTTAAACCTTGCGGGGATTTGGCTTTTTGAGTATTGATCTTGATATCGGAGGTTTTCTTACGAGAGAGCATTAGCGTTGTTGATATGCGATCCAAAGGGTCGAAAGCATGAGTGACAAGCGTTCTTTGGTCTTCAAGTTATCATATTCCAACTGCATAGATCAAACAAACTCCATTTATCTAAAACACGGTACCGGAGACAACTCCGGGTGGGGATGTCTGGGAAATCAGGCATTCCACAAAGCTGCATGACTGGCCTTGTTGATCTACGTAGTCGTCGGCCAGGAACATCCCAATCTCCTTGGCCGTTCCTCTGCGTCTCCCGTACCATTCATTCCTCCTCTCACCCTGAAAGAAGGAAGAGGAGGTAATCCTCCATTGAAATTATTCTTTTCTCCTCCATGGAGCTAGTCTCATTTTTGCGATCCCATTCTCTCTTTGTTGGCTCTTGAGGCTGGATTGATTCCCCGTCACTATGGATTCGACCGCTTCCCTCCGCGGGGCTTCGGACGAGCTCGATCGCAACAACGGTAGTGATCCCGACTTAGTCCACACTCACAAAAAGCAGCTTTCTGGAGAACTGCCCGACGATTTACCTAAATCCCTGGACGACCGTCGTTCCGTCCCCGTGATTCAAGCGGAGACTGAGATGTACGATGGTTGGCAAGGTTCGCAACTTCTTCCCCGCGGTACCCCAGACGGTCGAGCAGGCTGCAGGAACTAAATATAGTTTCCGAGGCTACGGAGACTTTCTACAACTTTATGTCAAGATCGCTGTTGTGTTAAACCCAAGATTAGGAACGGACGAATACTGACCCTGGATTTCTCTCATCTGTAGGCCAATCCCAGTTCCTCACGACGCCTGTGGCCGCGAAGCCGTTGAGCTTCAGTCTTACCCTGGATGATCACTCGCATGATGATGAGCACAGTCTACAGGCTCAATATGGACGGGGTCTTGCCGCGGTGGATGACGACAACGAATCGACCACTACGGCTAGGCTAGAGGACAGCGATGCCCGACTAATGGAGATGCTTGCTGCGCAGGCGGCTCATCGGGAAGTAGATTCGCTAGGGGCAGACGAAGAAGCAATCGCAGCGGACGAAAAGTTATCAGAAACAAAAAAGAAGGATATTTTGCAACGAGGTTTGAACATGGCTGCCAGCAACGGCGATGTAGAACGCGTGCGCAAGTTGGTACAGGGCAAAGCGAAGGATTATGTGAACGTGAACCTGCCGGATGAGGAGGGGACAGTGCCCTTAATCTATGCCAGCTGTTTTGTATGTAATTCACCTCTTTGTCTTTGTTGCGCATTCAATGGGATCACTCCGGCTAACTGGAATCAATCAGGGGCATCAAGACGTAGTTTCAGCCCTTCTTAACGCAGGCGCCAATGTTGACCAACAGGACCGCAACCAATGGAGTGCTTTGATGTGGGCAATGACAAACCGACATAAGACGATTGCAAAAATCCTCCTTGACCATGGAGCATCACCGGATATCAAGTCCTCCTCTGGGGGAACTGCGTTTGATTTTGCCCAGCCAGGAAGCGAGATCTCCGAATACCTGCATGAGAACGGCTATCATTTTGGCCCTAGCGTTATTGAGGATGATTTTTACGACGCTGGCTTTGCGCACGGTCGATTCGAGGAGGAGATTGCTGAGAGTGAAATGAAACGGCGGATGATGATGGAGGAGAGTGCTATCAACCTGGAAGTTGATCTGTCAAGCCTGGGGCTCGATGAGAAATTTGATGTAAGTGAACAGATTTGCCTACATACGGAAGGGCCTTTATCAAAATGATCCTAACTATCTAGCAGGCACTCGATGATGAAGAGATGGAGGAAGAACAGCAGGAATTCGTCTGGGATCGATGCTTGAATGACCAAATGTTCGTCTTCCAGGAGAGCGAATTAGAGAGGATCTTGGACATAATCATCACCAACATGACTCCGCAGCGATCTCCATCGCAGAAGCCAGTTCCTGCCAACCTGCTTTTCCTCAGTGCCCGGTACGCACATTATCATGCCAGCTCAGAATTACTCGCACAGCTACTTGTCTCGGCGACGGACAAGATCAATGATGTTGTTGAACGCCACCAGTGGGACATGACGATACTGGCGTTTTGGATGTCGAACGCCACTTTACTTTTACATTACCTGAAGAAGGACGGGGGTTTGGTGGAAGCGACTGTGGAGTTCCAACTGCACCTGGCGGAGCTTATAAATGAGATATTCATATTGATTATTCGGGATGCCGAGCGCCGAATGAATAAAGTACTAGACGAGGCGATGTTAGACCACGAGACGATCCCTGGACTGGAGGATGTCCATTTCCAAAACGAGTGGAAACTGTTCCGCTCCAAGTCCAAGGCCAAAGCCCCCGAACCAGCCGAGAAGCGCTTCCGACCCCCATCCCCACGACGACGAGCACAGGTCTCACCACGGAATATTACCTCCCTGCTTTCTTCGACTCTGTTTGTTTTAGATCTCTACGATGTCCACTCCGTCATCATTACCCAGATCCTCTCCCAGCTACTGTACTGGTTGGGAGCCGAGCTCTTCAATCGCATCATGACTACCAAACGTTACCTAGCTCGAACCAAGGCAATGCAGATTCGCATGAACGTGTCGACCCTGGAAGATTGGGCACGTAACAACAACCGACAACCTGAACACTATGAGAATGGGTCCATGAGTAGTACCGGCGAATGCACCATGGACGCAGCCCGCAGACACCTGGCCCCGGTCATCCAGCTGTTGCAATGGTTACAGTGCTTCTCATCTCTAGGAGATGATTTCGAGTCCCTTGTAACCACGTTACTCCAGTTGCAACAACTGACACCCGCCCAACTTCTCCACGCGGTTAAATCATATCGACCCGAGGTAGGGGAGAAGGGACTCACGAAACCAGCGATGAAATTCTTGATTGATCTGCAACGCGATCCAGACCTGCTGTTTCGGGAGCAATCGAAGCTGCAGGGGGCCAAAGAACAAGACGCGGTGCAAGAGGCAGGGCAGACAGAGGGGCGGCCACGGACTCCTCGCCAGGATCAACTTTCCACATCTGATGAGGCATCGGCCCAAACATCAAGCGCGTCTCCCGGGTCATTCATCACATCACCGCGCATGGATGATCGAAATGGGGCTAACGGGGTCTTCTTGGACCCATCGCTCACCCTTCCCTTCTCATTACCTACCAGCACAGATATGTTGATCAGTTACGGGGCAGGATGGGGCGGCACAAACCGGGAACGAGCACGCAAGTACATCCCTACCGTACCTCCCGAGGTGCTGAGTAGATTCGATCGTGACAGTTGAAGCGAACGATAGGGCATAATTAATGCGCTGCTTGACAGTTGTGATTATACCGCCCACGCCCTCCCGCTCGCGGGTATTTTTTTTTTCCCCCTTTTGTTTAGCGGGCTTTGAATTCGAGTATATACATTTTATTAAGCCATGTCCGGCATTGGTTGCTACTCTGTAATGAAAGCGCTGGAATCTATGACATAGAGAAACTTTGGAGAAAATTGGGATGGACACAAGTGAAGAGGAAAATGTAAAAGGACCAATGGCCCTTTAATGAAAATAGCAAGTCTAATCTATGACGAAACCACGCGTAGAATCCCACGCAAGCTGGAGTATATAGGGATAGTCATTAGGGTTACTGGATATGGAGGGCAGACGAGAGGAGAAAGGTAAAGTCAAGACATCTAGATGAAACGAAACCCCGGGAAGGGACAATAGTCTAATATGAGATTGGGGGGAAGTGGGGTGCATGATTGGTGTGAAGAAATATTACCATTCGAAATGATGACCCCAATTCTATATCTCGTTTAATATCAATCTTTATTTACTTTAGTTTCGAGAGAGTATTTACGGGTTCCATACATAAAGTGCCTCCCGTTTCGGGTATGCCGAAGCGGGAACTTTTGTCATGGAAATGATTCTCACAAGATATTATTGTACAAAGAAATTTCAAGGACAAGGAAAAAAAATCTTACTTCAAAGACGGGACTCAAGTTGTCGCATTCAATTTCTGGAAACTCGTTGCCACTTCCTTCCAATAGTTTCCTTCCTCGGTCTAAATCCAATCCAACCCAATCAATGGGGAAAATGGTACGATCAAATCGAGTGATGGTGTTTTCTTATTAGTCCCAAGGCTTATATTACGCTCCAAGCCAGACCAAATCGAGAACTCACAAACGAACGGACGCTCCACTTGGGATTTTTTTCCTCTTCTTCTTCGCTTCTTCGGGCCCGAGGCTCAAGGCATCTACATTCTTTTGTGTTCTTTTAATTTGGACTTGTTTGACTTTGGGCTCCAAGTCTGTGCGGAAGACTGTCCCGTGTTGCTGTCTCTCATTCCATTCTTCCCGGACTAGGATGTCTTACTCCCCGTGTCTGTTTCTGCTTTTATTTCTATTTTCAACTGTACTAGGACAGAAGACTGATTGCATCGAATGTAAGTATCAATCAATCAATCAATCAACATACAACGCTGTCTGTCGGACCGACCCGCCCAGGAATCGATAGATGGTATGCATTGCTTGCTTGCTTGCTTGGTGCTCGGAGAATTTGCTCCGAAGGCTTTCCATTGGCGATAAGGCGCCTGGACTCGTCCACGCTCGTCGTCATCAGCAGCGCCAGTCATACGCAATGATGCTCTAGTGGCCGGCGCCAGTCCACTGATCCACTTCGCTCACACTTAGGGACCAGGGTGTTATCCGTATTCGGACACGTATCTATCTCCATATAAGCTTCCTGCATATATAGATCATGTCCATATGTGATTAGTGTGGCTTCTCTATCGAATATTTGTTGGATCGATTCGGCAAATTCTCACATCAGGCAGACATTGTACGCTCCTGAGGCACTCTTGCTCTTTCCTTATCGAGCCAGTGCGTTGCGGACACTTTCCCTTGTCTGGTAAGTGGCTTTTTTCCTCTTTTGGGCGGTTCCCTTTTTGGGCGATCTTGGGGGGGGGGGTTTGATGTTTTTTCATTTTTATTTTTGATGTATTGTATTTTTTTTTTTCTTGCTGTATGAAGCTGTTGATCACTGTATTAGCTTCTCTCTTCTTCCTCCTACTTCTTACATCCCCATTCTTCTCTTCTCTCTCCCCTCTCGTTCTTCTGAGACGACGATGCGTGGCATCTACCATTTCTTCTCGTCTGATTCTGTGTCTCTGTTCCTTCTCCTCATGCATTGATTGCGCAATGAGACTGTGACTTGTCTACATTCTTCTATGTACAACGGTCTCCACGCCAGGTCATCATTGGTTGGACCTTTCTTGCACGGACAATCTTTTTAGTATGCTACTCACATTGAAGCCGCCCCTTCAGAGCGGGATTAAGGGCCCTCATGACTACGCTATCCTTCGCCAGTCTATCCCCACGCCTCGGTCTTCTCCTCCCTCAGCACCTGACACCTCCGCGGTCATTGTAGCCTCCACGGGATCTCCTGTGGACCACTCTATGGAGCCCTCTCGTGGTGGCTTCCCGCCCCCATCAACTCTGGCATTGCCCCCGCCGGATGTCGGCTTCTCATCTATGAATTCCGTGAACCAACAACTACCGCGCCCTCCGGCGCAGCGGCAGAGTTCGGATGACACCAGTCCCTACTGGCATGCGAGGGCCGAAGAAGACCGGAGAAGACAGGAGGAAGAACGAACCCGCCAGGAATCGTTGCGTCTGGAGCAGCGGAAGATCGAACAGAATATGCTTCGGGATTCCCTGCAGGCCGGTGTACCTCCTCATATGATCCCGCTTATCTTCGCGGGCATCAGCCAGAATGGCGTGCCACAGTCAGTCCTCGAATGGACCCAGCAACACATGGCTCAAAGTACTGCCAGCAACCGCGCACCAGCTGCTCCTGCGCCAGCTCCATCTCATTCTGCCCAGCGGCGTAGCCTGCATGCCCGTGGGGATTCTCGTAACGTCCCCCTTGGTCCATATGCAGCTCCACCACCGCAGCAGGTGGTACCTCCCCCGGGGATCCTTCTATCGCAACCTCTTTCCCCCGCAGGGCCATCTTCCGCTCCGCAACCACTCGGCCGGTCCCCTTTACCTAATGGGCCAGTTGATCCCCGGGGTTCGACCATGCCTCGCTTCAACACTGCTGAACACGTCCAACAGCAGCCTCCAATTAACCTGAGTAATGTCCACTATGCGCCGGGGTCATCTATTCCGCAAGTTCAACATGCAGCAGGCAAGGCGGATGGCCACCATCGGCAGTCTTCGTCTCTGTACTTTCACCACTGGATTCCTCCAAACCAGTCTCACCCGAATACACCTTCTGGGAGAACCCGCCAAGAATCACCTTTTGCATCACAAGCCTCTCGTCGCCCCGAGTACCAAAACTCTCCGGGCCGGAAAAGGAAAGCTACCGGTCCTCACCAGCCGGCTCCCTTCCCATCACGTCCTTCCGAAACAGTCCCGACTTCTTCACAAACCTCCCGGCCAGGGTCCCCCGTGGATCCTATCCAGCGGACTGAGCATTCCCACCATCACCGTCAGCATAGTGGCGCATCCACCACGTATGAGTCCCGTGTCCGAGAGCAGTCAGGTCCTGAACGTGGCAGCAGAGCTGCGAGCCCAGCTCGTCATGCGCAGCGTGTAATTGCCCCCGCAGTGGAGATGGCTTCAAGGAAGGATCATAACCAAGTGGACGGTCCAGAACATCGAGGCGAACTAACCCCAACGGAGGGTAACATTCAGTTGCCACCCGCAGCATCTCAACTACAGTACTCTTCGAGTATCGGCACCGCACCCCCTGAGTCTGACTTGGACAGTAGCCCGGGACCCTCTCCTACTTCGGGGGTACTCCGAGCACCCACCCGACCAAGTGAGCACGGTGCTGCACCCCCCGGGCAATGACCTGTGGGTTGCGAAAAAAAGACTGTCTCTTGTATTTACATACGACCATGTCGTCCCTGGTCGCAACAGATTGGGATTTTCGCAACGAGATAGATGACTTTACGAAGCACTCAGCACTCAGAACTCCTCCAAAAGCATGTTCTTATCTTCAATTAGCTGTCCCTATTGAATCGACTCTCCTTTGTCCTCTACCTCTTTCCCTAACAATTTTGCATCTTCCACTGTGACCAAGGGTTCGGCACCTCTATACCACTCATATTCCCGACTGGTTCGTGGAAGCTATCTACATGACATACTATATCCTGTATTTATTTAAGACTCCCCACCGGCGCCTGAGGTGCTCAAAATTTTGACAAATGCTACCTAGCGCACAATGTAGCCTTAGAGCCGCGTACGTTCTTTTGCGTAATATTTTCGTATGCGTCTATTTATAAATATACTCTTTTAGTATGTCTCGGTAAACAATGTAGTTAGTCATAGAATTGTTGCCCCTTTTCTATTATCCAAAGCTTACCAACACGAGAACCAATTATCCCTCGATGGTTCATTCACCGAATCGCTTAGATTAGAGAGTTTAGTTGAACTACTCCAGAGTGCGTTGCAATGTTCGTGAACGTCTACATTGTGAATGGCTAAGCTGGCAATTGAACATGTTTACTGTCAGTTTTTTTTTCTCTTAGAAAAAAGACCTCCCTCAGTGTTGATGCACAAGGATGGATAAATAAACGGACACTCAGAAGACGACAAATATGTAATTATTGATAGATACACATCATGGTAGACAAAAGAAGGGGTATCAGTATAACATTGGTTCTTCTTGCTGTGGCTTTGATATATAGAAAAAATGGAAGGATAAAAAAGCAAACAAGATAGACAGAAGAGACGCAGACGGATACAGACGGGAAAAGAAATCGCAATTCAAGGAGAGAGCAAAAAAGTTTGGGATGTGCGCTGTGTAGCGAACGGAAGCAAAGTGGGATACGCGCGAATAGATTGTACTGATATAGGAAATAGGGGTAACGATTTGCGTATGTAACGAAGAAGAGATAAATATATCAAACTCGAAGCTCAGTCTGGGCCGCTGGGATGAGTGAGTGAGAGAGGGACAAACAACGGTCAGCCGGGTAAAGAGTGCTCGGGTCGGTGACGGATGATGCTGTTGATCAGACATAAGAACCAAGAACGTTAAGTCTCGCTGTATAGTGGTTTGGTTTGTTGATGATATTAGTATGGGACCGGCAACAGGAGAGAATATATTAGTTGTATAGCTTATGATGTTGCTGTTATGGAATCAAGACAATGTTTTCATGTCTTTCTGTTTTATCCTTGTATGCGCATCCGCTAACAACCGATCCCCGGTATAGATTCGTACGACTTGAAAGTCGTGTGAAGTCGTCGTAATGTGAAGGCCATTAGGTGTGGTATTAAGATAGAGAAGGCGTTCGTGGACCAAAGCAATCGACTTAAGTCCGAGATCATCAATAATCGTGCGAGTGAAATTGTCCATTAATGGGAGGAGAGCGTTATTTCTTCGGGGCCAGTATAGCCTCGAAAGATTAAATATTATAATGAGGGGGCCGTAAAAAGGTTTTGTAAGTAGACATGATTCTACCAAGTCATCACATCACACATCGCGTCACAACCATCAAAGCCTTGAATGTTAGAAACCGGCCTTAGACCAGAGTCTTTTTCCGACGGTGGACTTTCCATTCGGCTTTAGCGACACGCATAAATAGTTCCACGTCCTTTATCGGAACCCAGCTGGTCAGCACCTTCATGGCGTTTTCAAAATCCGATTCGAGGATTATTTCTCGCATGCCATCGATGAGAGCTGCCGATGTCGCATGGAGCACATCCAAGCCCTTCCCGAAGGCACTCGCATCGGGGGACTCCGTCTTCGCACCTGGACCGGCTAGATCCTCAGCATCACCAAGGAGCATAAAGACGTCCCACACACGAAGTTGGGCCGGGAACGGAATGGAATAATTGAAGAGTGTCAAGTACCAACGTGTACCGTACGCAGTAGGAGGGATACCAAGTTCACTCAGTTTCATGGCAACCTCGCCTCCCGCCAGCCACTCTCGTTCAAAGTCACCCAGAGCCTCCATTAGGCCTGCGAAGCCTGACCGGTAGAGCTGCTCCAGTCCACGTAATTGCCACAGACGGACGAGCATTATGAAGGCATGTTCTTCATCATAGTAAGCAAGGAGGGTTGCAGCAAGGGCTGCCATGCCCTGTACGTAGCCTGTATCTGGGAAGTATAAGGACATCGAATGAAGTACGCGAAATAGCAAGCGTTGACCGCCACGATACCGTCGACGAAACATAATATGGCTAGTAATGGTTCTTGGGACATCGATATCGATCTGTACGTCATCAGGTGATGATACAAATTGGTATTCATGGTAAGCGTCAATGAGATCCTGCTCCGTAGGACTGTCACTGCGCCTTTTGGCGCTCGTTTCCAGAAAGGCGTACCAGGCAGTTGCTCGCCACCGGTCTGGAATGCCCTTCCACGTCCGCTCTATAAGCTTAGAGCTCTGTGTATCAAATTCAAATGACATGCCACCGCCGACCCTGCTGTTCTTGGTCGGCCTGGCCATCTTCGTCCATTTGTCTTCTCTTCGCCACTCTTTCTTCCTAGCTGCACGCATAGCAGATGCATCTAGCCCTTCTCTGGTAGCATCGACTGGATGTGTAAGCATGTCGGCGGCCTCGTCTTTGAATCGGCGGTCACGATTATGGGGAAGACGGTTTGTCGCTTGACGAAATCGAGAAGTTGACCGTCGCATCGGCGAACTATACGCGCTATGTGACGACGAGGGACGGATCGATGGAGTCGAGATCTTTCCGCTCGGAGACCGACCCGCAAATGGTCGGTTACTCGCCAGGGCAGAGGGAGGTCGAATAGAGTATTTCCGGCGTGGGCTTTCAGAGGCAAGGAGCAGGCTGGTAGAAACCCGTTGTATTGGGCTAGGTTCCGTGCCGTCATTGGAGTTGCTAGTAGGCGAGCGAATAAACCCATATCTATCCACGTCCCCCGCCTTTATATTGTGCCAATATTCAATCCCACCAGCTAGCTCATTGGGTTCCTTTTGGATAATTGAAGCAGGCTCCGGACCGACGGAGGACACTATGCTCTTGGTTTCCGTACCAGACACACTGGCACCTGAAAGGCGAGAAGTCTCCTCACTTGTCGGGCCGCCTTCTTCCCAAAGAACACCATTCTCCATAGCCATGGCCTTCGCTACCTCCGAGTCCGTCACATTTTCTTCACCTTTCTCATACATCAACCTAACCCGGCGCGACAGCATATCCTCATCTGCGGAAATAACTCTACTGGGCATAGCGCTCCGTCTGACACGAAGCGATGGTGGCAGTTTTGAGCGCCTTGAAGGAGCTTCTAAAAGTTCTGTTTCGGTGCCATTTTGCTCCGTTGGCGCCGTAGCCTTCTCGCTTTCTTCTTGTTGTGGGGGTTCTCTCTCCTCTTGTGGTCTATCGCTTGACCCCCGAGTGTCCTGCAGGTTCTCTTTTTGATCCAGCTGTTTTAATCGTTGCCTCGCTTCCTCTTTGATGAGACTACCGCGCTTAGAAAATCTCATAGACTGCGGGCCAAGATCCTCGAGAGACGAATCGGGTATATCCAAGGACAGCCCGTTGAAGGGGGCTTCTATCGGGGGCACAGGTGGTGGTGAGTCTGGATCTCTCTTTAACTCCATAGATCGTTTGCCCCATAACCCGCTCCATTTCCGTTCGGACCAGCGAGAACCTGGGCGCGAGCCCGGCCGCGAGCTTGGACGAGATCCAGAGTCGTTGACGACAATGCTAGGAACGGCGCGCAGGGAGCGCAAACTCACAACAGACCTCGCAGCATCCGGCCGTAAGAACCTTCCGTCTTTCGTTCGTGGGCGCTCGTTCTGATGCGACGAGAGCAGAGGGCGTGATTGGTCTCCGGGATATGTCGACGGTATGCTGGCTGCAGATGTTGTGTTTTCGGGGCATAGTGGGTAATCGACTGGAGTTGGAAACGAGGCAGATCTGACAGCTAAAGGGGCTGCTGCGGCGACAGTTTCTTCGTATGGCACAGCGTGAATCGAGCCAGACTCTGACATTACGGCGCCAGGTAACGAAGCGGATCGCATATCCTCCACCATTATCCTGGCATGACTTGTTTTGTATTTATCCTTGTGGTCACTGTAGCTTGTGAATCCTTTTCCTTGTTCCGTAACTTTCTGTCTCTTTGAACAAGAACTCTGGGGAGGCGGAGGGGGTTGAACGGTTGGTTTCAAGGGAGGGAGGTAGGCGGGGGCGCTCAAAGGAGGCGAAGGTAATAAACTACTCGACGAAGAATCCCGTGCGGAGATCACCGTTTGGCAGGGTAATGGAGTAGATAGGGAAAGAAAAAGGAAATCAGGGAAAGGAGCGACACTAGCGACAGGACATTTCTTGCGTAATAGAGCATGACCGCCCCCGACAGCGAGATATGTGACCAGATAGGAGAAAGGAGAGAAGAATTGGGTGTTTAAACGCTTGGCGGGGACGAAGGACAAGCTTTCCTATGGGGTCTCTCAACCCTAATTCCCCAGCGAAGGATCGGAAATACTGCACCCAAAAGTCAGGCACAGGAGTAAGGATTCCCCAGATGTGACCATGTAATTAAATCCCATTGCGTCTGGATTCCAAATTCGATAGACTTGAAAAGGTTTGCCTCTCGCTGAAGGTCTTCAAGGCTTAAAGCAGGGATCGCAAAGGGAGGGCTATTTTTCCTGTTGCGCTCCACACGGGAAGCCTTCCAGATACTACTAGACTTAATTTTAGGCCACGCAGCTGTGGATCTGATTCATGATTTTGCGTTGCAGACTTGCGGATATTATTGATAATAATAGAAGTGGTTGTCGTGGGAGACGACGTCTAACTTAAATCCACCCTGGAGGAAGGATTCATTTTGCGTGGCATTATTTATCTAACTAAATAATAGGAAGGTCAAAAATCTCAAAAACAAAGCGGAAAGAAAATAAAAATTAATATATATAAATCTTTCCTACTTTCTATTTTTTCTCCCACCCCTTCTGTCCACTTCTCTCATCGTTAGTTTGCTCCGAAAATATGTGAGTACAACATGATCAATATGGGGTTGAATGACTACAAGTACCGATATCATCCCTTGTTCGTGTGGCTTATGGAAACATGAAGAAGTCTTATTGTCTAACTAGTGCAAAATATCAATCGATTCCTCACTGCTCCTGGGACTCAAAACTACATCTACATCCGGTGTGAAATGCAAGGATGGAATTCCGGTATTGTCTTTTATTTGAAATTATATTTACTCATCCCCTTCCTCTTCTTTGTTTATTTTTGGGGTCTTGTTTCGCGTTTATGCTCCCTGATTGCTAGTCATGTCATTACGTCCATCACCCCTAAATCGCCAATTGTACTGTAACGCCATGATGACCAGATACCAGCAGGCCATCGTTGCAAACGGGGAATAGCCAGAATGTACAGCCCAGCGTACATAGTCCTGCTGCGCTAAATCCCCAAGTGGTAGTCCAAAGAGGGGGGACAGAAGAAAGGAATGCGAAGGGCGCTTCCACATTGCACCTAGGCCACGGCAGCCGTGTTGACGCCCGATCGAGATGGCTCCCGTGCAGAGCGTGCCGGGTCAATAGGCTCCTTGGGTAGAAGCTCAATCTGGCGGACCAGAAAGCTCTTCTCATCAGTAAATTGATCGTCATCCGTACGATCCTCTAAAAATCTAGGAAGGAATTTCAGTAGTCGGTCTCGGTTGTTGATAAGAATGCGTTGCACCGCCACGGACTTGTTCGGGTTGGCAACAAACACCTGCACCACAATTATATTCCCAATCAGAAAGCCAGCGCCATTCAGGTCAAACATTTTAGCCACACATACCTTAAACACGTGGAATCCCTCATACTGAACCATTTTCCGATCGTCTCGTAGCAACTTCATACATATCTTGAGATTTTCCCCGCTTTCAACGTACGCCATCATCACGTTGTAGTTGGCACGGTCCAGCAGGATTTCCCCAAGCAGTTTAATGCTCTGTCGCTTGGTGACGTACGAGTCAGACTGCACGAGTACAGTGTTGAATTTGTCGAAAAATCTGTCGAAGTTCGTCGCTAGATACCCTGTTACCAAAGATTTGTGTCGAGTCAAAATTTCCTATAGCCGCTGTTACTCACCGTGACTAAACCGATAAGGGTGAAAGAGCAGACTTACTCTAAAGGTTGTGAAAGCATCCGCACTTAACTCAAACGTTCCTCGATCTATCCAATGGAAGAAATTCCAAAATATCCCAGTCCCGGCTTGTGGGACGCCAGGCTGGACTTCGGTAAGCCTGATGGCCGGCTCCCCATCTTCTGACTGGTCATATAGGACTATAGCCGCGATGACGTCAAATTTCAAGGCTTCCCTCAATATGGTGCCACACGGCATTGCGCTTTGACTGTGTTCGTAGCCTTTACATAGCTCAATAATCACCTCGGGCCGGTTGTGAACAATGTAGGAAATGACAGGCGGATCCGCCTGGCTTGAATTGCCGGGCTTGAAACGAAGAATGTGCGAAAATATAGTTTGCGTGTCTTTGCGGGCTTCAAAGGGTAGAAGATAGAGGCTTCGGGCGAGTTCGTATAGCAAATCTTCATGGAGAGTAGCCTGAACTAATGCATGCACCTGTTCGGGAGACACTTCGATTTCTGGAGGAAACTTTTATTAGCAAATCCCACTTCTCATTATGCGTGAACATTGTTCTATTTTGCGGTTAACTCACCTTGAGTCCCTTGAACAATCAATTTCATTTGACTAAGCTGTTTAGACAACTCATCTTCCACCTAATTGGCATTGAGTAACGGTGAGCTTAGCGTTATGTTTACATTTAACTAGGAATAAACACAAAGAGACCGGACAAACAAGATATCTAGCTTACCTTAGCAGCGGTGGGAGGGGCTTCTCGAAGCCTTAACACCTGATCCTTGATTGATCTGACAATGTCGGAAGGATGTCGGGATCGACCACGGTTGAAAAAGAAAGCCATTCTTTGTTGTTTGGTAAAGGCTTGGATTATAAGAGGGGGGGAAGGTAGCGCTCTGGAGAGAGGTGAGCGTTTATAGTACACTAGCGCATGCAATAAAGGTAGGACAATAGAATTGAGCCCTTTGATAGCCAGATTTTAGTCTCAAAGTGAGGGAAGATCTTTGTTTGTCGATGACTGAGTTCTAATGTTTTCGGAGGAGGGAAAGCAGTAAGGCGGTGGTGATAAGTGTTGGCGGGGAGGGAGCTGACGGCCTCAGGCGCTTATCGCAGTCTGGGCCCTTGGGTCATGTGGGTAAACAAAGTAACCAAACTCTCCGGGCGGGGCAACCGGTTGGCTGCCCTTTTTTTTTTTTTTTTTTTTTTTTTGCCTTGGTAAAGAGGGGTCCTGTTCAATTTTATCATATAATTCCCTTTCCGAAACCTCCTAGTAGCACTGCATAAATTCTTCAGAATTTTTGCTACTCGAGTGAGAATTGGGATTTCCTAGCCTCAATTGAACTTTCCTTGATCTTTCGGAATCTTGCCAATTTGTTTCACTATCTGCCTACCCCGCAATTGTCGCCATGTCTGCTACGATCCCCTCTGGCCGTCCTCCAAAGGATGATGACTCCTGCTCTACACACTCAGAGGATTCTGACCTCAGTAATGAGGAAGGATGGGAGGATGTCGAGCCCGACGATGAGACACAGCCAGTGGTTGGCCTGTTCTCCGAGAAAGTCTACCCCAACGTGCTTTCCATGCTACAGGAGACCAAAGACAAATACAACTTTGACCTACGGAGAATACAGAAAGAGCTCGGTGTGTAACTAATTAACTGAACTGGACCCTAGCGTTTGAGTATTTTTCTCCGTTGCTCAGGCCTGGACGATCTATATTTGAACGATCACAATATGTTTTCTGGGCTAACCTTTCTTCCTCTTTTCCGTTGCCTTGCGCTTTCAGATCTGGATTTCCTGGGTACTATCAAATTGGTGAACTATATTCGCACTCAAGTCAAAGCTGGAAACTCACCGCCAGATGTGTCATCCAAATCCAACTTTGAAGACGAGATCTACCTGAAGCCCGTTCTTGAGGACGACGCTCTTTTGTACAGTCTAGATGATCTCGAAGACCAAGATGCAGAAGCCCCCGCAGGCACCGAGGCCGAGAGACGAGTAATTGAGTTGCAAGAGGACCTGGAACGCCTGCAGAGCCAGTTCTCTGAGTACAGGCTTGCCGTGCAGAAGTCGATGGAAGATCAGCTGTCAGAGGAGGACGAAAAGCTTGGATCGTCTGTGTCATCGGCCCAAAAGACTGCCAAAAAGGCTGCAGAGATTGACTCAGACTACTTCTCATCCTATTCATACAATGGTATGCTACACCTAGTCTGTTGCACGGGTATTGAGTGATGAATTATATGCTGACGGAGTGCTTTTCTCTCAGGTATTCACGAATCTATGCTGAAGGACGCTGTTCGCACCGATAGTTATCGTGACTTTGTCTATCAAAACAAGCATTTGTTTAAGGATAAGGTTGTTCTGGACGTTGGATGCGGTACAGGAATCCTGTCAATGTTCTGCGCGAAAGCAGGTGCCCGGAAAGTCATCTCAGTGGACAATTCAAATATCATCGATAGGGCGAAAGAGATCATTCATGAGAACGGCTTTGGGGATGTGATAACGTACGTACCACAAGGGCATTTTTCTGACACCATGTTACTAACTCTGAAGCTTTTAGATGCATCCGCGGTAAGATTGAGGAAGTCACACTCCCTGTTGCGCAGGTTGACATCATCATATCCGAATGGATGGGGTATTGTCTTTTGTTTGAAGCCATGTTTGATTCAGTTATCTATGCTAGAGATCGTTATCTGGCACCCGGAGGACTCATGGTCCCGTCGCACGCTACGCTGCGTATTGCTCCTTTTGCGGACCCTGACTTCATGGCCTCGCATATCTCGTTCTGGAATGATGTCTACGGTTTCAACATGCGGAGCATGCTCACTGGTATTTACGATGAATCGCTTGTCCGTAGCGTGCAACCATCGACTATCCCTGGAAACTCTTCCGTCTTCCTACCACTCCCATTGCATACAATCACGGTCGATGAGCTGTCCTTTTTAAAGGAGTTTCAGGTTACTTTGAAAGAGGACATTGACTCGCTTGATGGCTGGGCTATCTGGTTTGACATATTCTTCATGCCCTCTAAAGATTCTCCTATTTCGGATGATGCCATCCCTTCGGAGATGCAAAAGAAGGGCTTTGTTGCTTTTACTACGGGTCCTGATGGCCCAGAAACCCATTGGCAACAAGGTATCCTCCTCATCGATCACGGAAAGAAGCAAGCCCTTCCTTTGAAGAAGGGACAAACGATCACAGGAAAGGTCGGTTATCAAAAGAAAGGGGAAAAATCGCGGTCCTTGGACATCTCTATCGAATGGGATGTTCAAAAGAGCGGCAAGGGAGCCCAGCAATGGAGTTTGCAGTGAGAGATCTGACTAAAAAGTTTTGTTTGCCTTCCGACTAAATTCGCTCTCTTTCCGGTATGTTACGACTTTTAGAAAGTCTCATTTGATAGACAGCTGTTAAAAAAAATTGAAGTATTCAACATGCCATCTGGTGGGTATCATATATGTAAGACAACCATCAAAAGATGGTTGAAGAACACGGCTTCATACCTGATTAGTTATGCCTTGAGTCGGGTAATTCCCGGTGACGGCGTCTGTTACGGTCGCTCCGACTGCGGTTGCGACTGCGATCACGATCACGATGTGGATATGCATCCAAATGAGAGAGCCTCTTACGCGAGCGGTCCCGGCTTCTGTCTCGGCCATGGCGACGATGACGATGTGCTCTTCGATTCTTGTCTTCTCGATCCTTGTCTGGTAAGGTATCAAGTTTGAATCCCTCAAGGCTGTCCATGGACCGTGATCTGCTCCTGTGATGCCCCGAACGGTGTTTCTCTTCCAGTTTCAAAGCTTCTAACTCCCGTCGTCTGTCTTCTTCCCACTTCCTCCTTTCTCGTTCAACCGACTTTAGCTGGCGGACTCCCCTTTTCATCACTGCAAGTGGGTCGTTGGCATCCATTCTAGATTTTTCTCTTTCTTTTCTCATAGGATCCTCATTGCCCCAAACGTCTTTCCCCAAAACTGAATCTGGAACCGTAGCATCCTTTTCCGAAGAAGAATACCATGGTTTTTTGCCGACAGATTGACGGAACCCTGCTGCATTCGAGAACCGCATCGTATATTGATCTTCATATACCTTTCTCTTCTCGGCCAACTCTTTTTCATTCTCCGGGTTTTTCTCCGTGCGTTTATGTGGCGCTTCTGAAGGGAACAGGTCAATATGACCTGCATTATCGTAAAGCGGCGCATCACTAGAACGAGAGGAAACAAGCTCCCCCCGCTTCGCCAGTGCAAACTGTGCATCCTCTCGAGCGAGCCTAATATCGCGATCCGTATCATTCTCTCCAGCCAACCGCCGTCGCTTTCTGGATCTTCCAGCATCATCTGCATAACTCTTCCTATCAGGCCGAGAGACCGGCAACGGTGACCGCGGGGGAGGTGGTGGAGTAGATAGCCGTTCACCGCGGAGGATCTGTATTCTTCGTTCGGCATCAATTTCTTGAATGCGACGCTCTTGTTCTTCCTCCCTGGCCTTCGCCTGTGCCTCATCGCGCCGCACGCGGGCAATGTTCTCCGGGTTGTAGACGTTCCATGACTTCTTACCGAGTAGATGACTAGAAATAGTTAGTACGGTGAAAAGGATAACGGGACTGCATAAAAGTAGCACTGACAGAGGCATCTTGACCAGAATAATAAGAATACTATTCGCTGTTTAAGCCTAATATCATGCTGTGTTGATCGTAGTGAAGGCGATAAGAAAGGCGGGGAGCAGACGGCAGAAACGGAGGTTCGCGGGCCGATGTGGCCAACGGAAACGTATCTATGGGTTACGGGAGCTCAGCCTATAGAGTCCCCATGCTTTGTTCCCTCCGCCACATTTCTCTACATCTCACTATATCCTCTGCTAATTATCCCAAGTGAAATACTTGCGACATAGTACCACTGGGGGAGGCCATATTGATATCCCTGCTTTGGCCTAACGTGACAGCTGTCGGCAACGTTAACCTGTGCCCTTACAAGAGCTTCACCTCAATATAATCCTCACTATCCGACCATCATCACATTTCTTATACGCAACTTGCGGTCTGTCTACGACCTTATGAACCAGGATGTTTAACCGCAACAATATACCTTCCGTACCCAACCCCTTTGGCTCCCGGCCATCTCGCGGGGATGGCTATTCAAGCCCCAACCCGGGCCAGGGACCTCCTCCTTATCCACGAAGAGAATATAACGCCAGCCCTGCGCCTACGGGTGGTGTAGGGTACGAATACCGTCCTCGTCCCCCAGAGTATGACGTTGTGATGACTGACGATTATAATAACTTAAGGGGATATGGAGCACCGATGGGAAGGCCTGGTCAACCACCACAGTTGCCCTCGAGAGCTCCTGTTGGAGGAAGCTCAGGGAGAACCTGGACCTTGCGTCCCGCGAAGAGTCCCGACAATACCTACACATTTGGTAACTTGTAAGTTTAGTTTTTGGTCAATATGAGGTCCACTGACTAACATGGCCCAGGGTTGCAGTTTCGCCACAGGATTTCCCACCTACTCGCGATGGGCACGACCTTTTCCTTCTTATTAATGATGTCTTCGTATTCTCCGCGCGCCCATATGAGGGATTCCCACCAGGTCATATTAGCATGTCGGATCCTCAGCGGACGTGGGCTGGCGTTGCATTCACGGACGCTGTCAATGTGCAGATCTACGATCCGTTCAGTCAAGGCGGACAAGCATACATTGGGTCTACAGACATCGAAATTGGATTCGCCGGTAAGAAGAGAGTTGAGACTCCATACGATCAAGATGAGTTGGGTAATGCAGTCGTCAAGGTAGATCTCCGATCATTTCGAACTAAACGATGGTAAGCTAATTAGGACAGAATTTTGAAAACCAAATATTTGCCCCGGGCCAAAAGATATTAATGGACCATAAGAGCATCCCCCTTCTTCTGACAATTAAGACCGTTCAACGTGTTGACTTGAGTTCCGAGAAGGCCGACTTGTCTGGTGGCCATGTGGAGACGGATCCTATCGCCAGGGGTATTCTCACGAGACATTCTCAGATCAACTTCTTCAAAGACGCCCGGACTGGTATCAATTTGAAAGCTTCGAACCGTCGGCCAGCGGCCAATTCTATTATTCAACCTGATTTTAAGTTCGAGAACATGGGTATCGGAGGCCTTGATACGGAGTTTAGCACAATTTTCCGTCGTGCATTTGCATCTCGTATCTTCCCCCCAGGTTTGGTCGAAAAGCTGGGTATCCAGCACGTGAAGGGTATGCTCCTTTATGGTCCTCCGGGAACTGGTAAAACGTTGATTGCCCGGCAAATTGGCAAGATGTTAAACGCAAGGGAACCGAAGATTATCAACGGTCCCGAAGTGCTGAACAAATATGTCGGGCAGTCAGAGGAGAACATTCGGAAGCTTTTCGCAGACGCAGAAGCTGAGTATAAGGAGAAGGGTGAGGAAAGTGGGCTCCATATTATCATTTTTGACGAGCTCGATGCTGTTTGTAAGCAGCGTGGCAGCGGAGCAGGCGGTGGCACGGGCGTAGGTGACAGTGTGGTGAACCAACTGCTATCGAAACTCGATGGTGTGGATCAGCTCAATAACATTCTTCTTATCGGTATGACCAATAGGAAGGACATGATCGATGATGCGCTATTGCGACCTGGCCGTCTTGAAGTGCACATGGAGATCTCTCTCCCCGATGAGAAGGGCCGAGCCCAAATTCTCAAGATTCATACCCAGAAGATGAGGGATAACGACGTGATGGACGTGGATGTTGATCTATCCGAGCTCGCACTGATGACCAAGAACTTCTCAGGTGCCGAGATCGCAGGTCTTGTCAAATCCGCGTCCTCATTCGCCTTTTCTCGACACGTCAAAGTTGGAACAATGGCTGGTATCAGCGACGATGTGGTCAATATGAAAGTCAACCGAGGCGATTTCCACAATGCGCTTGACGAAGTTAAACCTGCATTTGGCGTGTCTGAGGAGGAGCTTTCGAGCCGTATCCAGTACGGCATCATCCATTACTCCCACCAGATAAACGAAATCTTGAAGGAAGGAGAGCTCTTTGTCAAGCAAGTTGGTGAATCGACACCTTTGTTTTCTGTCTTGCTGCATGGTCCAACTGCGTCAGGGAAGACTGCACTCGCAGCCCGGATTGCTATCGATTCTGGATTCCCCTTCATCAAACTGATCAGTCCTGAAGATATGGTCGGCTATAGTGAAATGGCTAAGGTTCAGTATATCAGTAAGATCTTCGATGACGCTTACAAGAGTCGCACCAGTGTTGTTGTCGTCGACAATATCGAAAGAATTATTGACTGGGTCCCAATTGGCCCTCGATTCAGCAATACTGTCCTGCAGACCTTGATGGTCTTTTTAAGGAAGCAGCCGTCAAAGGAACGGCGATTGCTTGTTCTGGCAACCACAACCCAGAGAGCTGTTCTGAAGCAGCTAGATGTGTACAACTCATTCAACTCCGACATCATGGTCCCGAATGTCATGACATGCGACGAATTGCAATACATCATGAAGCAGTCGGAGGCGTTTGATGATCAGGAAATTGGCCAGGTGTTAGAGGCGATTGGTGGTATCAACCAAGCTGACAAGGCGCCGGCGGACAAATTCATCGGTGTCGGCGTTAAGAAAGTGCTGTTGGGCATTGAGACGGCTAAACAGGATGCTGACAAGGTTGGCCGGTTTGTACGTGTCATGGACAGGGCAATTGAGGAAGAGCGGAGCTTTGACTGAGATTCATTCTTTCTTTTCAGATAGAGAGGAGGGGGCTTCTTTTCAGTTGTTGGATACCCAGGTATGTGCCTGTATGTATAGAAGAATGGTATTTGTACTTAGTGAAATTGGCAAGGACACAGAGTGTCTTAATTTAACGTGACTCTTACCCGTGTTCCAATGTATTGTATTTCATTCACTATTGATCACCTGCATGCAGCCCATCCTCCCCAACGAAGGGAATAGTCACACATACACACACACTCTTCCTCTACCCTACCTCTCTTACCTTGACCTCATTCTATGTTAACCTTATCTTTTTGCTATCAAAACTAAACGCACGGCACAAGACTTAAGATGGCTGAAACAGACTCTAGGTCTCTCCATCCCGAGTCAAACTGCATCCTAAAGAAGCAGCTTTCCCAGCAGGAATGCAGTCTCCTAGAAGAATGGGCGCCCGAGACACTAGACGTATTTCGCAGCACAAAAAATGCCGCCCCAGCCCCCGAAACAAGAGTCCGGCGCCACACCAATTGGACCTCGAGCTCGAAAACCTCTAAACAAGGAGGGTATACAGCACCGAACAGGACTTTCCTCTGTGACAAAGAGCTAGCTAAATTGTCTGGTGGAATTAAGAATTTGGAATCACTGTGTACGGTATATTTCCAGCCTTGTTTCATCGAAGATCCCTGGAAGGATCTCAAATCCGTGAGAATGAATTTTACTACCCGCTATTGGTTTGTCTGTCCTTTATATTCGCTTCTATCTCTGTCTCTCTGGCTGCGTGTGTGATTCTTGACTATCTTGAATTGTTGCCACATATTGCCTTGCTTGGATTTGAGTCGGCTAACTGGAGCTTTAGATGAGGGTCCTACGATACGATATTGCTGGGGCGGGGAATACTCTAGTCTCCGTGGGCGCGCGCGCGCGCGCGGGGGGGCACTGTATTGATAATGTGGTGAGGGTGAAAGCGCACAGTCTGAGAACGGTCTGATTTATTTTGCAACAAAATTTGTTACTTACGAATGGGTTGTATATGTTGCTTGTTGGGAGTAGCTCGTGTCGTTGGGCAGAAGGTAGGGCATGCATTCTGATGTGACATGCTCCATGTAATGTTTCTGATCAGGTCCAAAAAGTTATGGAACCCTTGAAATCCTCAGTAGACCAGAACGTACTCTGTTTGCTATTATTGCCACATTTGAGTATTGGTCGACTCGACTATTTGCAGTTGACAGGGGCTTTCTTTCACCCCTAACAAGGAAATCTTTACCCCTGAAACATAGTGGATGCAGTTTCGCGAATCACTGGTTACGCTGAGACAAGGTAAGAGATCTTTGTGTACTAGGTAATTTCTTCTGCTTTCTTTTGCTCTCTCACCTCTTTCTTTCTTATCATACATAATCCTTGTCTCGAGTGATTATAGGCATCCTTGGTATTATCACTCCAGGGGGTGCATGTTCGATGGTCTTATCCTTTCATCAAACCCTACTCTTATTGGAGCCTTATAATTAAGGTATGGATCCTATCTCCTCTTCTCTCTCACTATTAATACAAATGGCTGGATCACCCTATATGGCATCTACACGCGCTAACTGTGACTCCGGCCTAATTGACATCACATGGGAAGGGGGAAGTAAGAGGCTTGAAACACTGCAGGCTCCCAATCCTCCAACCTCCCCATTGTATATTTACGACTACCAGCTGCCTTCCAACGTTGTCTCGACTAATCTTGCCTCCATCAGGGGTCCAAATAAGCTACAGCACTACCATGTTACATCTATGCGCCTAGAAGAACTTAAATTGCCGGTCCAACCCCCCAACGGTATGCGTCCCACGTGTGGCGCAGGGGAGTCTGCTGCCCAAGAGCCCCTGAAGCGTACTAGATCCGGCGCCGGCATTGGCTGTGACAGACTCCGCGCAGACCCGCAAAAGCGGCAATAAACTCCGACGAAAATGGAGGGCGGAGCGGAGGGAGGCGGATAAGGTGTCCGCTGGCGGAGTGGGGTCGGCGCGATAGTGGAAGATCGACTGAAGGTGATCAAAGTCACTTGAGAGAAGCGTGCGAGATGGTTTGACATTGGCCCGGGGATTTTCTGCCATTGATTTGCAGCGAGACCCGTGGGAACCCATGGCTTGTAAATGCGTTGTTCTGCCCCTTAGCCCTCTGGTATGTATCCTGCACTGCTTCCAGGGGGCCGTGCTACAGGCCCCCTACGGTGATGTGATTCACATGACCTGTGGTCAGTAACCTCGCGATGAAAGCATCTCTAGGTCTGCACGTGGATCAGACTAGAGAACGGGACCTCCTCTTTCTCTGCTCTTGCGGTTGGGAATTAATGACTGCATCTCAAATATCAAGAAATCGAGTATATTCCATCAATCATATCGCTATCGGTTAGAAAACGCCAAATGTACAAGTTGCCAAATCGAACAAACCACCGTCACATAAGCCCCACGGATCCCAAACAGTTCCATGACATAGCTCGAGTCACAAACTAAGCACACAAACCTGACCCAAGTTCTCGGGACAATTTTCGCGGGAAGTCGTCGCCGCATTAAAAGAATTACCCTCAAAAGGAAAGTGAGAAGAAAAGGAAAACAAAACACCGGCTGAGAAAAGCAGAGTCATCGGTAGGACTCCCTTGCAAGGAGTTCAGTATTCATCATTATAGGTGTATTTCTTCGTCGCTCGTCGGTATTCCTCGGGATGAACAGCCTCGGCTTTTGCCTTCAGTGCACTATTTTGGCAAACCCCATCAGTTTCGCTCAATAAAGTATGGCAATGCACTTCCTCCCTCTCCCAGCAGCTTGGACAACTGCAACTCAGGCACAGGTGTTGCCAAGAAGAGAAGTGACAGCGGAGCCCCAGCGGAGCGGAATCCCACGACAGCATTGTGCATTGGGTTAGAGTTGAGACCGAAAGGCTATCTAAACTCACCTCACGCGCTTTTGAGTCCATTCAAGATCTCGTTTAGTCTCTCGAGCTACTTTGATGCCGTCAGAGAAGTTGGAACGGGCCCCCTGCAGTCGTCGCTGGGCAAGAGCTTGCAATTCAAGAAGCTCTCGTTGTTTGGCGTTTAGCTGACCGGAGCTGTATGTAATGGTCGTTAGTACACCTGTACTACTTTCAATTCGCAGAAGCATCGCTTGTGCTTAAGAAGCGAAGATACTGGCGAATTCAATCCGTCAGAGTGTCGGCTGCTACTCACGCTTGTGCCTGTCTTGCCAACCCTTTGTCCAAGGGCGTAGGATCAAACACATTCTGCATGCGGTCACACAAAACCTCGACAACATCGACACCAGAATACGACGCAGAGCTTGACTCGTAGTCGCCGCTGATGCTCCCTGAGCTGTAGCTAAAGCCAGCGGAGGTGCGACTTCCCGCCGTGGTGCTAGTATCAGACACATCTGGCGGCGATCCCGAAACGCGGCTGATGGGATAGAGATTGGCAGAGGTCGGTGCCTTAGAGGGAACGTTGATAGGAAGAGGAGGGGCCTGGTAGTGCTGAGTCGCCATTGTGATAAGTGACGTTGCTCGGAGAGAGTCGAACAAGGCAGAGATATGCAAGGCGACAATAGTTGATGAAACAGGCTGGTGGTTAGGCGAATTCCTTCAAGGGATGAAGTAAGTATGTGATATACCTGACTCCCAAAAGGGTGTAAGGTCAAAGTGGAACAAATTTTGTCAAAAACTGGGAAGAAGGCAAGTCTAGGACTGGGAAGATAAGAAAAGGAAGAAGGAGAGGAGGGAGAGGGGACCGAAAAGATGAGACTTTATATATTCCTCACCGGAGGGTCATCCATCCGGCGGAGGAGTCTTCCATGAGGGCCATGGCCTGTCTAGGGCGAGGGGACAGAGTCATTCATTGGGCATTGGACCATCCCGGGAGCCATTTCTCTCTCCCCCATCAGGCCTCACTTTCCCAAGACCCCCAGTTCTCTCCAATCCCGACCCCCCAATTCCGCTCATCTCCCAACTTCTGACAGCCCATTCGCTCCTGTTCCCGAATCGACCCCGCTCTAGTGGGAAGACGAAAACTTAAGGGAGGGATATAGATAGCCGGAGACTGGTCCAGCCCTCGCAAGTCCCTCTCCACTCGGACTCTCTTCCGCGCTCCCGTGGCGATATTTGGACATTTAGTTTTTCTCTCTTTTTGCTTGGACAAGTTCCCGTTGCCCTATACCAATTGGAAAAATAGGGGCAGCTAAAGAATATAAAGAAAGAGGTTATGGGCGGAATTGTATTAGGATATCATAGCTGATCTACCTTGGCGGGTAAGCGGGATTACTTGCTTCTCTCTCTCTCTCTCTCTCTCTCTTCAGTTTACCCAACGTTCTTTCCATTCCTTAGAAATTTTCTTTTGCTTATTTTTTTTTTCTTTTTTCAACCCCCTTTCAGCCATTCAAATCCTTGTTTGCGGATCTTTCAACTTCGGCTTCTCTTTTCTGAATTTTACTGCCTTGTCTTCCAGTCTTTCCGGCCGACCATATCGAGTATCACTAATATCAGGAGGCTGGGTGGCTGGGGAACATGGACGCCGATGAAAGTCAAGTCCTATTTAATAACAGGACGATTGTGAAAAGAAAAAGCTGCATGGTTACGGAGTTAACTAGATGCGACTTACCCTATTGTCGCGCTGGTCAGCGGTGTCTCCTTCGGCGTCTTAGCATCGCTTTCTTGCTGCTGATCTTGGTCTTGCGTGGCTATTGTCGATGTCCTTACCGTGACACACGTTTCGGTGGTATCCTATTTGGTACCAGTCTGTTGAGCATATGAGGTCAGTATAATCAGAGCGAAAAGATGAGGTTTGCGCCATTGGATCGATCCGATTGCGTGTGTGCGCCAAAAAAAAAAAAAAAAAAAAATTTCCCTTCCTCCCTTTTGCCAAAATGGCCCTATAAAATACCCCTGAAATTTGCCAGTGACGGGGACTTGTAAGGATAAAGCAAGGCGCTAATGAAACCGCAGTATTTTCGTTACGAAAAGCCGGGGTTGAAATTATGGCATTAAACATGTGGGGACTGAGAAAGAAAAGGAGACTGGAGAATGCGATACGCATGAGATCGATCACGTATTCCAAATTTTCACGAGGAGTTTCTACTCCAGTCTACCCGGAAGCAGAAACTTAAGATCACCGGAGTGGCATGGTACGACATGGGATGATACCTGGGACGTGTGACGAGCATGATTTTATTCGCGCCGCTGAAAGGTTGATAAGAAGCAACAATGTATGCCCAGGGCCTCAACTGGGATGGTCACTGGGATTGAGATGAGCCTGTCGGTGGCCTTCTGCCGTCTTCGCTGCAAAGTCTCATACAGTGAGAGCACAGACAGCAGCAGTCGGCAACCAAACGGCGACAAGCGCACTAAACGCGAACGTGGGAAGCTCGAGGGCAAACGGCCCCGAATGGACCACGGACTAGCAGAACACCACGCACTTGCAGGTGACACGCAGTGACTGATCGAATTGAGCTTCATAAACATCAGGATATTGGAGGGAATGTGGCATTCTTGGATGGGTTTTAAGAGTTGCGGCTGACATTATAGGGTATAAGAGCAGATGAGATTAGAGGGTGTGAGAAGAAAAAGAAAAAAGAAAGTGCAAAAAGGAAGGAGAAGGAAAAGAAAGAGTGAAATAAATAAGTCCTAACGAGAAAAAAGAGAGGTGAAAATCATTTCACAAACGACAACGCTGACACGCTGATCTGAACAGCTTGGCACTCATCCTCATACCTGCCAAACTCTAGCAAAGAACACCACTTTTATGATATTTATCCACAAGTGCTAGTCTCCGGTCCCCTGTCGCTCTAATGCAAGTATCGTCATGGCTTTACGGCCTCACGCCCTTGTTGCCTTACTAGTTAGGCCACTGTCTTCGACTCTTTTTAGAGCGTCCGAGCACAACGAAAATCCAGAACATATGCGAGTTAAATGAAGCAGGAACAGGCCCTTTAGACCTTCAGAGCAGCCCGACCGGATTGCTGGGTGACACAGCGACCCAACGCACCATGAATGAGCCGCTGATTGGGTCAATTCGTGTGAGATACTCCTTTCCCATTCCTTATCCTTAGTCTCGCCTTTTGACTCAATCTGGGTTTCTTTTGAATTTCATCTGTTTATTTTATTTTAATTTTTAGTTTTTTTTTTTACGATTTTGTCAGTTCCTTCCTTGTCATCTCTTTGTTCTTTCCGACTTCATAACATGGGCCGATATTGACAGGCCCTATGAACAAGACGCAAAATCTTGCCGATGGCCACCATAGCGCACAGCGGCTGAGTCTTACCAGCGTTCTTCTGGCTTGCATCACTAGGCTGATGCAAAATGCTCGACATCCGTTTGTGCAGCAAAGTCGACGGTAGGCTGTTGGTCTAATACTGTGTGGGTGATGCAACCCCGATTATGGTCTCTAATGGTGTCGAACTATGGGCCTTCTCTGTAGCGCCAAATGTGCCCAACGACCGTTCTGTGCTAGGCTTTAATCCAAGTGAGGAGAAAAGGGGACATTTGCGGCCTCATCTTTGGTCAACTAAACACTCAATACTTTGCTACGGCGGGCAACCCGAGGATTTCCAATGATCACCCAAGTCCACCCTCCAAAGATGTCCGTGGGATGCAGCGAATGTGGGGTTGATTGGGGGAGATTCGCCTGTCACTCGTTTGCTGTTGCTGTTTCCCCTTCGCTCACCGCCACAAAAAATACTACTCGTTCAATACTTTTCTGGCTGCCTTTCGAGCCCATTGGGCAACAAGCACCAAAACCACTTCGGTCCCCTTGGTCACGTTCCTTGGCTCCTTTTGGCCTTTCTAGAACCTTAACAAGGTTGGACTAACCTATCCAACAATATGACCTCGGTGGACCATCCATGCTTGTGCCTAACCTGAAGCCTAGGGGAAACATTTGCTCTGGGTTGGTCAAGGAGCGGGTGAACGTCATCCGTTTTGCTCGCTATGCGCATCGATCTATTTTGGAGCGAAACATTAACCTCAGCTCCTGTCCTTGACATCATTCTTTACGCACCAAATCGGAGTGACCAGGGTCAGCTCTCGCGTCACTTTTTCTATTTCTTCTCCCCCCTCCCTCTCGACTTGCCTTTTCCCATGGTGGATTGGATTGCCTCATCGAATGCGGTACCCCCTAATAACAGGCAGTTTCAACTGAGTGTAAACACTTGGTCGATCTCAGGTTGTACAAAAGATGAGGCACCTGACATCGAACGTATGGAGCTCTGATCCGATATTCTTATACCAGCGCAAATGACGGCAATCCACAATAGAATGATTACATCACCTCCCACTGCTCTCCTACTGAAACCAGACAATGGGGCCCATTCCCCTTCTCTTTCCAATTGTTTGCACTGTCACCTGAACTCTAGGTAGTCACACAGGCAAGGGATAGGTAGGTTACTCACTACCGGAATCTTTTCTTTTTAGTTTCTTTTTGTGAATTCTCTCACACGATCCTTCCAACCACATAGGGTTGACGGTCAAAAGCAAGGGACTAATGAACTAACTACTAACGGCGCAGAGCGCAGCTCATCTGACATGTATTGATTCATGTACCTCGATGGGTTGATAGGTCTAGTACTGAATACTTTCTGGGTGGGTTGGGGATGACCTCGGTCACTTTTTTTTTCAGTGCTCCCTTAACTTAAACATCTTGAAGGATTGGTCTGATATAATGCAATTAGAGTATATCATATATATTGCTATCTCTTCAACGACTGAATCTGAAGGTTGACCAGTCAAAATCCCGAACCCAAGTGACAATTCCTTTTTATATCCAAACGGCCCTCAGCCATGCTAGAACAGGTATCTCAATCAGTATGTGAATTATCTACTAAGAAGGTAAATGAACAGAAAACATCGAGGAGGGGTAGGTAGGTAAATGTTGGGGGGCTTGGTAGACACTCTGCTATCTGCAAATACAATTCCAGAAGTTAAATATCATGCTCATAAGATGGTATCGGGAAGAAGAATAAAGAAGAGAAAAAAGACATGGTGGTAGAAGAGAAAGAAAAGGGAGGAGAATAAAAAAGCCGAACGATGGAGGCTTGACAAAAAAGAAAACAACAATTGAGAATTGCTCAACGAATCCGATAACTGACGCCACGCCACGAACGAGGTCAATGGTCCAAAGAACAACAACCAGCCTGTAATTCCGACCCCCATAATGCTGAAAGGTATCAATCAAACCTGAATGCTCGATGCAGATGCGTAGTGAAAATCCGCAATTGCAAAAGAAACAAAAATAATAAAATAAAAAATATAAAGAAGGGGACTGAAATAACTCGAAAAACCAAAATTCAAGACTCGAAAACATCCAAGGACGCCTTTCCCTTCGACGGCTTGTGCCAAGCCAAAACCCCAGCCCAAAATGAGAAAATGTAGAACGATTAGCAGATACATCAGGACACGATCGTAGCAGCCGGGAGGTCATGTACTTTTCCATTCGGCGCGTTAGCTGAAGGCCACACCAGGACAAACAAGTGCCTGGGACAGTCGCCGCCCCATTCATCACACGAGTGATGAGAAAAGCCACCTTATTCTTCGCGGTGGTTATCTCTTTTGAGGCGTTCTCGAAGTAGAAGGAGAGGTCGGCTAGGATCAAGCAGTCCCATCATCATCTTGCCTAGTTCATTGTGTTTGATGGGTTTGGTGACATAGTCGTTGAAGCCAGCTCGTGCAGCATCTTCGATTTGATCTGTCATTGCATTGGCAGACAGAGCCATAATGGGTATTTGAGGGTAATGGTTCTTTAGCTCCCAGCTACGAACATCACGGCAAGTCTCGTACCCATTCTTCACTGGCATTTGGATATCACACTGTGCGAGACGTTAGCTACAGAGGACAAAGCAAAAAGCAAAGACCGGTGGTGATTGCGACTTACTATTATAAGAGAGTAATATCCTGGTTCCTTCGAAAATACCATCTCCGTGCATTCTTGACCATTTGACGCAGTTTCAGCCATGACTTTAATCTTGTCGAGATATTTCAACATAACCTGAGAATTATGTTAGAAGCGATCGAAATTAAAAAAGAGCATCGGGTGGAAACTCAAGACAAACTCACCATGCGATTTGTTTCATCATCTTCAACGAGCAATATCCGGTACCCTTTGTTGCCGATGACTTCCTTCACCATCTTGGACATAGTCTTGAAATTATTGTTGATCTCTCGAGCCATGTCCTGATTTCTATCCTTGCTAAGGTCTCGTCGGTTATCAGGGTCGAAAATCGCCGAGAATGCTGAAGGCTTCACCGGCTTTGGTACGGTATAAACACATCTACCGCTAGCAGACAGTTCCTTGATCTTCGAATTGATTTGTCGCTTCTGGTACAGGTCGGAGATAATGACAAGTTCAGGGGCGGAAGCTGGATCACAATCTGACACATATTGGATTACGTCCTGAACGTCCTCCACGGTAGGCAGGTTCAGCACCAAATGCGTAACTTTAGCACTAGAATCATCATTCATGGAGTCCTTCCAGTCCTCAACATCGGGCAAGGATGTAATTGAAAACGGTATCTCGTGAGGCACCACCTGTTCAATATGCTGTTTGATAGCCTTGCGCGTATTGTCCAAAGGACAGAGAATAAGTATGGAATACGGTCCCTGCGAGGGCGGAGCATCTGACGCTGCCTCTGCAGCTACCGAAGTAGTCGGCACTGAAGGTTCCTGAGACATTGAGGAAGTTGGTCGGGCCACAGGACGTATGGTGTCGCTGCTCGAAGAACTCATAGTATTCGGTCGAACCTGCGTATCTACGTAGTTGAGAGCAGGCTTCGTACTATCGGCCTTGGTGAGCGGGTCCACGGCATGGAGCTCGGGAGTTGGCAGGGCCGAAGAAACGGAAGATCGCTCGGATAGGCTATTGAAACCAAAACGAGCGGAAGGATCAGAGCTGCTCGGCGGCTGAGAAAGCGGCGAATCGAGTACGGACGATATATCGGAAGTATCCGGTCCCTTAGAGTCAAGAGAGTCCCTTGACGAAAAGAGCAATTTCTGCAGGGAACCAGGCTTGGCTTGCATCCCCAGGCCATCGGACATAGAGGAAGACTGTCGAACAAGACGCGGTTCGTCAGGCGACGGCGGCGGGGGTGCGTCGACCTTGACATAAAACGAAAACTTGGCGCCTTGGCCTTCTTTACTACTAGGGGTCAACCTGCCGCCATGCATTTCAACAAGTTGCTTCGACAAGAAAAGCCCAAGACCACTGCCAGCATGTTGTTGGGAACCATTTTGTCCTAACTGGCTGAACCGTTGCATCAGACGCTCGGCATCTCTCGCGCTGAAACCCTTTCCCGTATCAACCACGTCAAAGTTTAACAGCAATTGTGTCTCTTTCGAGAGGGTCGCAGGGTCATGAGAGATGGAACAGCGTATGTGGATTTCGCCTTGAGAAGTAAACTTGACTGCATTACCAACAAGATTTATCAAGACTTGACGAATTCGGAACCTATCACCGATCACCATTGGAGGTACATCCACATCCATCAGATAGTTCATTTCCAGACCCTTATCGATGGCTCTGGAAGAAACGGTGTCAATCACATCTTCGATCACCGATCGCACATGGAACCAAGAGTTGACTAGCGACATTTTCCCGGCTTCAACTCTGGAGACATCTAGGATGTTATCAACCAACTCACGCAGGTTGGTCGAACTGTTCTGTATAGTATCCAGCATTCGTCTCTGATCCGTGTCGAGCTGGGTATCCAAGATGAACGGAATGGTACCCAGTATTCCATTTAGCGGTGTCCGGATTTCATGGGACATGTTGCTGAAGAATTTGGTCTTCGATTCCATTTGATTATTCAATTGTTGCATCGCCTTATTGAGCTCCCGCTCCAAGTTCTTGCGGTCATTGATATCGGTGCATGTTCCGTACCACGAAGCCTCTCCGCTGCCAAAGCTGCTGGTCTCAACACGCACCAAGCGAACAAGGTGCCACCTAAAATCTCCTCCTTTGGAGCGAAGGCGAATTTCTGTAGAGTAGAAGACACGTCCGTTTTCATCCTTCTGGACGGAAGCTACCCCACGTCTTACGAGTTCTTCTAAAGCAGGAGTGACCCCGCTAGCAAGATGACGTTCCTGGAGAGCCATGTTGATCCTGGTGGCTTCAGATACCGTCGCATCTGATCCAGCAACTGTGCTTTCTTTTTGGGACTCTGCGAGATACACAGAAAGCACGCCACATTTTTCTAAGTCGTCAGGATGAAGATGTTTCGCAAATCCAAAATTAAGGGCTTCCTCGAGCTTCTGGCCCGTATACAAATGCCACTGTTCGTTTACAAATATGAGGCCACGGTATTCAGTTGCCTCAAATACAATTTGCGGGATGGAGTTCGAAAACGCTCTATACTTGGCATCGATGGCGAACTTTTCTCTCTCTTGAGCAGCTTTGAGCTCTGCAATGTGTTGTTCATGTATGTCAAGAAATGAGCCGATCCAATATAGTACCTCTCCTGTGGAGGATAGTAGGGGATTGGCTCGGAAGATGAACCAACGATACGCGGTCTCATCGTTGAACCGCTTCACACGCACTCGTTCGGTGAACTGTGACCCCGTCCGTAAGGCATTCGCCCACTCCTGAGAGACGTGATCACGTTCACTATTGTGAATGTTTTGCCAAGGGTCCCTTAATTTTTGCTCCTGAGGCTGGCTCCTTCTGTATGCGTCGAATTTGGAGTTTGTCCATATGACCTCACCACTTTGAGGCTTAGCGAGGAATATATGTAGTGGAACTGAATTTAGCATCAATTGAGCTACAGTATCAGTAAACGGACGTGGTAACTCGCGCGGCAGTTGAGCGTAAAAGGAGTTTGCGGAAGGGTGGCGAGATGAGCTCTGCGTTGGGGATATAACTGGCGGTGCTCGGAGTTCCTGGGATGGGGATGTCTGTACTGCGCTTTGCTCCTGGGTAGTGGTGACATCTTCATCCGTCGGGATCTTTCCCAACAACCTCCCTGGTGATGTGGGTGTCGAGGCTGTGGCATTCTGCCTTGGCTTCGACAGTCGATTCCGATGATGAGTCAGGACATCACGGAGGCCCTTGAGTTGTTGGACGTTAAAGTAACTGTCCACAGCATCATTTCCGACTTTGGTAGCAAGACCTGGCGATTCGCCAGGCACGGCCGGAACTCCTACTCCGATGCTACTCAGGTCAAGGCCAGGAGTGCCTATTCCGGATGGGCTAAGCTTAGTCGAGTTCGATCTTTCTTCGGGGCTTGAAAGGCTGGCGCGGGCCGACAAGGAACCGTCGTCGGCTATGCTATAATTGACATGTCCACTAAGACCAGCAACCAGCTCTAATTCGCTGCTCTCGTCCGAAAAGGTCCCACCTAGACCAAGAAGATGGCCGTAGCGTGGGGCCTCGAGCCGAGATGTGAATTGCCGCTCAAGCTGGCTATAGTGTTGGGCTAAGCAGAACGAAGTTGTCAAATGTGGAATTAGATAGGCAAGTGACTGTCGCAAGTTCGCAGGGTACGGTATTATAGGTGATAGTATTGAGATGACAGCTACCGGAAATCTCAAAGTAGACGGTGAAGTTGGTTTCGAGCGGCCAGCATGCAAAAGAGGAATGTGAACCACAGACTTCGCTAGGTCGACACCGATTGCCTCCAAAGGGTTTAGATTCGAATAATCGTGATGTGGGGGATGTTTTGCGAATGCACCCTCATCAACGGTGTGACTTAAGAAGAAGGGATTCTGCTCTGCATGCGTACGGGGTGCTGGCGAAGGAGCAGGTGATTGGGACCAAGGTGATGGAGGCACTTGCTCATATTCGTCATAGAATTGCATCAACTGAGCCTTTGGCGCATGAAACCCCGAGGTGGCTGGGTTGGAGACAGACCTGGACCGAGCAGTAGGCTCCTGCTTCGACGGCCGGACAGGCTCAGCCGTGGGAGTAACTTGCACTACATCCTCTGGCGTTTGAATGTCACCTTGGGACTGCTTCGCTGCGGTATTCTCCGAGTATTCCCTGGTTAAAACAACTGGCCCCGTGCGCCCAAACAACTTCACAACGCCAGTTCTCTTTATAAGCGGGTCAGTTTCGACTTCCAAGGGTCGGGATGTAGGAAAGACAATCTGACGATGACAATACTCTGAGGAGCTGATCGGATCGAAGGGCTGCGTAAACGACATGGTCTGCTCCTGGTAAGGAAGAGGTGAGGCCGGTTTCTGGGTGGTTCCGGCATCGGCTGGGTTTTCGTCGGAGATCTGGACTCGCTTGTTCCCGTTTTTTGCCTTCTGCACTTGCTGCGAGATATCTGAATCTTGCCAGGTTGATAGTTTCCGTTCCTTGCCAAATCCTGCGAACGAGTGCCGTGAGAGGAGTGAAGGTCTTTTTAGAAGCTTAACAGCCCCCGATCCATTCGCGAAGTTTTCCGTGCTAGACCCTTCTTTCCTGCTTTCTGGGCTGCCATCTTCTTTAATAGAGATATTATTCGTTGCGGTTGTCTCGGTGTGCGACTGCTGATTCTGCAAAGTGTCCCGTTCATATCCTGCAATCCGATCGAAGACTGCCTTCTGGCCCCATGGAACGTTTTCAAGATCTGTCGCATCCCCTGGTACGGCAAGCGACGCTCGCTCCGCGCCATAGTGCTCCTGTAAAATGTGGACAACGTTGGCCCACCATGCATCAAGCCCGGGATCCGCATTGATCTGTAACGTGAGATCATATAAGCTGGGAGTAGGATAACTCGGATCCTCGGCCACAGTTTTGTGTTGGGGTGGAAGGAACACATTATGAGATGCAGGAGTCTTCATCGCGGTGGGTTGTCGTTCGTCGGTTGCTTGCGAGGACATTCTATGGACTTTGAGCTTTTCGGCCGGAAGCGTCAGCTTGAATAGATTATGGTTGGATGCAGGATCTTGCATCGACCTCGGAGGAGCCTTTCGTTGTTGTTGTTGTTGTTGTTGCTGCTGCTGCTGTTGTTGCATTCGCGGAAATGGGTACGAGGGAGTCTGTCCCGGTAGATTATCGTGCGTTGAATCGGTGGCTCGTATCGTGCCACCTGAACCAGTCGAATCGGAATATGAAGCAGAAGGCATGGCTTCTGTTGGGAACGGTGCGACCCTCGGGGAAGATACATCGGAAATACGCCTTTTCCTCGACGACTCGTAACTCGAAGAAACGGTGTCTGCTTGCGACGAAGTCGTCTCACGAAGTCCTGATGAGATCTGGTTCTGGGATTGTTGCATCTGTTGGTAGACAAGCAGCTCCTCCATCTGCCGCCGTAATTCCTTGAGGGTCTGCGAACTTCGTCCTTGATCCTCTTGGTACCCTGTTCCCGAGGCTGTATTCTCCTTCGCAGATAGTGATGTACCAAACGGGTTCGCAGTCTGTTCATCCAACACAGAAGGAGATTGAGAGTTAGCCTTCCATCTGTTATCCTCTATGGTTACGTTTCCATCCACTGTACATCCGTCATTTCTACTGGAAACGAGGTCGGATGTTGACTGAGGGGGGTGAGGATGAGGTGCGGCGACAGGCGAAGGGGCCTCGGCCGGCGATGGAAGCGGAGTTGTCCTCATACTATGAACTTCCCCCATCCTATACACCCTCCACCGCCGGTCAGATAATCAATTCTCCTGGGCGAATCCAACTCCACAGGAGCCAAATAGAGCACTCATCTCTCGGACAAAACGGTCCGCGGGTCAAGTGAAGGGAGACCGAGGGTGAAGGATAAAATTGGAACAGTGTGAAAACGAGGGAATGAGAAAGAGATGAGGGCCGCCGTCGCGGAGAAAGGGAAAAAAAAAAAAAAGTGAAGTTCGTTAAACGCACGGAAAGAAAAAAGGCAAAAAGGGGTGGGCCTTGAGAAAATAGAGAAAATAGAAAATCAAAAACTCAAAGGGTATACCTCGACCGGTAGAAAGAACAAAATTCTGGGGAAACACGGGAGAAGAGTAGGGATTGATGCGTAAGAAAGGGAGAAGAAAAAAGGAAAAAAAAGAAAAAGGTTTAGGGAAAGGGAAAGAGAGAGAGAGATTCAGTAGAGGTGACTAAAGCGGTGTATAACGGTGGTGGTGAGGTAGGAGCACTGGATTGAGAGGAAGTGTCGATTGATCTGACCTTTTCCTTGAAGCACTGGAGCAGGTTCTGCTGTTTTGACCCAGTGGATCGTCGATTTGTGCTGAAAGGTGTGGAAATGGAATGGAAATGGAAATCGTCCGTCTTCCGGGGGGTCCAACCTATGACGTAGCCGAGCCCTGACGGGTTCTCACAAAACCGCGGTACTGTACGAGTTTTCCCAGGCGCCAGAGCGTATGAGGGGTAAAAAAGGGTGACTGGAAAATGGAGATGAAGGGGATCTAGGAACAGTAAAAGTTACAAGAGAGTCAAGGAAATCAGGGGAGAAAAAAGAAAAAGAAAGAAAGAAAAAAGCTGAGAACAAGGGTTACAGCGGGGGGTAAAATGGGACGACAAACACTATCATATACCAGGATCTTTCGGTCAGGAAAAGCAAGTGTGCGAGAGAAGGAAAGGATAGGCCACAATTGAAGACCCCGGAAGGGAAGTAGAATAGTCCGCTATGGGTGAAGAAGGATGACTGACTAGGGAAGTCTACGAGGCTACCTATGAGAGTAGGATGCACGATTCCAGTCACCTGAATTCTACCTGAGGGGGGAGGTTCAAACCATCCTGTATGTATGTATCTAATAGTTAGTCTAAGAAGAAGAGAAAAAGAAAGAAGGGAAAAAAAAAAAAAGACGAAAAAGGAAAGTAATTTTCCCCTTGAGTGACTTCATTAACTTCCTTGTAAAGTACTTATTGTATATACAGTATAGTATCGTAATCTTCCTGTGGACTCGAGGGGATATTAAGAACTCCATACTAGTATTTGGTAGTGTAGTAATATTAAATAAGATCCTCTCCTTCAATCAAATCATATCATTCCTATCATTCCTGGTAGTGACCAAGGACTTTTCCTTTCGCTCTCTCTACAAAGATCCTACTCCCCTGTCTCTGTCCCTTCTCTTTCCACCACCTACTATACATCAAGCATAACCCCTCCTTCACCCTTTACTCGTGCCTAGAATGAAAAACTAGGGTCCAAGCCAAAGCAACTCTTCTCGATATGCACCACAAGGACTAAGAAGCCACGCTTATGATCATTCCACGTACTTGGTACTAACACCTGCACTAGGGTACGGAGTACTCCGTGCTGTTGTATCTTATTATTATTTTTATTAATAATGTTACCAAGGAGGTGGAGAGGCTGGCAGCCGATAACTTCCCGCAAAGCCTACATAGGGTTTGTAAGGCAGGAATGGAATCATGGTATGTACGGAGTACAAAGTACGGATACATCCGTCATCCTTTAGTAAATTTCAACGGATCCCCAGTATCTATCACAATAACATGGCATATTCATTGTGTAAGATATCGAGTTGAATAGCCTAGAGAAATAACTAGTAGGTATCAAAAGAAGGTACCGAGTAGATGGTGTTCAATGGTACAACTAATTTAAGAAGAGAAAAAATAAAATAAAATAAAATATTGGGGGGGGGGGCGGGTAGAGGAAAAGAAAGAAAATAATTAAAATAAACTGAGGGTAAATTTTTTTCACTTCCCCGAGCTGCAAGCCGTCAAGGGTGATCATTTATGATTTGTGTGGCGCTCTCCGACTCCAGAGACTCGGGTACAGCAATCAATAAATGGTTAGTGTGTTTTGTTTTTAGAGTAGTATTATCCAACGTTGGGTACTTGCACTATGTATTCTGATTTATTACTAGAGAGGATGATGTAGGGCCGTGTCCTAAAGCTGACTAATACTACGTATTTACTTACCTGCTCACTGCCCATATGCATCGTAATCAACCCTTTGCCACACCGACAGCGTAGAAGAACGGATAAAAATACCGGGGTATTAGGTAGTTGTGGTGGTTTTGGGATATAGGAGTGAGATCCATGGATTCCAACTTTTTCTGAGCCCCTCTGAGTGGCCCATTCCAAGTTCACCAATCAGTGCACAGTTACCCACCCAACGCTAAGCATGGGGTGCAGGAGTTGCAGATGGCCTAAATGTGGAAGAGAACGCCCGTTGTCGTCATCAGTTTTCAATCTCAATATACGTACGTATAGCCCCCGATAACAACTAGTTGTATAGCTCTGATGAGCTTCCATACCCTTCAGAAAATATTCCGAACGAGTCATGGCCTGTTATATTTTTATCAAGGCGTGGGCCGAATTTCTGCTTGAGCCACTCATTTTTGGGCTGTACCACGCATCTGCCCTTGCCCCTGAATTATTTTTTTTTAAAACTTCATCCAGAGCTGTGTAGGTTAGACAATGCTTCAATGAAGGACTAAGGGACAGATCTATGCTACTTGGGGAGAAACCCCTTCTATAGTCATCAATTAAAACCGTTTTTTCTACTTTAGCTTGCCTTCCTATTCTAGCCAGTCGCCCGAGAATTATTGAAATCCCTTCGGCTGCGTTGTCCTGTCGATCATCTCTCCCGACACTCCGGTCTTTTCTCGCTCAACTGTTCTGTAGACGATACATTCAAAGAGCGATATCTCACAAGTGATGTGCATTCCACTCCACACCGCTTTGATTTGGCTGGGAAGGGGTAGAATTTGTGCTGCACCACCCTCAAATTGTTTGTCTCTAAGATATAAAGTTGTTTCTTCACCTCTGGTCATCTATTCTTCGTTATGACGCTTGTTCCTTTTCTGCCTTCTTTCTTATTTTAGTTCGTAAAATCCAGAGTCCTTGTAAAACGCGGGCTTGTTTATGAATTGTACGTACCGCCCATCTATCATAGAAAAAGGGCTAATTCAGGAACAAAACCGTTCTACCTTTATATTTCACACATAGTTCATTGTTTCTTGGGAAATATAGGTTTCTACATTTGTTTATAAATATCGTTTGCTACGTAATTGACCCCCGGCATTGTTAATTTGTCCGACGTGAGTGGTATTAGTACCCACACCTTCGGGTATGGTAGGTACATTTCTGTTTTCTAGAAATTAGTAGGGTAGATGGTTCCAATTAGAGGAATAGCAGGGATCCTTGAAATCTATATTGATGCACTGTTCTATATCAGGCGGTGGGTACCACATCATAGGTTCGCTTTCATTACTCGCAAGCATTCCCTTGAATTCATCACAATGAGTACATTATATATTTTCATATATCACGGTTGGGACGTTGGCACCTGGACAGGAACAATTTTACATGTACACCGTACCACACGGGTATTGAACGAATGGAAGAATGACAGCTGTTGCCAGCCAAGGTTCAACTGTCAAATCCTAAGCAATCTATAGTTCACCATTCAAACCCAGTAGCGCCTTAGAGCCTAGTATGTCGACATGCCTGTGGTTGCAGATGACGAGGCCACGTTTTTTGGTCGTGCTCCACGTTCCTGCTGACTAATGGGTTTGGAGGTCAAGTGACCTATAAATACACACAAACCAGTGACGTAAAAGTTTCATGGCACGCCTCTAATTTCAAACCCTTTACAATACCACTCATCTAATCACCACGGCCTCCCTTGCTAAATACGTGAGTCTTTGATTGATTCTTAAACAATAAACAGGCGATTAGCATCCAGGAATCTAATTAGTCGATTCAGAAGTGGTATGTCTGGTATTTGCGTGAGGTAGCTAATGGCCGCCTGGAGCTGCCTCCTTACGAAGAGGCAAGTCTTAGTTATTCTACTCGGCTAACTTTTCAACTGCTTGCTAACCACTAACTCCTTAGAATGAGAACGGCTCTATCAAAGTCTATTATGGGGAGCTTTTCTGTCGCGTCCCGGACTGTTCAAAGCCCAGATAAGAATTTATAAACCGGTTATCGAGTACTTGCTAACCGCTTATCGCTCACTTAGAAAAAATATACTGCAACCAACAATCTTCGCACCCACCTCGAAAAGCCATGGTGATATAAGTATGGAGAGCGGAAATACTGGTGGTCGAGTGGCTCAGAAAGCAGTCGATGAGGCTGTTAGTAAGTATTTATTAGGTGGTTATACAGCTTTTCCTTAACTGATTAATTACTGTTTAGGATGGTACAAGGGGCTCTTCTCTGGGGTTGAGCTACAAGATGGCGGTGAAGCAAGTACTGGAGATACTAGCTCATCGCGTGCTATTGACGAAAGTCTTCCTCCCCTTCCACTTAGAAAAGATGGTGCAGGAAGTAGTTTCTAACTAATTATTGACTGCTTGGCAACTACTCATCGAGTACTTAGGTTCATGTCACGAATATGCATAAGAAGGTTAGTGAAATGGGGAATTGAGTTCCGTGTAACTCCTGTGGCAATCTCAATGATTGCTGCAAGGATAATAAATAAATGCGACCATTTCCTTCTTTTTGATTGTGGTGATATTCATCCTTAGGCGTCAAATAAAGGCAAGGTGCCTGTAATGCCTTCTGAGAAAATAGCTTGAGGATTTGTAACTAGTTAATAATCACTTGTTCAGTACTTAGCAAATAATAAATAATTTTACGTGGCTTGCTTACTTCTCGAAGAGCTAAGAAATATATGTATCTAATACACACTGAATAACTCTTAAGTACTTGATAATCATTTACTAACCGCTTGTGAGCAATATAATTATAATTATAATTTATACCTGCTTTTAATTGCTTCTTAACCAGTTTTTAATCGATCTGTTGCTCTTTCCTGATCTGAATCCGCTGCCTTATGAGTTCTAGCTCCAGTTGCTCATTTTGAAGCTGTTTTAAACGGACCTCTTCTTCTTTTCTTTTAACTTCTGCCTCGAGGTCGCGCAACTCTAATTCTTGACGGCGTTGCTCTATCGTTAAAATATTTGCTGGAGTCACTCGATGAAGATTTCGAGATGAGGATGTAGATCTAAGTAGTTAATAAGCAGTTAGTAAGCGTTTAAAAAGAATACTAAAATATAAAAATCTCTTACTCATTATCAATAACTCGAGAAGAGGATGATGATCTTGATAGAGTTTGTATATTCCCATGTGGAGCTTCAGGAATTCGGCTACTAGCTTGACTGCATCTTTCATTTACTGATGATGATCGCCGACGTTTGCGACCTCCTAATTCAAGTAAGTACTTATTAATTGCTTCAAAAAGCGGTTTAAAGAACTTACTTTCCCGGCTCATATAGCGCAAATAATTTGCTTCTATAGTAGACGCCCGATAGGAATTATGAATATTGAATCGCTGATAATTCTGATATTGAAGAATATCATCCTTATCAAGTTTAGCAGAACTAAAATAGTCAGTAAAGTTTTTAAGTGGCTAATAAGCGGCTAATAAATACTTTTGGACTGCTTCAACTAAAGTTAAATACTTTCCAGAAGCATATGACTTTTGATGTGATTGCTCAACAGCGTTTGTATGATTTCGTAAAAGATTAAAGTAACGTGGCTGTATTTTTGAGCACGATTGATTTAGACCTGCTTTTATAACAGGAGATTTCTTTTGTGAAGCCCAAGTTTGCACTTCCGGAGATTCATATTCTAATAACTAGTTAGCAATTACTTAATAAGTACTTTATAAGTACTTACTGATTAATAGCTTGATTAACTTATTATACTCATCTTCAGATTGGCAGTCTAGAAGACTCATCATACGACTCCAAAGACCTGATCCTTCATTTTTTGTTCCAATCACTTTTAAAATCGAGCGTTGAAAATGAACACGGCAGAAGATAATTATATGCTCTAAATGCCATATAGGGTCCCGGTGCCGAGGGTCAATTTCAGAAAGATATTGTCCAAGTCCTAAGCACTTAGTAACCGATTTATAAGTACCTTGCAAGTACTTACCTGTATACTGTTTTGGGTTCATATCAACAATAATACCATAAATCCCAGATCCATGAATTGGATCAAATAAAACTGGCTTCCCAGAAATTCTTTGTATAAGGTGAAATGCGCGTTTGAAAAGTAGATAATAGCCTTCAGTAGAATCCATGGTGGTAAAGACTCGAAGCAATGTTAAAACTAGTTGACAAGCGGTTAGGAAATGGTTAATAAATACTTTCAGTACTTAAGAGAACTACTAACTTTTGCATTGATCTGGCATGAATGTTGCAAAGAGAACCTCATTTATCTCTTTAGATCGGATTCTCTTGAAAGACATATCAACTTCAAATGAGGATAGAGTTGATAGTAAGCAGATCTGATCTTTAAAGCCACAGAATACCATTGTGCCTTGAGAATCATGATGTTTTTCTTGGACGTATTCCTAAGTATTTAGTAAGTACTTGATAAGTGCTTGATAAGTAGTTCTTAACTACTTACATTAACTAATGAATCCCTGTTTTGTAAAAAAAGCAATCCATTAATATCTTGTCCATTAGGATATGAAAGAAGTTGTTCTTTTTGAATTATTGCTGCAATTCGATCTTTATTACAAAAGCTAGAGTGAATCTCTGCTAATGTAGAAGCATTATATTGCTGGCAGAATGCTTCTAGTTGTGGATTCCGAAGGAATTGTGCTACTATTATATAAGTGCTTAAATATCAATTAAAATGTACTTAAAGAGTACTTACCTGTTGTTAAAGATGGATCTCTTATCTGTTGAATAATATTCTTTACTCCCTGAAGAATCCGCTCTGGTGCCTTACTAGGGGGAGGTGGTGGATGTTCATGAATTCCGTGTGATGTAAAAAGGATATATGGACATTCGTCTATATTCACTGGAACTAAAGCATTGAATATAACACTGCAGGGGCTGCGCTTTAATCTGCCTGGTCCTTGTAGATGATCTCGATCTTATAAGTGGTTAGTGAGTGGTTAATAATCACCTAGGAAATAGTCAGAAAGTACTTACCACAATACTTTCGTCGGGATGCCAGCGATTCAAAAGTACCACATTCTTCAGTTGCTGGCATGATATTCCGATTAAAAAGATCCTCAAGAAATTGTAGATCAATTAGTGTATGACCTTGAATAGATCCTCTATGATGCTTCGTTAAAAACTCATTAGATCCATTACTGCAGCCAATATATGGCGGGTTTTCGCCATGAATATCCTATAAGCAGTTAGTAGGTACCTAACAAGTATTTATAAAGCTATAGGTCCACCATTTGGGCATGCCGCTTAAACACCGGCTTGCAAGTTGGAAGCTGGTCAAGACATGCATGACCTTTGGTAAAGAATTCTTTTTTTGATCGATAATAACTAGAAGTACTGAGTAAGTGCTTAAGAACTACTTAAAAAGTAGCTAATTACCTGTATGCATTTTGCTTTCCAATATCAGTCTCTAGAATTTGAGTATCCTCCTGAGACTTCCGAATCATACTCCAACAATGCTTGTTGACAAATGTATGATGATATGATTGAAGATATGAATTTAAATATTCACATGCATAGATACCAGAGCATTTCCATGTCCATCTCTTAACTAAACAGTTAAGAAATGGAGATTTAACTGGTCGCCTTGGTCCATGTTGTTGTCGCCGCGAATATTGAATCTGTAACTGATTAATAAGTGCCGAAAAAGCAATTAGAGAGCTTAATACCTCATGAACAAGCTGCTCCATTTCGCTCTGGGATCGTCCGCTCGATGCAACCACATATGAATATCCATGAATATGACTAGTTGGATACTCAGGTAGGTCATCAATATACTCAACTTTTGAAGTCTGAAGAGAATGGCTTTTTGAGCTTGTCAGCTGTATGGGAATAGACTCCTTTAATATTTAGTTAACAATCAGTTAATAAGTACTTGGCAATAAATCTAAATACCTACCTCATTGGGAATAATCTCTGGGCTTAATGCAATAGTATTATCAAAACCAACGAGTTCACTCTCAGAATCCATGGTGATGAAACGATTAAACAGTTAGTAAACAATTAGAAACCACTTAGATTTATACCTCGAAGATAGGTAAAAAACAGAAATTCAAAGAAATATATTTCCCTTAAATAGGTCGCGTGCCACGTTCTTGATGACTAATGGACTTGGCAGGTATGTCATGCGGCCACGAAAACGTGGCTGCGTGACCTGTGTACACTGCCTGGCCTAGTGATGCTGCCCGATTATAGCTTACTAAGACATTGCTTATTCATGAATGGGGTGACACCTGAGGCTCCAAGGCCAGACAAAAGTCTTGTCAGAAATCAGGTGCCTAGGTCCACTTGCAACCACACGAAATGATCGCGGCTGCACCGTGACAAGTCAACTCTTCAATCGTCCGCTGTCCTTGCGTCTAAACTGTCGACTTGTGCGCACCTTCTGCAGCCCCGTAGCTGTCTCTCACCTCTCCCGACCTCCAGAGGGAGTGAGGTGCTTTGTCCTCTCCTCCGTCCTTGGCGATTGTACCGTTTTCGTTCCTGATGATACTTCACACTCTGATTCATCGCCCCGCCTGATCAGTCTGCGACAACTCTACACACGGATAATTATACCTATGGCTTTTTATTGAGGGGTTCCGGAATCAACGAGGATATATCGGTAGTCGGTTGAGATGGAGGATAGTAATATCCTTGGTGAGGACCTGCCGCTCCCACCGACTCGGCTCTTTGAAAGACTGGCGCAGCTGCCTGGATATACGTGGGATCAGACTATCGAGCCATTTCATTCGACATACAGCCATTGGCACGTTTACGGTCTCCGGCACTCTCTGGAATCTGATGTCTCTACACCTGCCGCGACTTCGTCTGGGCCATCTAGCTTGGCGCGCAACTCCCCACGAGCCGAGTCCCGCCCCCCTTTTCGTCATCACTGGAGAAGTAGCTTGAGCGAATCTAGCAGTGAAATTTCACTGTCGCGTGCCGATCACGAGCCAATATGGACTCCAGTCATCGCCCGGGTTTCGTCCCACGTTGTGAGACTCGAGCGTGAGTTTCATATGCAAAGGTCTATAGTTCAAACGTCAGATCCGGATTGTAACCACACGATACGGCCGATTGATCTTATACGACTTCCTCGAGATTCCGGTGATGCGGGTCCTCTTTTGGTGGCTATCTTTGAATCACCCGGCCCCAACATGTTACGGGAGCTAGTCGCATTTGGACCCGCCTGGTTTGCTGTTGGCACCAAAGGCGATAGCAGTGAACCTACTCCCGGAGAGCAAGTTTCGCTTTCCGTTTTCCTTGATTTTGCAGTCGGCGCATGCGATTGCCTCGAACTCCTACACTACGGACTCAAAACGGTTCATGGTGAAATCCGCGGGGATGCTTTTCATTTCAATGGTGAAACTGGCTCAGTAAAACTTATTAATACTGGAAACGGCGCTCGATCTTTTGATAACATTCTCAGTGAAGGCTGGTCGACGACTGCTAGAGAGCTTGGTGTTAAGAACAAATTGCAGTTCATTGCACCGGAGCAGACAGGGAGAATGCCGACCGAGCCGGATAGTCGAACGGATATCTACGCGCTAGGCGTGCTTTTCTGGACTATGTTAGTTGGGAAGCCAGCGTTCACTGGAAGCGATCCGGTTGAAGTTGTTCAGAACGTACTGGGGAAGAAGCTACCACCCGTTTCGGCGAAAAGAATGGATGTTCCAGACGCTGTGTCAGCCGTGATCCAGAAGATGACCCAGAAAGCGGTGAATGAGCGTTATCATACCATTTCCTCCGTGAAGAGAGATCTGGCGCAAATCTCTAAATTGCTCGGTGATGGTGATAGCGAGGCCTTGAAAGATTTTCAAATTGCTCAACGTGACGTATCGTCATTCTTTACTCTACCATCTCGCATGTTCGGCCGGAAGGAGGAGTATAGAAGACTTATAGAGGTGGTTGAGAAAGTCTACCGGCGCCAGCAGTCCGCCTATGCCAGAGCTACCGCTCAGAGTTCTAGCGGACTTGGCTCTAATTCCTCTATCTCGGATGGCCGCGTTGACAGCTTCGAGATTGCCTCTGGTTCGAGTGACTCAGGTTCTTTTCATGTCCCTCCTAAGACAAACTCAAATGGCGGCCCTTCCAACCTCGGGCGTGTCTCCACACACGAATCCATCCATAGCACGGAGTCATCACTTTCGACTCCGAAGCCGGGCTATGTTTCAAGCAAGGCAAAGAGTCCGGTCGAATCTCGTGCTTCCTGGGATAACACGGACCGAGATGGCTATCTTTCGACGGGAGCAAACACGCAGAGCCATGCAGACTCTCTTGGAGTCAGTAGGCCCAAGGCTGCTCACAAGCTCCGCCGTAGTGGAAAATGCGAGGTCATCACCATTAGCGGTGCTGCCGGGATAGGAAAAACGGATCTTCTCAATCGTGTTCAGCCAGCGATTCGTAAATTTGGCTATATCGGCATTGCTCGCCTGGATCGGTCGAGAAGGGTCCCTTTTGAGCCCTTCGCGAAAATCTTGGCTAGCCTCCTCCGACAAATATTTTCCGAGCGTGATGTGACGACGGACTATCATAATAACATCCGTACGGCATTGCGGCCAATGTGGTGTACGCTACATCGAGTTTTGGAACTGCCTGAGCAATTAATGTCATCCGGAGGAAGTGAACGAGAAATATCGCCCAAGCTCTCGGCTGCTCAGCACATATTTAAAGATGTCTCGACTAAGGGGGAACCTTCAAAGCGTATTGCACTTCCCCGTCTTGACCATGGCCAGAGCTCGGTCGACTTTTTCTTATCCAATGCGGCGCTGAAAAATATGCGATTAATGGAAACATTCCTGGAGATCCTTAAAACGTTGTCCCAGTTCAAGTTGATTTGTGTATGCGTGGATGATTTGCATTATGCGGATGATGAGACCCTCGACTTGATCATGAATATCGTGAAAGCAAAGATACCATGCGTGCTCGTACTCACAAGTCGTAAGGCCGAACTGGAGTCGGACGCCATAAAATCGCTTTTTGAGGCGGAGAATCCCAGCGTAACAAGAATCGCGCTGAATCCACTTGGAGAAGATGAAGTTATGCAGATTGTAGCAGCTACAATGCACCAGGATCCTAACCCGATGTTAACGCCTCTTGCAGCTGTCATCCAGGAAAAGAGCGTAGGAAATCCATTCTACGTACGAATGATGCTGGAGATCTGCTATAGCAAGAACTGTATATGGTATTCCTGGAAAAACTCAGTGTGGGAGTTCGACCTTGATCGTATCTTCACCGAGTTCGTGGCTCCTAGGTACGGGGAAGGGCTCGGGCTTGGATTTATTGCAAGACGTCTTCAGGAGACACCGCCGGCAGCTCGGTCCTTAATGGTCTGGGGCACGCTATTGGGAAGTCCATTTGCGTTCTCTTTGGTACAGAAGCTTCTTACGAGCGAGTTTCTGTACTCAAGCGATGATGATGAGGCGGTAGACCTTACTTGTCCCCAGAACGCAAACCTTATCAGGCAGTCGGAGGCCGACATTGTTGTTGGCCTGCAGTATCTTGTCCAAGCAAATCTTATTATCCCAGGGAAGACCGATGATGAATTCAGGTATGTTGCTATGATGTTGCTACGTACCCTGTGCTGACCAAGGGGCTCTTTAGGTTTGCCAATGATAGAATAGCTCAAGCCGCTGCATCGTTGACGGAGGGTCGCAATGTAGAGAAGATGCATTTTATCATTTCACAGGCTATCATGAAATACTATCATGATGGTCGCAGTCGCTATGCGATGGCTCGCCATGTGGCTCTTGCGTCTCGGATAATTAAGAATCGAGTCGTTCAGAGACTTGATTACCGGAAAATACTGTGGGATGCTGCACAAACTGCTGCGCAGTCAGGCGCACGACCAACCGCGCTCTGGTATTTTCGTCATTGCATAGCCCTTCTTCAAGAAAACCCGTGGGATGATAACAATACCGATGTTTATTATGACGAGACATTACGCCTGCATATTGCAACAGCTGAGATGTCATGGTCTCAGGGCCATAACTCAGAGGCGCTGGACTTACTGGACAAAGTCTTTATCCATGGAAAGAGTGCGGTGTGCAAATCAAGGGCTTGGATTGTGAAAGCCAAGATCTATGCTCAAATGGGAAATCATCTTCGTTCGATGGACTCGCTACTCACTTGTTTGGATGAGCTTGGCGTCCACCTCCGGGAATCTACAACTTACGAAGAGTGCGACGCCGCTTACAGAAATCTTAGAAGATATCTAGAAAGAGGGGACTTGGAAGCCGTCGTTCGTAAACCAGTGAGCAAGGACATCAACATGATCACTATTGGGGCTGTTATGGCCGAGGCAATGGCTGTGACGTATTGGGATGATCCGTTGACATTTTATCGAATGGCAATCGAGATGATGAACCTTCATATCTTCAAGGGTGGTTTTGTTCAGATTTCAATTGGTTGTTCCCACCTTGCTATGATCTCCTTCAGCCGTTTTCGAGACTTAGACCTTGCGGTGAAGCTGAGCGACCATGCACTTACGCTTCTAGAGCGCTGCCCTGAGCCTTGGACCCAAAGCAGGGGATCAATTGTCCACAATCTTTATGTCAGTCATCTACGAATCCAGCTTTCCTCAACGCTCCCGGCTCTTGAAGCTTCTGTCGAGGCTTCGTTCTCCATGGGGGACCCGTACATAACATTAATCAGTCTCTCATCGATGGCGATGACAAGGCTTTTCCTTGGTCATGACATGACTCATTTGGAAAGTTTTTGCAACGATAGTCCCGAAGATATTCCAGAATGGGTGAACGATACTCGTGGCGGTGCGAGTCTTCTTGCCGTGCGGTAAGCCTCCTATGTGACGATAATTGATCTCTTTCATAGCGTCATTCACAATCTAAAAGCACTTACAACTAGTGGGAATAAGATATGTGGGCTAACTTATCTACTTTTAGACAAGTCGCACGTGCATTGCAGGGGAAGACTGGTTATCGAAATGCTGACACTATTATGGCTGATGAACACCATAGTACTAGCGAGTACATTGCTTTCTTGGATAACAATGCTAGTAACGCTGACCGTCCTCGCGACATATATTGGGGACTGGCTATGATTCCATTGTTTGTCTATGGACATCACTCAAAAGCCATACAACTAGGTGTGCAAATGATGGATACGATGCCCAGACTATGGTCTGCCCGTGTTTCATATGTGGTGTATTTCTATTTGGCTCTTTCTCTTCTCACGTTGCATAACGATTATCCTGCTGGCGGATATCTCGATGGAAACATGAAGACCGTCTTAAAGTACAAAGCTGAAGTTGATTTTGCACGGAGCGCTTGCGATGCGAATTACGGAATGTGGTCGTTGATACTAGAGGCGCTGGTTTTCGAGGTTCGAAATGATCACAGCTCAGCGATTCGAGCTTTTGAGGTAAGCTACCTTTACTCAGTATATTTGCGTGGGATATATGCTCATCTGTATCAAGGCTGCGATTGATCACTGCCAAATCCATGGATGGCCCTTGGAAGAGGCTCTTGCTCTTGAATTGCATGGTACGTGTGAAATGATATTTTCTGCTTTTTTAGACCACTTCCGTGACGCTGACCCTGAACTCAGGCGACTTTTTAATACGACGTGGAGCTAAAAGGGCAGCACGCTCCGTTATGCAGGATGCTATCGCCGCATGGGCAGCGATTAGTGCTGTTGGAAAGGCTGCGCAACTAACAGAGAAGCATGAATGGCTCCTCAAAACAGCCACATCTACAAGAAGTGTCGATGTTGGCTGCCAAACTGTTGATTCGCTCCTTGGAATCAATCGCAGCGCAGAACCAGAGGATATTGGTGTATCTCAACATATGGAGGAAGAGGACCGACAGCACCGATGGATAGAGCAGAACGGCGTGACTACAGGCGAACGCTCGCTTGATATCTCAGGTGTTGGGCTTGGTAAGTCGTCAATTTAGCCTCAACCGATTATTAAATTCAGAACTGCTGTTTCTAACTCCTTGGTAGACATCATCGATTTGTCAAGCATTCTCGAGTCTAGTCAAGTGATGTCGTCTGAACTCCAGATAGACAAGCTCCTGACAAAGATGATCGAGATCGTTTTAGAATCTTGTAACGGATCAGATTTTGCGGTAATCGCAACCAATTTTGATGATAACTTCACAGTTGCTGCGGCTGGAGACCTCGAAAAAGGGCAAAGATCTTATGTCGACGGCCTTCCTTTTTCGGAGGTCGAGGATAAAATGGCTCAACAGATTTCGCACTATGTCATGCGCACTCGGGAAGAAGTTCTCGTCCACAACGTTCTTGAAGATGAGCGATTTTCCAATGTCTTGGAGGCCTATCAGAGCAGGTATCCGCTTGGTAGGTCTGTGATTGCATTACCGATAATGCAAGCGGAACACCTCCTTGGCGTTATCCATATCGAAGGGAAGCCGAACTCTTTCACTCAGCGAAACCTAGTAGTTCTCCACCTACTCTGCAATCAAATTGGCATATCTCTATCCAACGCCTTGCTATTTCGTGAAGTCCGCAAAGTCAGTGCCACCAACGCATCTATGGTTGAAGCCCAGAAGCGCGCTCTCGCCCAGGCTCGTGAGGCGGAGCAAAAAGCAAAGGTAGCGGAAGCAGAAGCCAAGCATAATGTCAAGCTGAAGGAGGATGCAGCGAAGGCCAAGTCGATCTTCTTGGCCAATATATCCCACGACCTACGCACACCCATGAATGGAGTTATTGGCCTTTCCGAGCTACTGAAGGCCACCAAACTCGACAGAGAGCAGGATGAATATGTCGAATCTATCCGCGTCTGCGCAGACACACTGCTCACCCTCATCAACGACATTTTGGATTTCTCCAAGTTGGAAGCTGGGAAGATGAAGATTTCTACAGTGCCGTTAAATATTAAGGAGACAATATCAGAAGTTGTTCGTGCGCTTCGCTATACGCACCGCGACCGGGGATTGGAAACAATCGAAGACCTTGAGAAGGTTCCCCCAGAGTTAGTGGTGCTTGGTGATCCTGTTCGTCTGCACCAAATATTCATGAACCTTCTCAGCAATAGTTATAAGTTCACGCCGAAAGGATCAGTTACCGTCAGGGCTAGAGTTACGCGGGAAGGCAAGGGTCGTATACGCCTTGAATGTTCAGTGTCTGATACCGGAATTGGAATTCCCGAGGAGCAGAAATCGCGACTCTTCAGACCATTCTCGCAAGCAGATAGTTCTACGGCAAGATCGTACGGTGGTAGTGGGCTTGGCTTGAGCATCTGCAAAGCCATCATCGAAGACGTCCTGGGTGGCGCAATTTGGCTTGATTCGACCCCAGGGGTTGGTACCACAGTGACTTTCCATTTATCCTTTAATAAGGTCAAAGATGCCTCTGCAAAAGCAAAGAAGGCGGAATTGGGCGGCAAGAAGAGCTCTCCCTCACCTACGGCTCGTGACTTGACGATGATTCCACGTGATCAGATTCGAGTCTGTATCGCAGAGGATAACCCAATTAACCAGAAGATTGCGGTGAAATTTGTGAGTGGTCTTAACCTGCAATGCGAAGCGTACAGTGATGGGCGGCAAGCGGTAGAGGCTCTACGCGCACACTCACAGGAGGGAAATCCATTCCACGTGGTCTTGATGGATGTACAAATGCCCACGCTGGACGGCTACAACGCAACTCGTGAAATCCGACGAGACCCCGACCCCAACGTTAATGAAGCACTCGTTATCGCGATGACAGCTAGTGCTATTGAGGGTGATCGTGAGAAGTGCCTCGAAGCTGGAATGAACAATTACCTCCCTAAGCCGGTTCGGTCAACAATTTTAAGCGACATGTTGGATCAATATCTCGCACCGGTGCCAACATTTACAAAAACACGCCTCGCAATGCGGGACAGAGGGAGCATCAGCCACGATAATGGGACGCCGAACAGTTCCTCCCCGTCGCCTGGCTCTGACAATCAGGTAATCCAACTTACTCCAGATACAGACAAGCCAGCACAGCCGGATCCATCTGAGATGAACTAGGTTGTTTTTTTTTCTACCCGATCTCTCGAGATCCCCCAGGACTTTCTTCTTAGAGGATTTGGCCTCATCCGACGCACGGCGGATATAAACCAGCAGTCTATGCACATAGTAATTTACATCAGCGGAGTTTATTGGTTATGCCCTTTCTTATAAGATTATACACTTTGATTACAGTTTCGTGCTTTCTACTTGACGATAATGAAAGATATGATTGACGATACCTCGGTCAAGTCTCGATAATAGGACACGCCAAAGCAAATCATCTTTCTTTTCTATAATACTACCTTCATAGGGTCTGTCCTGTTCTTGCTGTTAGGTCTTATCTAGCCTGCATCGTGGAACACAATATTCGTTTTCCAAATTCCAGAATCAAAATGGATCCGCTTGAGCCTCCTTGGAATTTTCTTCCATCCTTCTGTGATGGTTTCTTGCCTTGTATTTCCTTTTGGCATTCTGCCATCTTATATTCTTGCCCTGACAGCCTTGACTATCTATCTACGACGACCCATTTTCAAACAACATTGGGTTCTTTGTGTGTTCTTTATACCAGCGGCAATATTATACGGCGTTTTCATTAAGATTCCTTGAGAAGAGATAGGGAGCGATACCTAGTAGACTTATTATATGCTTTTCCTTACCCGTTTCTCTTTTGCGTTTACACTTTGCCCATGTACTGAGGTCATGTCATGTAATGAACTAGTGATGAATGCTACGTCGTGTAGACATCTGATTATATAAAATCAATATCTTCTTTTACTATAGTCATCACATACCTGTTTTATTGTCATAAAAAGTGTCAAGGACTATGTATGGCAGAAGCAAATTAAATAATGGTACAAAAAATCCTTTCCGGCTTCCACCCTGGTCACCGACCAATTCATGCCAGGTCACTTGCTTTGCAGTCATTAATGGCGACGAGCTGCATTGGCAGCAACGTCTCTCCTTCCAAAGACACGAAAACGCTTGACTCCACCATCGGGCACGAGGGTCAGTTTGGCGTGTGTGAATGTCCGGGTGTCCTCACCCCCAGAAGTAAGGCTGACACCCTCGAACACGTGCTCCATATCCGCCTGGCAGGGTTGATCGCCCTTGATCAGTTCGACCCAGCCAGGGTGGTCATGGGCAGGAATTTCTCCTTCCGATATACTTCCAGCAACTAGACCGTGAACTCTCACGGCGCGGGGGAAGTTCCCGCGGAAATCCTTAGTATCCACCACAATCTTGCTGACAGACCCGGGCAAGCCCAACTTCATGATGGCCCAGTCAACATGGCCAGGGCCACGCGACCGCGCCGTTTCCCAGCCATCTCCCATGTCCTTACCACGTCCGGGGAGCAACAGGTTTGAGCAAGGAGTGAAATGTTGATCGGAGGCACCGAGGGCTAAGCCACCAACCAGAGCAGAGGACAGTTCCTCGACAGGGAGCTGTGCGCTGGCGACTGACTGGGGCAGAACGGCAGGGATGGCATGTCCGTAGACACGGAGTCGGCCAAACCCGCCGTCAGGATACATCAACAGCCGCACATGGGTGTAGGGCTTGGGGTTGGCGGCGTCGTAGTCGTTCAGCTTCCAGGCGCGGCGCTGTTTGGGGCCCTGGGGCTGAGGCGGAAGAATAGTTGTCCAACCGGTGTATTTGGGGTCTGCGATCTCGGCATCTGTGACACCGCTGTCGGCCGGAGCATATGTCCCCTGCAATTCGGCCTTTTCGCCGTAGTTACCCACAAAGAAGCCTGTGTCGACCTCGACACCTTGGATTGCTGCACTGGAGACCCCAAGTTTGATCACGACCCAGTCGTAGGGTTCGGGGTTGTGGCGGCGGGTTTCCCAGCCGTCATACCAGGCGCCCGTGTGGACAAAAACGCCGGGCCGGTTGATGGGGGGAGTAGGGGTAAGGAGATTCGAAGCTTCGGCGAAGAAGTCATTGGAGCAAGAAAGAACCTTGCTGTTAAGGGCGGCGGAAGCTAGATTGGTCGTGTGCGCGAAGACCTTGTCAATCTCTCCCGAAGGGACGAAAGTGACCTTATCGGAGTCGGTGGGGTGGGCCATGTTTGTTGATATGCGGGTAGTTGCAAGATAGATAAACTGAGATTGAACCGGGTGGTGCCCAACTGATTGCTATTCAAGAGTAGAACAGAGACAGGCCTGTAGAAGAACTGTACAGACTCACCTTGGGCTGCGAAGGTTGTTTAAATAGTTTGTTTCTTGGAAGTTCGATTTGCGGGGAGGAAATCGGAGGGGCCTTTAATCGATAAGACCCCGTGATTGATGGATGTTATTACTCGATCTTATCGCTTCATCCTTTGCCCCTCCCCCCCCTTTTTTTCCCCCTCTCTACTGTCTTAGTTTCCTAGCCTTCCCCGATCTTGGCCTCCCTTCGTCATTTCCAATCACTCAATCGCAATCGATGTACACCTATACTTCCCCACAGGCAAGGTCGCGAGGATGACCAAGGTTGTTAAGACCAGTACGCGGGGAAGAATGGTCGGTGACAGCTGGAGATGTTACGGATGCCATGAAAGGCACTCGCTGTTTTTGATCAGGCGATGCGTATCTCATACAACACACTGGGTCATCTGGGCTATTCCCAAAATTACTGGAGGGTAGCTGAGTTATTTGGTACTGAAATTGCCTCTAGTCTGCGACTGTATACTTGTCCTCTCTGTATATACATACAAAGAGTGGGCACCCAGGGGGATCTCTCGACAAGCCAAAATATGATGTGAGGTCAGCACCTAGCTCACCTCCCTTACATCTATGCCAGACCTAAAAGATCAGCCAATGAGTACAATCCGCCGACACAACTGTCTCCGCTATTTCCATCTTATGAGGGTTGTCTTCCTATCAGTGACCTATGATTGAGCGATGCCTGATGGGTCAAGATACTGTTCGTCGTACAAGCAGCTCGGGCCGCCACGGTCGTCTGCCAGTGCTATAAGACCGTGTAACCCCGAGCGAAGCTGACACTTGCAATCTTAGCCGGCTATCTCATTGTCCGTACTACCTTGAACTGTCAACAAGAGACTCAGTTGATCCCGATACAGTTAACCCTCAAATTTGCTGACTATGTCGTAAAACGCGCATGTCGTTGAAGGTATCCAAGGAGAGTCTATATATCCTGCCTTGGCGTGGCAGTGCCGTCACAGGAACAAACAGGCAACAATTAGATGGGTAGGGGTTCTCAGTCATGTTGATGCTGACAATACATGACCTCAGCCCCGTATAGAGCACCGCACTTGGCCCTATCGGACCTTTTGAGATCACTGTCTGAAGTATCCTTATATAAAAGTATCCAGTATTGCTGTCCAACGAACTTATCTGCTCGCAGCAAGCATCTTCTCGCGAGGTAATCCGGGATTACGTTCTCGCCCCGTAGTGTAGGGTCCCTTTTTCTGCATGTTCAAGGGCATGCTCCAAACTGGCAGTCACGTATGACCACAAGCGATGAGTTCATACTATTCGACGTGAATGAGAATTGCAATCTGAGATTACCCTCACCTTGGAGGCTGTTGTGCCACCATATACCTTTTAACTGCTCATATACTGTTACATGAGCTGTGAACAGTCCCAGACAGGATACTAGAAATGTTGTAGGTAAGCAAGATACCAATTGAGGTGCTCATGAGCTAATGGTGCCTTGTGACACTCCCCTTACCGCTACTTGCGTTGATGGATTGAATTAAGGTTGACGATGTATCGATGGCAAGCTTTTTATACGACTCTTCTAGCCTCCTTGGCTTGCCAGGAATCAATAATTCCTTATTTCAGAAGAGCATAGCGTTGAGAGCATACGGAAATTCGACAATCATTGCAATACGCGGTGAAGAGGCATGTCAGTATAGATCTATGAACACAGCGGCTCCGTGACAGAATGCCACATTCTGCGCCAGTGGAATGGTTCACAACATAGTTTATCTCCTCAGGATGTACAACGATCTGTCCTTCACACTGCAGACACGCACATATACCTTCTCTAGTCAAGGTATGTAGTATCTGTACAGGCTTTTAGTTTTGGGATGGTTACTAATAGGTCATAGTTTGTGCTTTGCGACATTACGAGCACATGTGGTAACCTCGGGGTCATTTCGACAGCCCGGCTACAGAGTGGCAGAGATTGCTAGAGCGACCATCCTGTCACGCGCCCATAGAAAACATTTAAGCCGCAAAGGTGAGCCTGTTATGCTCTCTTTTGTACAAGAAGAAAATATCACACCGAGATAAGCGCAGATATAGACACAGCGGGATTTGGATGTGATGTGAAGCCAAGAAAAAGCTTGTATGTCGCTTTCACTTGGCAGAATTACCGACGTTGGGAGGGACTTGGTATAAGTCTCACCGTGACTATGTTCCAGTTCCTATACAATATCCTGGGACAGCTGCTGTGCTATGCTATCCCGGGCTCTAAATAGATTACAACCTCCTTCTTAATACCGTCACACGAGATTTACAACACAGCCAATGCACAACAATATGGCTCCACCGATATATCCGAGAAATCACACTTCATGGCACCGCATACGCAAGGACCCAGTTGACCAAGCTGGGGCATATGATCAGCATCGGATGGAGGCATGAACCACACGCACATTGGCTCTAGTGACAATTATTCTTTTGAATGGCTTCATCCATTACTTGATAAACAATGCCGGACGAAACAATGAAGGATACAATGGACTGGGACTGCGCGGCCCCCTTTTCGACGGGAGGGATCGACCTGGGCGTTAGCCACAATGGCTATGGAATACTTTGGAACCAACGCATTGACGACTAACGGATTGGACAGGCTGAAATGCCAAGCTCTGTATGTCTCATACACTAAACTATTGATTGACAGAATTGCTTCGAGACGTGATGCCTGTCCATATTCAGCGTCCAACAGCTGAAGGTGACACAACAACGCATCCAGCGGCTACGTACAGGTTGATCGGAAGGCGACCACGAATAGGGGATTAAAAGGATAGATTTCATAAATAGAAAAGACAAAACCCGGCAAATAGCCCGTTTGCAAAGTTAAAAAAAATAATGGGCCTTTAGTATTCCTCCGTGCATTCGTTTGCCTCGGAAGATAGAAACGAGGAATGAGCCGGACCCTGGGCTAAAGGATGCGTGAACGGTGATAGATAGATCATGGCAAATTGGAACTACACCCCTTGGGTGTATTTCCGCCCTGTCTTCCTCTTTCCTGTCCATGTGTAACAGGCGAATCGCATGGCCTTCGCCATGTTTGGTCGGCCCGTCTAGTGTTAGTATTACTTGATGTATGTAGGTTTGTAACCCCTACATATGCAAGAAACAGCGTTTGATCATGATAATCGTCATTCCAATGCCGGTGTCTTCATGAGAACACCGACATGAATTCTAGTCGTAGACGCCGGTTGCGCCGGTATTTTCCAGAGGGTGTCACAATTTGGCCCAAAGGGGCAATTAAGGAGGCCCTTCGTCATCAGCACATTGAAAATCACAAGACATTCGCACAAACGGCGCCCGACACAGCTGGACTGCCGGTGAAGAAGTATGGCCTTCCCTTAGATCATCTCTGCTCGTTTCCATTTGGCCGTCTCATTGGCAGTTAAGTTGCGTCCGGTGGCATTCCCAGTATCACCTTGATGGAGCCACCAGCTACCCTGAGAGGCTATAAAACTCCTGTAGAAGATACGATTCAAGACGGGACGATGGACCCTTTGAACCCAGACTTTAAAAGGGGACGGAGTTGAAGTCATCCTCAGCTTGTCTTTTTGATCTTCTTTTCCTTTGTGTTTTATCTTACGATCTTTCATTTCTCCAGAAAGGACTGCAAGCAATCACTCAATTTGTCCCCTTGCGGCTACAGCGTTCCCTATCTTTCTCCGAAGAGTCTCGTGTTATTACCTATTCTCCATCACCATCGTCTCTCATCCAGCCTTCACTCATCAGAGGCTAGCCATCCAGGCTCTCCAACCTCGGAAGTCCCTCCATTATGCCACCAAGAGCAACGAACCAAGCCTCATTACCCGAAGGCGATGGCCTTACGTATGATGAATCCGACATGGCACTCTTTCGCGCCAAACTCGCCTACCACTCCACCATTGAGGCCCGCATGGCATCAAGAGACACCAACCTGGTCTCTATCGCCGAACACCAAGGCCGTCTGCTCAAACGTTGGGATCTGTTGAAATCCCTGGAGAAAGAAATGGCGGAGAAAGGCAAAAGCCTAGATCCTGCAGAAAAACAACAGCTGGCCCAATACGCATGGCGGTACAAGACATTGGAGAAGCTAGCCACGACCAAAAGCACCGCCTGAGAGCTAATAAAGAGAGAGATTCTGCTGAAGGGAGGGGAAAAGCGTCATGACGGAGTCATTGTGTGATAGCATCCATTGGGCGTCTCGGTTTAGATTTTAGGAGTATTTACTACCATGCAGTTGTCTTGTCGATTTGCCTATCAGCTTGGTCTTTTCTTCTTAGTAAAATTCTCTCGTAATCCTATATGTTTGTCTTTTGCTTGTAGGTCGATCCTTGCTGGTTCTTTTCTTTTCCTCTTTTATTTTCTGTAGATGATCTGCGCAAGCTCCTCAACATCTACAACCTCTTATAATCGTTCCTAGGTCTATGACACCGTCTCTTCGTATCAGGTTTCGCCTGCAGACATCGTCATAAGTGTAACATGCTACGATGTTTTGAGATCACTAGAGTACGACGTCCAGCGAATCGCTACTCGGCCGTCGAAGTTACATTGTGTCAGCTTGGGGTACAGTTCTCAACACCATCCACCCTTTCGACAATCGCACAGCACCCGCTCTTGGGCCACAGCCTTTAGCACTATCGCCCAAGGTCATGAATGATGTCATATACTGTGCACTTGAATAATCGCATGGCTCATCTTGTTGCTCTTCATAGAACACTATCAATGGTGCGATCCTGAGACTCCGTATCCTATGATGTTGCAACCTTATCCCCTACCATTTCCTGCAGACACAGAGTTGTATCGGTAGGATGCATTTTCATGTACATTTACAGCTAATCCTTCCTTAAGTTGAGCAGAATCGATCAGATCAAATCCGCAGAATACAAAAAACCAAAAGTGCAACCTACTCAACTAACCGGCCTCAAATAAAATCAGACCTTCCCCTACCCCCGACACAATCCACAGGCAATCCCGAAACAGAATAGCATGCCCCAACAACCGCGACAACACTCCTCGCAACAGTTTCGGCCGCAGAGACTTCGAATCATCTAGACCTATCGACGCGGACAAGCGCAGTGCATGAACTGGCCCTGAATCCCCCAGGATAGACCCGCACGGGTTCTCCAGGACGCTGGATCCGGTCTAGATCATTCCTTGCAGAATAAGGAGCCGGGATATATGGGCCTCAGATCCGTCCAGTGGCGGCCTGAGGGTCGGTGGAGGGATACCCCGCATATCGGTGTGTTTTTACAGAATAGGGATTGGAGAGGAGATGATTGTATGAGACTTCATGTTGGGCTTTGGCTATGGTGGGAATTTGTGGGTTTGAGGATGGGGTGGGCTGTGTGGATTGGTGATTGTGGTGGTGGGCTGGAAGCTTCATGTTAAGGTATTTATATAGGATGTGCTGTGCCTTAGGGATGAAGCAACGTGACCCTTGTCACGACTAACTTACCTCATAGTATCATAGAACTAGACTGATAGTTAACTCACCACTAGAACTCAACCCCTTGCAACCAAGTAACTATTATTCATGGCTCGGAACAAGGTTGCCGGAAATGAGGGGGTGGTCCCACTATAAGTTAAGGATCGTTCCTAGGTTTCTCTTCATGGATAAGAACCCCATACATTCGCATTTCCACTAGCCTCACTCACCCTCATCATGCATTTTGAAGCCCCAGAGCTCCCTAAGCTAGTCCTCAGGGGTTCTCCCAAGGAGGTAGGATGGGCATCTTCTACCCACTATTTTCAAGAGTGATAGTTATATAACAGCCAAGCAGATCGGTCTTGAACATGGCCACCGCCTCCAGAAGCAGATTAAGTCCCAAATACGCATCTATGAGGAAATCTTTGAGTACAATACAAAAATGAATTGGCCCACTGTCCTTCAACTTGCAGAGGAGTTCAGAGCTTCCCTGGAACAAAAAACGCCTGAGCTATATGCTGAGATGCAGGGAATAGCCGAGGGGGCCGGAGTGGATACTCTAGATATTGTAGCGTTGAACTGTCGAAGTGAAATATCATTTGGAAGCTTCTCAGATGGATGCACAAGTCTCTCGTGGAAGAAGAATGACGACGCGAGAGTATTGGCGCAGAACTGGGATTGGACCGCTAACATTCAAGAGAATCTAGCCTTGATGGACATTGAGTTGTCTGGGAAGCCGAGAATCTACATGATCACTGAGGTAGGTTGCACTACCTTAAAGCGTCCACTTATCGACCTAACTCACTCGAAACAGGCAGGCATCATAGGCAAGATCGGATTCAATAATAATGGAGTCGGGGCGTGCCTCAACGCTATAAAGGCACGACCATGCATTAGCTCCAAGCTTCCGATCCATGTAGCTCTGCGCTTATGTTTAGAGAGTACTTCCGTTGAAAGTGCATTGCGGTCTATCTCATTCCTGGGAGGTGTTGCTTCGAGTCAACACATTCTGATTGCTGACAGAACGGCATCACTTGGCCTGGAACTCTCTCCCTTAGGAGACGTGCATCTTAAGGAGGATGAATATGGCATGATTATGCATACCAATCACTTTATTGAGAATAGGAATGTGACAGAACCCTCGTGGTCCAAGAGTTCACCTCTCCGTTTAGAACGAGTTGGACAGCTTGCTCACGAGCTGGCTGATAACGGTATCCAAGGAAACTTGATCACGCCTACCTTACTGCGAGAGCACATCTTCTCCGACACCTGCTATACGCCACATTCCATTTGCTCACCTGGGGACCCTGATGTTCACCAAACAGTGCGCACTTCTACATTGTTCAATATCGTGATGGATCTAGACCAGCAGAGCCTTGGGGCGGAGGTTGTTGTTGGTCAACCAGGATCTGGCAAGGAAAGTGCAGTAATTACGTTGCCTTGGGCATAAACCTGCCGTGAATCCCCAGTATGTACTTATCGGCCTCTGCTTGTTCTGCATCGCATGAGTACAAGGATTTTCACTACCACTGCTGGGGTTCTTGCGCCTTTTAGTGCATAGGGGAATAGGTATATACCACGTCGCGGTGATTTCCTTTGTCATCTTGGGGGACAAAGTGAAGCAGGTAAGGTTTGCTGCACTTGAACAAGGCCTTTGTCTGAGCATGTATATAAAGCCTGTAGAGTCAGTTTACTATCCAAGCCTTCATGGACTCCAGAAAGTTTGCTCAAGCGTTTCTTATTCGTCCTTTTACTTGCCTTTGTTTCTTTCGCTTACACCTATACACTGCATACTGTGTAGAAACACAACATATATACATCCAAAGCCACTAATACTGATAAGATGGCGGCTGGTACTCTTCTGAAGGATAGGCGTGGGACTCTCTTGATCATGAACCGCGCAAAGGACGTTCACTTCGACGAGAAGGTCCTGCTTATCAGCCAGGATGGGGAGAAAACAATACTCAACGATCACACACAGCAATCCGGAGAGCAGAAAGAGGAAAAAGAGGCCGGTAACATTGAATATGAATCTATGAATCCGGAGGTGCAAGCTGCAGTTATCAGTGCACGCTATCGGACGGAGCTAGAGGGTTCGGGTGGTGGCAGGGGTGTTACCGCAGGAGAGGAAGGGGGATGTATAAACGAGCACTTGCCGGAACGCTTCTGCCGTCGATGTGATGGGGATTGCCGAAATTGTTTGACGAAGGATAAGGATCGTTACTGAAGGTTGAGACGGCGGTTAGGGTATACTAAGGAAGGTGATGACATTTAATGAAGTACTACCAAAACGGAAGGTACCTTGGGTTTAGTGGGTGGCTGTTAAGCGTCGAGGGTACTTTTAGCTCTAGTGCTACCTTGACTTCCACCAGCCCCACTTCAATTGCCAATTGAGCGCCTCGAATTCGTCATTACTACAACAGCTACTTCTACTATGTTGCTTCTTCTTCCCCTCTCCCCCCTTCTTCTTTCTTCTTCTTACATCTTACCTGTAAATATTGTTAGCCTTCAACAGCCGTCTTTTCTGCCATAAGCTTTCCTTGGTAAATATCATGGCTTCTGCCACCGGAATTCCCCAAGAACATCCCCAAACTATCGAGGCCCGAGAAGATGAGCCACTCTTGGGTAGACGGGGTGACGTCGTCCAAAGGGAGAGTGACTATATTCTCTATAACCTGTTTACCGGTTAGAGCGCCTCCTTTCTCTTTCGCGAAATTTGCCTTAGTTAACAATCTTTGGTCCTAGGTACGGCCAGCCTGGCGCAGTTTGGCATATGGATTGTAAGCTTGGACCTGAATATTCAACGATGAATCATTGACTTGGTAAACTATAGATTGCCATCCTCGTTTGGTCAGGAATCTTCTCCCATGAGCTGATGCTCTTCTCTGCTCATCCGGTGAGTCCAACCTTTTCCAAGCTTATCAAAAATCAAATATGCGACCTGACGATCGAAGCTCCTTAATTCATTTGGGCTCCTCCTTCAAGTCCAGGCTGCACTCATCCTGCAACCTACCGTGACGCCCCAGCAAAAGCTCAAAGGAACGCGCATCCATTACGCCATCCAAGCCGTCAGTGTGGCCGCCTTCATTACCGCTTTGATCGTCATTGAAGTCAACAAAGGCAACCATCAACGCTTCACATCACCCCACGGAGTGATGGGCCTGGTTACCTATATTCTAATCATTGTGCAGGCCACCGGGGGAGTCATTCAGTACTTCATCCCGGTGAAGGTCTTGGGAAGCGAGGACAATGGTAAAAGGCTCTACAAGTACCACCGTCTATCGGGATATGTCTTGCTCGTTCTGGAACTCGCTACTGTCGCTGCCGCCACGCGGACGACCTTTAACTTGGCTGTACTGTCGATCCCCCTGTGGGCTGTGATTGTGGGCGCAGTCCTGGTTATCTCGGGTGTTGGGTCAAGGGTCAAGAAACATAAGTTGGGCCTGTGAATGTGATAACGAGGGTATATGAATTATGAGGATATGATAATCGCCTGGTTTTATGCTGTTTGTTTTTTTGCATTTAGTTTTTGCTTCGACAGTGGGAGATCATGGAAAGAGTGATACATTCTTGCACATGCATTCATACGTGGAAATATTAACTAGGGCTTCAGACTGAGAGGCTATGACTAAAATGGTACTGCATGGAACAAAGACCAAAGATTTAGGGATTTATAAGGATTTGAAGAAGGATGGGATGATCATATTAGTTTTATAGAGTCGATCAGTGACCAACTCCCAAAGGGGAAAAGTGCGCAACTCCACATCTTTTTTTTTGGGCAAGAGTGTCAGTCCACCCTCTCACTCTCTCACTTTTCCTTTTCCTCTACTACTCATCTGCCCACCACTCCCTTCTCAATGGTGTCCTCAAGGACACCCTACGTCTGCCTCAATTGCAGGCTGACAAGGCCATTGACGCGACGCACCTTCTCCTCCGCCACCCATCGCGCCGAAGCTCTACGTCCCGCGACCGCCCCGAAGCCAACCCCAGACGTCAAACACATCCGCCAAAACGCCGAGCTCTACTCCAAGAACAGCGTCGACCGCAATTACCCATCTCACGCCGACTACCCATTTCAAATCCAAGCCCTCTCCGAAGAGGCCCGCCGCCTCGACCAAGACCTCAAGACCCCCCGCTCCCGAATCAAACAACTAGAAAGAGCCATCGGGAAGCTCGCAGCGTCCGCCCGCCAAGGAAATGGCGAAAACAACTCTTCCCAGGAAGAGCTAACAGCCCTCCGATCGGAGGCCCAGAAGCTGAAAGACGAGTCGCAAGAGATGACCACGCGCAAGACAACCTGCACGGAAGAAATCAACCGCCTAGCTCTCTCCCTGCCCAACTTATCCTCCCCCGAAACCCCGGTCGGAAACGATCCTAGACTCATCGAATACCTCAATTTTGACCCCCAGTCGCCGCCCGAGTGGATCGCTCGTCCGGACCCCAGCCGCTCCCATGTCTCGATCGGCACTGAGCTGGGCCTCATCGATTTCACCAGCTCTGCTACCACCACCGGCTGGGGATGGTATTTCCTCACCAACGAGGGCGCCCTGCTAGAGCAAGCGCTGATCCAGTACGCGTTGAGCGTGGCCCGGAAACGCGGCTGGAAGCCCGTGTCGCCCCCATCGATCGTGTATTCCTACATCGCCGAAGCGTGCGGCTTCCAGCCTCGCGACCAACACAATGAACAGCAGATATGGGCGATCGAGCAGAGCGAGAAAGACAAGAGCAAGCCGCAGCGGTCACTGGCGGGTACTGCCGAGATTCCTCTCGCGGCGATGTACGCCGGGCGCGACATCGACGCAGCGAATCTTCCGCTCAAACTGGTCGGGCCGAGTCGGTGTTATCGGGCTGAGGCGGGATCCCGTGGTGTCGACACCAAGGGCTTATACAGGGTGCATGAGTTCACCAAGGTAGAGATGTTCGGGTGGGCCGATAATGTTTCGTCGGAGTCTACTGAAGTCGGAGGGAAAGGCGTACCCACATCGGACGATCTCTTTAACGAGCTCCTCTCTATCCAAACTGAGATTCTGACGTCCCTCAATCTCCCCTGTCGAGTCCTGGAAATGCCCTCGACAGACCTGGGCGCCAGTGCGACCCGGAAACGCGACATCGAGGTGCTCTTTCCTTCTCGCCTGCGCTCCGGGACTGATCTTGAGTCTGCATGGGGCGAGGTGACCTCCGCTTCGACCTGTACGGATTATCAGAGTCGTCGATTGGGAACCCGGGTACGCGGGGGAGCTACTAAGGATTCCCGATTCCCGCATACAGTCAATGGCACCGCAATGGCAGTTCCTAGGGTGTTGGCGGCTATTCTGGAGCATGGGTGGGATGAGAAGCGGAAGGTTGTTGTGGTACCGGAGGTGTTGAGGAACTGGATGGATCTGGAGGTTGTTGGCGAGTCTTCTTAATCTCGGACGTGTGGTGATTGTACGTTTATATAATAAGATGTATTGTACACTATACCACTCATGAAACTGATAATTCTGATCCATTGATCTCTTGTAAGAAACATAATCTTCCACCTTAGATTAAAAAATATCGGTACAAAACCGTACGGAAGCACGTTCAGAGCGACAAAAGACAAAACATAAAACACAGTTAAGTCCAAAATGCTACCTAAATGACAGGTTCATAACTTCGTAACACGTTAAGAAAAAAAAAAAAAAACATCATGTCGTGAGCACAGACAAATCAGTAAATATCTAGAATCGACATTTAAAATAAGAGTATAAAGGGGAGCTGTGACGTGAAATAGGTAAAGGGTATCAAAAGTAAAAGCCATGTCGTAGATCTTGTGGAGGTGTCATAATCGTTTCAATGCCAAGGAATGTCTTCATCTTCGACTTTGATGCAGGTTAGATAAGGGAGGCTACTTGAACTGGTGTCTAGCTCGCCGCCTTTGAGGTCCAGCTCGAGGAAATTTCTCATTAACGGTTTTACGATTTCGCGAGCTAATCGTTTGATTTCGTCCATCTTGCGTTCGAAACGTTTCAAAACGTCACGGGAGTATAAGGAGTCCGATGAAGGGGTCGGATGCACTTTGAGGAACTTCTTAAGTTCATCATGAGTTAGATAAGCCTGAGTGGAGGTCGAGCCAATTAGCCGATAGACACGTGCGGAGGATAGAGGTGTGACTGTAGATTTCGAAGCGGCCGATGGGTGGTCTTGAGTCCGATGGGTAGTGGATTGCGATGGACGGTTATGGCTGCTTGTGTTCGGGGCACTCGAGGATGAATTCTTGAGGATTGGCGCCGGAGGTGGTGTGGTGCTGTCCACAAGCCACTGCCGGAAGAGAGAGACGGCCAACCAATCGAGATATGCGTTTGTGGGACTAACCCTTTCGCCGCGGGAGGTAGTGAGTGTTAGACGCAAGAGCTTGGAGTCAATGCGCGCCTTCATATATTCCAAGTCTTCGACTTTATCCTCGATAATGTCCAGTACCGTATCCGGGAGAGGAGAATATGCGCCATTCCGCAGGTGAGGTAGACCCGCAGGCCATTGGCCGACAACGTGAATAAGGGCCTCGGAATAGATGACACGACTGCGCGCAAGATAACCCAATTTAAGATAACTTGGAGGGTATTTGGCGATCTGTTTGAAGAGCCGTGATCCAAATCCGAGGAGGTGGTGATCGACTCGCGGTCCCGTCACACCGAGTGCATCGTACATATCGGCTAGCGCAAGAAGGGACCGGCATTCAGCGTAGGCAGTCGCGATGTTGACGCTGTTTAGTGCCGGCGGATGGTTGTAGAATAGGCGAAAAAGGTTATCGTAGTCGCGAATCGTAGGGTCTATTGAGGCATTTCCAGTATCTGCATGCGGTATATGCATGACTGATTGCATCCCAGCCAGGTTCGCCATTGAACGGATGAAGCCTGCTTGTGTACTCGAAGGTTTGGTCATCGACGGGGGATACTGTCCCAGGTTATTTCCAAAAGCAGTAGAAAAGCTCGGAGGCTATTACCGTTGAGCGTAAGCACATGACCGAGATATGGAACAAATGAACCGACCTTCTGAACTAGTATTGGCTCCTCGTCTTCCTCTTTGTTTTCCCAATCCAGCTCGTATCGCCATCGCCGTTTTTCTGAGGAAGATACTGCCCCCGCCTCTGACTGAGCCAGCGTCGATCCTGTGGACAAAGAGGAAATATCCCCACTGATTCTGGACAGAACCGCAGGATCTGGATTGGGAGGCATTGATGCAGCTTGCCGGGACCACTCATCGCGCGTACTTGTGTCAAAGAACCCTGAACATTGTGCCAATATCAACCGATGTAACAGATACCGTTTCTCCTGTCCGCCGGCGCGGATGACGATCTCGACGTCGCCCGTATGGGTGAAAATGGGGAAATCATTTTGAGGTTGGTGAGCAAGCCCACCATGGTGGGAACGACTCGAGCGATGTCGCCGGCCACCATGAGAATGACGTGACACGGAAGATGTTGCGCTATGCGTGGGGAGGGAGCGGTCGAGAATCTGGGCTTGGGACACCATTTCGGGGGAGGTCAATGCGAGTGTTGTGGGAGACTTCGGGGTCATGGTCAGACCATCAAGGCAACTAGAGACCGTAGTAGCAAGACGCCAGAGCGCCGGGTGCGGACCTTCATTCAAGTTCAGCACCCACAGAATCGGAGATTTTATTGCTCGGGCATAGGAGAACCTGGAGACACTGCTTTTCAGGGGATCCCGGGGAGGAAGTAGTGGTGCTTTGCCGGTTGTTAACCCCCGCAGCGATAACCAGAAACACTAGTAATGGGGAGGAGAGAGGGTGTGGGATATCCAGAATTAGGATTAGATTTGATCAGATGGTCGGGGCTTGTTTCAGCTCATCAAGGACCAGAGACAGCGAGAGGCTGATATCTGATACGATGGAGCGGTTCCACTCAATGCGATTAGCACGGCAGCCAAGTCGCTTAGTGTACAATTGATAGGTAAATAAACAAAGATACAAAGAGAGAGAGGAAGAACGAAAGGAAAAGCGAGAGAGAGAGAGAGCGAAAGAAGGAACTGAACAGATTGAGAATGGAAAGGAACGACCGCCTGGCATGGCATGGCGTGTTCGCTCTTCTAAATAATTCCTAAGAAAGACTTGATTTGCTTCTCTTGGGGAATGTTTGGTTTGGTTTGGTTTGGTTTGGACATTTTTGGACATGCCGGCACATGACTGGGCAATCCATTCCCGTGCGTGACTGGAATTGCCTGCCTGAGGTATACGGTGTCCTATCTAAGTCATGTTCTACAACTTGGAAGAGTAATGACTAAACCTAAGTCAATCAAACAATAAGATAAAAGATAAATATACCTCCCTATGAGAAGAAGCTCCCTAGTCAAGATACCTCCCTGAAACAAGCAGAACAAACGAAGAAGAACAACGGAGGAACAGATCACCGCATGAGGGTTCCCACCAAAGGTCTTATACTAATAATAGCCGTCTGAATCCTATCGACGACCGAGACTTCAAGGCCCAAAAAAAATAATCATTTGTACGAGGATGGAATAGACTTTATATCTGTATGGATCACCTCCAAAATGGCCTGGACCAAGCCCTCCGCGACAGAAGGAGTGGTCATGCGGTTGCAAGCAACTCGTAAGAACGCACCGAGCTCTTCTCTCCTCCCACATCCAGGTGCGTAGTCCACCATCCATCCCCGCTTCAGGAGCCCCGTGGAGATGAGACGGGTGAAAAATGTGTTCTGTCTGGCCATCTCTTCAGCAGACTCCACGGTTTTGTGTGACGCGCCGACATAGTAGAAACAGACTTGCGTACAGGGCACGTCTATATGGCCGACAAGGCGGAGTGAGGGCTCTTTTCCTATCAAACGAGAGAGGTATCTAGCTCCCTCGTATGCCCCTTCGACTTGTGTTGCGATACCTTCTGCGCCATAGTATCGCCAGTGGAAGTATAACTTGACAGCGTCTGGCCGGCGACCGCATTGAGGAGTGAAGGATGCAAGGTCGTATACATCTTGGGGATCCGGTGCGTCTTCAATAGCTTTTGATGTGCGCCAATTAGTGTGATCATAACTGAGACAAGAACGCTCCTGCGCCTGGTTGTTGATTATCTTGCCCTCAGATGCAGTGGTAGTCCTGCCCTCGGAAGGAGGTAGGCTCTCATCCTGATGAAACAAATACCCAGCGGTTAAGCTGTTTGCATACCAGAAAGTACGCAGATCTCTTCCAAGAAGAAATGAGCATATCTGTGGCACGCCCAACAGCTTATGCGGATTGTATGCGATACTATCCGCTAAGTTGCAGCCTGCTAGTTTATACTTGAGCTTGTTGGAGAATGCAGCGGCGCCGCCCCAGCATGCATCGACGTGGAACCAAGCATTGTATTCATGAGCTAGCTTGCCGATGCTCTCTAAAGGGTCATAGGCCCCACGAACGGTTGTCCCTGCCGTTCCACACACAAACAGTGGGACCTCTCCTGCAGCTACCGTGACATCGAGTGCCTGTTTGAGCGCCATGGGATCCATACACCCGTCTACAGTCGTTGCAATTTTCTTGATGTAGTGTGACCCTAGACCCAATATTTGAGCCGCATTGAGCACTGAAAAATGCGCTGCCTCAGATGCAAACATTACGAGTCGCGGGAACGAGGTGCCATGTAGGCCCAAATCTTTTAGATGTGGAAAACGTACATTCCGTGCGACAAGTAGAGCAGTATTATTTGCCGCTGCGCCACCAGGGACACTAACTCCCCCTGAATATGGGCCACTGAGACCAAAGAGCTGAGCAAGCTCCTTGGCAACATGTTTCTCTATTAGGGTCAGAGCTGGGGAGACTCGAAACACATGGTCGTTTCCATTAAGCGCAGACAGGAGTAGATCTGAAGCGATTCCTGGAATGGAGGGCGAAGACCATAGTTTATCCATAAAGGCCGGAGATGATGTATTGACTGAATACTGTAGTAGGGTTGCGGTTGAGGAAGCTATGTCCTCCATGCCTCGTCCTGTCGATGGGAGTTTCAATGATAGAAGCTCGCGAAGTTGACCAGGATTGGTTAGGTAGGAGTCCAAGTTATCACCATTGGCATAGCATCCCTTTGATAAGTGCATTCCTGTTGTAAGTGCATCATAGTCGTCCTCGGAGCTGCGAAGAAAAGGTATAAGGTATCTCAGCACAATCTCAATAGCCTTCGTATGTTAGCACCATCACGGCCAACATTCTGCTGGAATAATAGACATTACTGAGCGTACCTCTGTAAGCTCAGTCACTCTACCGACAGGCAGAGCATCCTTTTCAATTGAATCAGTGGGCATTATAACCTCCTAAATGATGGCTTCGGGCTATTTTATCGTCTAAAAGACTGGGTGAGCAGAGACGTTTAAATAATGTTCGCACCCTGTAATATGCCGGTGGCTGCCTTGTCGCGATCCTTTAGTAAACCATATGATACAAGGATAGCGCACTCGGAGGCTCATTGTCAGCAGATAGCAGTGGTGATTCAATGAAACCCCTCAGAATTATGTGATTATTGATCCACATAAGGTAATGCCATAGCTCTGCGACGGCCATCATTGTCGCTCAAGTACAACCTGATCCATGAATCCTCTGTAGGTTACCTTCGTTCACATGTCCGTGACGCTACCTGCCGTGCAACATGTTCACCAGAAACAACATTGGAGACACCTAACATTATGTGAGATAACCGCCTGTTCGCCGGAGGTATTTCCGGAGAGTGCTTCGGAGGCCATGTCGAAACTCGATTAGTTTCTAAAGGCATATTTGAACTCAATCAAGCCAAAAGGCCGAGTGAATTATCGCGCGTATTGAGCGTATTCATGAGGTGGTACGATATACTTCTGGTCTCCTGTGTTGGCCGCTGTATACTCTTAAGTTTACTAAAGGTCCTACCTAAATAGGAGCCCTAAAGCCATCTCTTGCATCACTGACAACTAGATAATCGGAAAATTGAAGGAAAAAGAAAAAGAAAAAGAAAAAGAAAAAAAAAAAAGAACCAGGGCCTCTCATACCAGACCGGGCAAGGGATAATATCACTAGGCTAAAAGCCATGTTCATGTGTAATTCAAGTTTGGCGGAGCCTAAGATGTAAGTTAGAATTATATTGAGTCATCAAGTCCTTAATCTTAACCCTATGTTGGGGAAAGAGTAGCTTCATGCAACTTTTACCTAGAAAACCTCCCCAGTCAATATACTGGCGGATTCCTGTTCTTGATCTTTTCTCTCTCTTAACTCAGAAAATCGGAGCTTTGTTCAAGAGCGTTTTCGACCGTATGATTGGTGGGATGAAAGGTCTCTCCACAGCCCAATTGGACCCGTGGAGATTTATCCTGATCAGGAAAAAAGCGAGCCCTGAAGCTAGAGCCATATCACTGTCCACCCATGAAACCAACGAGATTTTTTTTTTCTGTTTGATAACATGACCCTGCATGGAGCAAGCCTACCGTAAGAAAAATAGAGGGTCAACGGTGCTGACCATCCCGGAGACTTACAAGTCTTATTAACGAAGTCATCAAAGCAAGGGAAACCCCCCCCCCCCCCCCCCCATCGGTCTAGCAATAGTGAGCACATAAGACCGCTGACACCATAACCTGGGTCAGAAATCACTTTGCAAAGCTTGATTGGATTTGAGGTCTGTTACACGTTGTGGCTCAATCGAACAGTGTGCATTAAAGTGGAGGTTTTTGGCCCCCCCTTTCTTCCCCCTCAAAGGGGGAGAGAGAATGATCCTTCGTCTGAAGAATTTAGTAAAGAAACTATGTAGAAACCGGTGCTCTCTGGCCGGGATAACACGACAGTGCCAATCATTAGAAAGGACTGTCAGCCTTAGCCCCCAAATGCGTTGCAGTTAACGCCCAATGCCCAAGGACACTAATAGCCGCCCATACTGAACGGAGCACTGATCGTCAAATCTCTGCCATTAGCTTTGCGGTAGTGTAGGTGCTGTACTCGCTGTGAGGCTGTACCCGAGCGCTAAGTGAGGGTCTTCAAATCAATTCCTTAATGAGCCTCAGTCCCAGTGCTGAAGTACGAAATGTAGCCCCATATTACTCAACAGTTTCTCGCATGGATGCCTCCGGGCTTTCGTGTTTCCCCCTCTATCGTCTTAACTGGGCGCTAGCCTCACGAACGAGCTGCTAGAATTGCAATCTTTCGAGGATACCAAACATAATACATGATCGATTGGTGGGCAGTCACACGCCCTAAGCACGCGTTGTCAGCAATCAGTTTCGTGCAAGATGGCTCGCTCACCGTCACCTGACATTTCTTTAGATGATCGGACTTCTCATCACAATGACCTTTCAGCTTCTTTATTGGATCCCACTCATTCGAGGCCTTCCACTTTGCGCAGCCCAAGTATTGAATCATTGAGACAAAGGGACGATGGACCAACCCCCAATTCTTTTAATAACTCACAACGGCGTGGTTACAGTAGCAGATTTCGAGAAGAGGGAGACGAGACCGACCAGAATATTCGTTTGAAGAATGGCGCTTCAGAGACAACCATAATTCCGTCGCCTAACACGCCAGCCTCAGACTTGCTCCTATCGAAGATACCTGCTGATGGAAGGGGAAGCCCGCCGAGTTGGCTACCCTTCACGCTTAAAAACAGTTTTCTTAGTCTGCTCAGTATGCTAGCCTTGGCGCTGTGTGCAGCCACGACTGCCTTGCTTGTGAGGTCGCAGACAAATTACGGGTTAGGCCCGGATGATGGCTCGTCGAAGATCCTATTCGGTTGGCGGTTCAGCCCGACCCTGGTAGCAGTCATCTACGTCCAGCTGACTTCTATGCTGGTGGACGACGTCAAGCGATTAGAGCCATTTGCTCGGCTAGCACGCACTAAAGGGTCCGAGGCATCTTCGAGCATTCTTCAAAAGCCTGGCGCCTGGTGGAACGCCCTCCACGATGGTCTTTCCAGGGAAAAGAATGGCGGTGACTCGCGAGGCTGGGTATTGTTTTGTGCAACGTTGGTCAATGTCCTTGGATTCCTCCTGATATCACCTCTGTCCTCGGCTCTGTTAGTCTCTGACGATGTGACGGTTCCACGCCAGATTGGTTTCCTTCGTCTTACACCACAGACCGACGCACCTCTTTCTCTAAATCAGGGCCGTGCTGCTCACTTTCGGACAATTAGCCATTTCGCCCAAAACGTAACTACCTCGCCGTGGGTTACAGATAGATGGACCATGCTTCCATTCTGGCCGGCTGACTGGGAGAGTGCGCCGCTTGGATCTCTACCGTCCGCTTCTCAAACCTGGAAGGTGGAAACCACGGTGTTCAAGAACGAGCTCAGTTGCAGCAAAATGAAATTGGATGATTTATCTGCTGAAACAGTAACGCTCGGAAATCCTGATAACCATACAAACGTCACTGCTATTTCAGCCACATGGTCCTCCGGTGATTGTAAAATGGGGTTCAGGATTACAATGTATGGCGACATTGTGTTAATCGCAGGTGGCGCCAGCTGGTCGAACTCATCTGAAATCAATATTGGCCGGCCATTCCTCAATGAAACGCAGACCGATGGATGTAAGGATCACGACTATCTCCTCCTAAGTGAGCCTTGGGAAGGAAACGGCACTATGAATGTGCATCTATGCACAACCACATATTCAATGGCGAATGTCACGGCCTCAGTTGACCTCTCGGGTATTGAGCCAAATATATCCTTCAACGAGAGCGAGTACACCCAGAACCGACAACAGGTCCCGGATTCCCTGATGAATGCCAAGACGATGCGAGACCTTACATTAGACCCCGAGTGGTCGAGCTACATGCTTACATTAGGCTTCGAGAAACCCCCATCGCTACACGGACCATCAACACTGCTGTGGGTACTCTACGACAATAATTTGACGGCGATGGTTGAGGATGAAAATGTGGCCATCCGCGCAGGAGAAATACAGCAACGGTTCTTTGGAGAAATGCTGCAGTCGAGCTTGATCGAGCAAGGTGCCTCTCAGTATATTCCCATCCAAGGTCATGTTAAGACGGTTGAAAGACGAGTGACAGCTACAGCCGGGCCTGCAATCACGCTGATAATTCTGCTCTTTATATCATCTTGTCTCCTGCTCGTCGCATGGAGATGCTCGCGGCTCCAACATAGGCCGCTAAACCTGAAAACTGATCCTTCCTCGTCGGCTGGTGTGACCTCCTTGGTAGTTGACAGTCCACGGACTAGGTTTAGCTTCAAAGATCTTAGCCAGGCTTCAGATAAGGAGCTCCAGGGGCTCTTGAAAGGAAAACGGTACTACACAGACTCAAAGGCGTTGCACGAAATGGATTCCGACCAAGCCGAAGTTGCAAACACAACCACAGGGAAATCGTCGCCAGGATCCGCCACAAAGACTAACTGGGTCCCTAGAGTGCTTCGTCTCCCAACCCTCCTAGCGCTGCTTTTATGCCTTGTGGTCGTACTCGTCGGTGTCGTTGTATTGTATCATTTTGCGCAGCTGTCAAAGCTGTACAAAAAAGCCTTTGTCTACCAAGCCAGCATTTCTATTTTCAACAAGCAGGTTTCCACGGTAGGACCATTTTCTATGGTTCCAACGTTAATAGCAGTGGGTATTGGCCTATGGTGGGGTGCTATTGACAACAACTTTTGCCGTCTACAGCCATTCCTGGCCATGGCCAAGCGTTACCGGCCATTATCAGAGAGCGTGTACCTATCGTATCAGTCCTCCTATTGGATGTGGGCCACTATTAAGGCAATATTGAATAGGCATTGGATGCTGGTATTGGTTACCTTGGGCACTGCCGTTTCCCCAATCTGTACGTTTTTATAGATTGATCTTGTAAGGCGCAAATGTGCTAACGAAGGTCTTGTTAGTTACTACGTCGATGTCAGCCCTCTTCCAGCATGAGACAGGAGTAATCACAGAAACACAAATGCTAGAGCGTTCGCTCGAGGTTCGCCAAATCCCTCACATATTCACCGCAGTGGAATACACAGTTCGGGATGCTAGCAATTTTGTGGCTTCCGTTATTGGCCAACTCCACGGGAACCTCACCTCGCACTGGATATACACTGCTGCAAACCAGCTAACTCTGAATGGCTCGGAGCCAGCCTGGAGTAAAGATGGCTGGAGCTTTGTTCCTGTCGATCTCCGTAACGTCAGCTTTTCGCTGCCTGGCGGGACTGAAAGCAATCACCAGGGCGGCTTCAGCCAAAATTCCCGGATCAATGTCTCATTCTCTACACCAGCTATCCGCGGTAGAATTGAATGCAGTCCTTACGAAGGCTTATCCAACCTGTCTTCCTGGCTCACAGTCACTGACGTGAGCAATTCATCTCTTTGGACAATGAATCCGAGCACCGGGAACATCAAGACAGCGTATCAGCTTGGAGTAGGCTTTAAATATAACAGTGGCCTGCCAAGTATGATGTTTCCTCTGGAGCCGTCACGTAACTTCACTAATTGTGAGCGTTGCACTTCTATCTTTGCCAACCCTTCCTCAGTGACATGCTGTGGCAATGGAACCAGCCTAGAGGCGGACCCGATGGCTGCGATCGGTTATTGGTCACCGAATTCTAATCCAGCCTCATGGAATCCACGTACCTGGCAACGTAACATAACGACCAAGTGGATACATGGCCATGCAAGAGTAGCGGTGGAACATGATGTGAGTAGCTCATCACCGCATCTGCTATTCACCGATATACCTTCCATAGCGGCAATGAATTGCATGCCGTTGGTAGAAACAGCGAGTGCGGAAGTTACAGTCGATCCCACCACTGGCGGAGTCCGGGCGTTTAGCATCACAGATGAACCACAAACAGCGGACAATGCGTTTTCAGACAGCTTTCTTGCTCATAGAACGTCTAACCGTGTGCAGGCCACGGTCACATACAATGCAACTATCAGGTAGGTTTATAACTAGCCTGCTAGGAGCTGATGGTAATAGACGGACACTCGCTGACTTTATCTTTACCAACAGCTATGGAATGCTTTTCATGACTCAGATGTTAACTGCTGTGAACGTTCGAAGTCTTTATGGACCCGGCCGAGTACTAGGCTGGACTATTGAGGACAGAGGCGACAACACCTTCAATATCCGCGACGAAGCAAACGGACTAAATTTAGACTTCATGTCATATTCGATGTATTCAATGGCGAATAAGGATCCATCGGCGCTTATCGATCCTACAGTTTTCACGCGTTACGCCTCGAAAACGTTTTCGACCTTCTTCCAGCATTTCGCAAGCTCCAATATCTCCATGGAGAGAGGTAGCTTGGCCTATCAGCCCATTAACGCAAGCTTGCCGTCTGACCTTCCCCCAGCTGTCACTGACGTTACTCTTATGGAGGATGCACCACTTGCAGACCAGCAAGATGTGATCCATCCAATCTCCCATACAAACCGGACAGTTGTTGTGCGGGTTTCCAAACAGATCGAGTTGTTGCAGATGAATGCTGTCGCCATATGGCTCAGTGTTAGCATTCTGGCGTGGCTTATCATCGCCACTGTCACTGTCACGATCTTCCATCGGCAATACCTAAGACGGTTGGTACGAAACGTAGAATGTCTTGGGGACGTGTTGGTCTTAACTGCGGGTAGTGAGAGCCTGGTACATGTGATCCAGGAAATACAAGCAGGCAGAATTGCTGAAAGCGAAAAGAGCCGTCTTTTTGCGCGACTGGGGTGGTTTCAGGATGGCGATGGGAAAGCGAGATGGGGCGTTGAAATGGCCGAGGGCGATATGACTCGACCAGGAGTACAATGGTTAGATCATGGGGGAAAGAATATCGGTGGTACTGATTCTGTATAAGACTTATGGAGATAGAAGTGAAGTATAGCAGCATTTAAATATTACAAACGATAAAACTATGCCGTGTTGCTGATTCATTCTGACTTCCTCTCGGTATGTTCTATACCCTCTATATATATGTTTTGAAGATGCCTTCCGATTGGCTAGGGCAACGGACCGATGAATATGTGTCGGGCCGACCCTACGGAGTACCATGCGGCGGGACGGAAAGAACAAAGTTGACCATTGCCTGTAAGGATGTCGCACATAGACTGGAGATTAAATGGTCTACCTAATCAGTATTGCCCTTATGCTTCTTAAGACGTTTTTGTTTTTGAGTAATCTGATTCTATATATTCTTTATTTCCTGTTATCAATTATTGTTTCAAGGAATTGTCTACACAGTACAGTTGTAGCGGGCTGAAGCCCGTTAGAATACTCAGGCCGTTGGCCCTCGTTTCTGTATTCGTCACATGGTGTATTTCTGCCCCTCTGTCCTGTCATATCTCATTATCTCACCGTTTGTTGATTCTTCTCCTCTTTTCTTTCTTCAGCGTTTTCTTCTTGTTTTGATAGCTATGATCAGCTATGATAATTTATCGAACGCTGCAGGTCTTATCCCTTACAACAGTACATACACTATCCTGTAGCGGAAATTATAAATCTCCTGGCATCTCTCCCGGCATAACTATATTGTAAACAAAATTATATTACTGTATTTATGGATTGAGTTTCTATCAAATAGTTGCCTTAACTGATACTAGTATCCGGATCACTGCGTCGCGAAGCATAGGATAGGAGTGTTTCGCCGTCAACGTCCATCTCACCAGGATCAATTGAAGATATATTCAGGACCAGCATCGTGATTAATTCAAGATCACCATACTCAACCACGTATGATAATGGTGTTCGCCCCTTGTAATCTCTTGCATTAGGATATCCATGATTGTCCTGTTTCAATAATAGACCAACAATTTTTCAATGCCCTCGCTCTGCCGCTAGTGACAAAGGGTTTCGCTTGTCATCTTTACCTTGAGATGCTAGGTCTACCTTTCCTGTCTCCCGGAGAAATGAAACTATATCTGCATGCCCGCCACTTGAGGCTACAGTAAGTGCAGTGTCTCCAGTACCAGTGTCAGTGGTCAGATCAACTCCTGCTTCATATAGCAACTTCATGATGGATAGGTGGCCATTAGATGCAGACCCAAATAGAGGGGACAGATTGTAGCGATCCCTGGGGTCAGGATGTGCTCCTTTTGCAAGTAAAAGCTGCACAATAACCTCTGAATCAATTTAGACTGCAAGGTGTAAAGCTGTTTTTCCACTGGCACATTGGTGGTTCACATTGATATTTGGTGTGTTAAGCAATAGCTCCACTTTCTCTGTAAATCTCCTGCTGGCTGCAAACATCAAGGCGATGCACCCCTTCTTGAACATGTACTTAGTTGCTATCGCGGCATTCACGTCAATATCCTGTTGAGATAGGAATTGAGGAACAGCAGCTTCTGATCCGTAGCTAACTGTCCAGGAAAGTGGTGTACGGCCATGGTAATCCTTGAAATTGAGATCTACGCCTGGGGTGGCAAGCAGCTGCTTTACCACTGTATCCTGGCTGCTGAATCCTGCATAAGTAATTGGGTCTCCCCATGTCATCTTCTAGATTCGGGTTGATGCCTTTTGTTGACAGTAACAGGGCAACCACATTCACATGTCCTGCTTGAGCTGCTCTTGCTAAGAATGTTATGGAGGATTTGTCCTCTTTATTCTGACATTGGAAATTGGGATCGACTCCCTCCTGCAGTAGAAGAATCTTTATAACATTTATGTGTCCCCCTTGCACTGCTATTGACGGTGCATGATAGAATATCTCAAGTTTATTATTCAAAACTCCAAAACTAGCATTCAGTGAATGCTGAGCAGTCTTGACTATTCCATGATTTATAGCCCATAGGAGTGCGGACATCTGTCCGTGCGTGGCATTAAAATGATACAAGGAAAGATTGCTTATATTATAAAGATGGCAGTTTGTCCTGGCTAACGAATTTATATCTGACTCTAAGATCAGATAGCCTATAATGTGATAGAGAATTTCACTTGGCATGTCTAGCAATGACGGCATTGTATTCCTTCTCAATTAATTGAATAATAGTATTAGAGGTTTAGCGTTGAGTTTAGACCTTGTAGGTGGAAAGACTAATATAAGTATTAAAAGATAGATACTGCAATAATCAAATGGATAAAGTAGACTTATAAGGAAGCAGGGTATAGAGGAGCAGATAGCAGTTCACTCCAAAGAAAGTGTACAAGAGGGAGTCGAGGCTGGAGGAATACGTGTCATGCATCCTGTCAGGTTCCGCTCAGGCCTGCGCTATGCTATGCATGTCGCGTATCACGATGTGGCCCCATCCGCTATCCGCGGCACTGATTGGCCTGTATCGACGTTGAATGATGCACTGGAGGAACACATATCGTCGTTTGCATCCAAATTGAACTGACTTTATGCTTTGCTAATCGAGCAGTGGAATACAGCTTCACAGATTTCAGGCGCCAAGTTTCCCTACCGGAGCCCTATAAACTATACAGTCTAATACGGCCTCAACACCTGCTTTGTTCAAGACTAATCAGGCCGGAGCGGTGCAGCCAAGCCAGCAGAACTTCTCTGAGGCCTTGTCGGACTAGTTCGTCCCCAAATAAGTACTCCTCGGATTTGTTCTGGCACCACAGGAAGTTCCCCTTTTGGCTAAGAATAGATGACGCACGGCCGGTCTTGATAAGGTACTTTGTTTCTTTCCAGTCGCTAACATAAGGAGAAACGGACTTCCACATCATAGTTTGTGCCATAGCGATCGGAAGCAGGTCCTGAAGTCGCTCATGAGCGCGGACACGGGCCCATATATCCCCAGCAGCATCGATCTTTCTAGCCTCGAAATGTCGCCTGACCTCGGCACAAAGCGCCTGGTCAACCATCTGGCGGACGGTACGTTTGAGGTAGGATATCTGCTGATCTGCGAACTGAGAGATTTCGTCCAGTGGGAAGCTATCCGAATATTTGTCAACGTATTTGATGATAATAGACTGCATATGCTCAATCTCTTGCTTCATCTTTTCAAGTCGGTAGCTCGTCCACTGGCCGTATAGTTCGGGAAGATCACTGTATGGCCTCACGTTTGAGATATAGCTATTATCGTTGATGCCGGCCACGGCTGCGCGGTATGAAGTTATGGTCGTGATACGTTCGGTCGTGCCGAAGGCTCGGGCTGCCAGGTGCTCGACTTGGCCGCCTTGAAGGATGACACAGTGTCCTTGAGAAGGCCCTTCAATCTACATGAAAAATCATTTCGTTGGCTGCTTTTGATGCTAATAAGAACAGTAGGTGTAAAGAACAAATACCTTTGCAGCGCTGCCATCACCCTTCCTAATATAGGTCTCCCCCCCCTCCATATGAGTCGTATCGCTGAGCATCAGAACCGCCACGTATGGATAAGAGTCATAGCTTGGTCTCGTTAGCCAGCATAAAAAAGGTAAGTGAAAGAGGTTAGATAGAACACACTGCCAAGGTATAACCGCACTCGCCCCCAGCTGGTCATGAGCCATATCCTCGTCCGTAAAGCTGCACTTCGCCCTGGGCTCCACCTCAAGCTCCTTTATCAATTCATCTACCGTACACCCAGTAGACTGAATATTCGTATGGCCAATCTCTGTTGGCATAATGATGGTCAATGGCACACCGGCAACTTCGGACACGATTTTCATTGTCTCTGGATGAGTCCAGAGGTCATGAACGAACTTGGAATGCTGAGCCAAATTGCGAAGGATAAATGTCCCGGTTCCCCAAGGCTTCGCGCAGCTCTTGAGGGTCTGTGGTCTCATTATGGCTCGTCGATAGGCACGTACCCCTGCCTCTGACAGGAAAGGGAATGGAACACTTCCTGCTATGGGGGTGAATGGGGCCGAGCATTTCAAACCTAGATCTTTCATTGTGAGAAGGGAGGTCGGGGGTTTATAGTTTAGGTGAACCTGAGTGGTGGCTTATTAGAATAGTAGTTTGGGTGACTGAAATTCCCGGAAGGCTTACTTCGGGGTCAAAGGCTTCTTCGCTACCATATTGCAGCAGTTGATTTTGCGTTTGCTCTTGATTTGTGAGCATGATGATTGATTTCTCTCAGTTAATTGGTATCTATTGCAGGTTCAAGGGGGTGGTCTTGGGTCACAGTGAATCGAATGCTTTATTTATACACTGGCAGGAATCCTGATAGCGGGGGTGGGAGGTATCTATAATGGTTGAGGTATAGTATAGTACACGGGATTTACTGTCCCAGTAGGGAAAGTGATTCCATTTGACTTTCTATTATCTATCCCTATCTTTCTCGAGTTACACTGGAAGAGTGCGAGTTGTATCTGCCGAGGTCCTCCCTTCTCCAGAGGGACAGTATCGGATAGAGATCGCTGCAATGTACACATTCTTGGCCACTCTTAGACGTGACGTGGTTATGCTTCATTGCCTTCGTGATGCTCAATCAAACAAAGTATCTTGGTCTAGTCATACTGTCGAAAAGTGCAGTACTAATACGGCTTAAAGTAGGCTGTGAGGGGCAAAAGATGATTTATTCCGTGTGGGCTTGTCAGACGTAAGCATAAACGTCGAGCCTTTGTTTGCTTTTCTCCAAAAGAAGGACATGAACGAGTTACCGTAATGATAAAAGAAATGGATCTATACCCTGGTGCGAAAACCAAGGCTATTATGGCATCCTAGGCAAGCAAACTGGAGATAAGCCGAGCCAGCGATGTTGTTGCGATCATCGACCAGGGCATGGAAGTGGCAGGTGATCGCCGGCAACAAGGCGCTGATAACTTATCATCCAAGCTTCCTCGGGGGCCAAAGCACGGTTATTCGCCAGAATCGCCGCGAAGCTCATGGGGTTTTGTGTGATTGGTCTTGGTCTAATGGTTGACTCGGCAAGGAATCGATTTCCCTTACATCACCATAGTACCACCTCACCATCCTGAAGCCCGTTTGCGGACGAAACCCCGCTCGATAAGAGTGAAGTTAGGGTACATCCATCCTCACAATAACGGGCTCCTATGCGGGGAAGCAAATGCGCTGTTATCAATTCGTCTTCCATAGGTTGACTCTACTGAGTGGATCCGTTATGTATATCAAAAGATTGGTTCGAATGCTTGTTCTCCTCTTGAGATGACGGAACATTTCCGGCCAATCTGTCACCCATCGCCCGGAGTATTTGTCTTTCCCAACTTACACTCGACTTGGAATTGATAAGTCCAATGGTGGGTCATCATGTTACAATGAGAGATGGGCCACTGAGCTGCACGTCTGATTTGGCAGCTGCAAGGGATATGTCAATTGGTATCTGCCGGGAACCCCTCTTATACAAGGCTATTCCTGCAACACAGCAGATAAGAAATGCAACCTTGCACATACACTGAAGATCTCTTTTGCTTTTAAAATTATCGCAGGTTTTACAGTGCTATCGGATCATGGCATCAGGTGTGGACAGGGATGCCATTCCAGGCACATTTACCCTGCTGGATCTAGAGCATACTCTCGCAAGTCGACACCTGGACAGAGGGAATAGTGACATCGTTCTTGTCCCCCAGCCTTCAGATGATCCGGACGATCCACTGAACTGGTCACCCCGACGGAAAACTCTTTCGACCATTTGTGTCAGTGTGTAAGTCTGACCCATACGTGTGCTAATGAAGCCTACCTTAGTAACTTTCGCATTCAAGGTACACTTTGTTCATAGGTATCGGGTGTTCTGTCGTGTATTCAGTGCTTGTTCCGCTCTCCAAAGAGACGGGAGTCGCTGTCAATACTTTGAATGAAGGAACGGGGTATTTATTCCTGCTTGCAGGCTGGGGCCTACTTTTTTGGCAGCCCCTCGCATTACAGTATGGCAAACGACTCGTATATATCGTGTCTTTAATCGGAATGATGGTAAGTCTCAATTTTGGGAAGACAAACTATACTTCTAACATAGATATGCGACTAGGGAACATTGATATGGGGGTAAGCATAATTCTAGCTCATACCTGATCACCTGAAGTTGACAAGTTAGTCCTTATATCAAGAACAATGGCCAATGGATCGGTCGCAGCATTTTATCCGGCTTTTTCACCTCGCCAGTCGAGGCTCTTCCCGAAATCACGGTCACGGATGTGGTATGCATTCTGAAAAGCATTGCCACAGTCTAGTCTAACATGATCAGTACTTCACACACGAGCGTGGAACATACATGGGGCTGTATGCCTTCTTCTTGGCCGGCAGTAACTACTTTGCCCCGGTGATTTGTGGCTTTATCGCTGAATACCAAGGCTGGGAATGGGTATTTTACTGGCCTGCCGTATTCTGCGCCGCCGCCGCAGCGTTTCTTTTCTTGTTCATGGAGGAAACAAATTATACGCGCGAAAATGTCAGCCCCATCACCTCTATTAGTCCAACTGAGCCATCCATTTCGGCATCGGAGAAAGGGGAGCAAGAGAAGGCTACACCTATTGATACTGCACAACACACGAACTCAGAGCTTGGAGACGTGTATAACAAGAAGACGTATATCAAGAAGCTGTCACTCCTGGGCCCACGCCAACCTAAGAATCATATGCTAAGACGGCTCTGGCATGGGTTATATTACCTGAGCTGGCCGGTGGTATTCTATGCAGGGTAAGTTCGATTCAGACTATCGGGAATGTAACTTACTCCCTGGACAGCTTTTCATATGGCTCATATCTGATCTGGTTCAATGTCCTGAACGCAACTGCTTCAATTATCCTCGGGTCTGCTCCATATAACTTCAGGTATTCGGCTCTGGCTCCTGGATGATCCTAAGTGAATGAGCCTAATATGAGTAGTACTGCAATGGTCGGCCTCAGCTATCTCGCATGTTGCCTCGGCGTGATTTTGGGGTAAGTCTTCTTATCCACCGGTTCCACATACACACGCTTGAAATACACTTGCTCACCAAACGCAGTGCTCTCTTCACAGGTAGGTTCAGCGACTGGCTGACCATCCACCTCGCCCGACGCAACAACGGAATTATGGAAGCCGAGCACCGTCTCTGGCCGTTTCTCATCTGTCTCGTCATTGTTCCAGGCTCACTGATCCTCTGGGGTGTCGGCGCAGCGCACGAGATTCATTGGTTTGGCCTCTTGGTTGCAATGTGTGTTCTCGCGATGGCGAACACCTGTGGAATCACCCTGAGTGTCAATTACCTCATTGACAGCTACCGGGAGCTTAGCGGTGACGCCATGACGAGTATTATCTTGGTTCGCAACACAATGTCCTTTGCTATAGGCTATGGGTATGCATCTCCTGACTAATAGCTGGTTGTACCTGCTAATAAGCTGTACCAGCATCACGCCGTGGATCGACAACCTAGGCTATCAAAATTGCTTCATCTCCGCCGCATTCATCGGCATGGCTTGTTCAGCTGCATTTCTCTTCATGATCAAATACGGAAAGGCACTTCGCAAGCGCAACCAAGAGAAATACTGGAACCAAGTGATTGAGAACCGGGAGAATGGAATGGCGCATTAACCCTGAACCATCCTTTGCAAGCATCATATCATATCATATCAATCAATCGCAAAATATATACAAATACAATCCACCCCCAATCCCCCTCACTCATTAAACCAAATAAATATCTCCCTTTTCATCATACTCAATCTCCCTAACCTTAACATTCCTCAAATGGTTCACCCCCTCCGAAATCTCACAATCATGATAGAAAATCCACCACCTCCCCCCAAACTCTACAATAGAATGATGCGTCGTCCACCCAAGCACCGGCTCCAAAATCCTCCCGCGATACCTAAACGGACCCCACGGACTTTCCCCAACCGCATACGCAATAAAATGCGTATCCCCCGTCGAATAACTAAAATAGTACTTCCCCCGATACACATGCATCCAAGAAGCCTCAAAAAACCGCCTCTCATGATCATCCGCCTTGATCAGCTCCCCATTCTCATCCTGAATAACTAGTTCCCGGACGGGGGTCGCAAAACCCAACATGTCATCCGTTAGCTGCGCGACACGTGGATTCAGAGCGATCTCACCCGCCCCCGAGGGCTCCTGGGGCCCCTGTTTCGAGGCATCAAAGACCCAAGTATCTTCGTCTGGGGTTGTCTTTGACCAGCACTGTAACTGGCCGCCCCAAATACCGCCGAAGTAGAGGTATGCCTTGCCATCCGCATCCACAAATGAAGCGGGATCGATGCTATAACTCCCAGGGATGAAGCTCTGCTCGGAATGAAACGGGCCCTCTGGTTTGTCGGCGACGGCTACGCCGATGCGGAAGATGCCTTCTTTATCGCGTGCGGGGAGATAGAGATAGTATTTTCCGTTTTTGGTGGCGGCGTCTGGGGCCCAGAGCTGTTTGCTTGCCCAGGGGACCTCGGGGAGGGCCAGGACGACGCCGTGGTCGGTTACGGGTCCGGAGATGGAGTCTATGGAGAAGACGTGGTAGTCGGACATGTCGTATTGGTCGCCATTGTCGTTGAATTGGATGTCAGTTTCGCGGTCGTGGGAGGGGTAGATGTAGAGTTTGTTGTTGAAGACGTGGGCTGAGGGGTCGGCCGTGTAGATGTGTTTAATTAGGGGGGAATTGGACATTTTGGATATGGACATTTTGGATATGGATGCTTTGGGTAAATTTGGTTTTCTTTGGGTGGTAGTGGGTGTTGTTGGGGTTGGGGATAATGAAGCTTTAAATTGTGGTGTCAGTTTAGCCGGACAGCCTAAAACAATAGACGCCAAAGGCGTTCCCCGCAGACTTTACCCCGCGGGAAAATGGGATTCCATCAGTCGGGGATTTCTTCTGCTCTCGGGTGGTATATGGTTGACCTTTGGGTATTACTAGGTAAGTGGGACGGGGCATAGGGCTAAATGCGAGGCAAAGCTTATGGGCGGGCGTATGGATGATGCTCACCACCTCGATCCAGGTTGGATATAGAAAGCAACCCGCAATAACCCGCAATGGACCATAATTGTCATAAAACAGAAGAATCTGAGGTTATGACTAAACTAAATGTAAGTTGATATTTCTATTCTAGAGACGAATGTAGTCTAAATTAAGCGCACAATCTCCATTGAGGATGATGATTAGCAACGTCAAACGCGTAAAGAGATTCGAGAAGTGATCTGTCATATTACAAGGATAAAGTTATAAAAGAACTTCCAGAATGAGATACCAGAGAAGGGAATGGTAAGAATTGGCTGGTGAGACCTGGGGTGGGAAAGTTAGGGCGCGTGAGAGAATCTGATGCCTGCATACATCTCCCTTATCCCATGGCCCTGAAGGCGATCACCCTTTGGCGGAAAAAGCAAAAGCTTCGAGATGATCCTCAGGTTCGTTGCTTAGTAGGTTTGCCTACGCGTATATATAGGCTGAAAATGAAACCTTGGTCTAGAATGTATAATGTGAAAGTAGATGGAAGCTACTCACACTATCAAGGTATTCATCCGATAGAGCTCTTCCCAAGCCTGTATCACTGAGCAAGGACGTTCAATTTCCTTTCCACTCCTGATTCATAAGTTCCAGCAACTCTGTCTCAGTCTCCCTCCGCGCCCTCCCACGGGTAGGATTCCTTTTTTTCTACAGGGGACTCACAACGCTGGAGCCCAATAAATCGACCGAATCGCCTCCGCTTAGTCTCGAGGTCCACGTCCTTCTCATTCTCGGTGCCAACCCATGGTGGGATAACCACGGGATAGTAAGATGTTGCTGGAACTGGTGGCCAGACTTGGTGATAGTGTATGGCAAGATTGTCCAGTTGTCGAGAAGTCAGAAGGTGATAGGAGAGGAGAGTAACAGGGAACTCTGGGTGGGGAAGTGCGGTCGTGCTGGATACCAAAGGATAAAGACGGGTTCGTAAGTGGGTAAGAGTTGGAATGAAGCATAGATGGGGTTTTCCAGCCTGTCCCTCGGCCGCCGAATTCATGGGTGCCGCAGCAACTGTTGAACGTACGGGGAGAGATGGCGAGAACAATACTTGACGTTCTGAAGCAACAGAACTGGTAGAGTCCACCATGATGTGAGAAAGAGGAGAAGCGCCGGGCTCTGGCAACCTGAGAGTGGAGGTATCGCGAAGACTATCAAAATGGGGGTTAGTCGCTCAGAGAAAGATAGGCGGCATGGAGGGAGACAGCGGTTGGCTCCCTATATATTGTGCAACATTCTCAACAGGCGCCTTTGTCTTACGCGGCCTCAATGGGCGGATCATTATTACAGAGCCTTTGTCCGGGGGTCCAGATGAGGTTTCACTACACACGGAGATGCTTAGTCCGAGGCCTTTGTGCCCTTCGTTGCTAGACAAGGTATCAAAGGAAATGGAATAAAAGACAGTTCCAATTGCGGTCAAAAGATGCATTGAACTACATAAGTCAACCAAGTCATTACACATCCCGTCCTTAGACTGCGGACACGCCACCGCAAAACACAAAGCTCGAGCGGCGGGTGATAATAATCAAGTCATTATACCGACATGCTAGCCACACCCTTTTCCAAATCGGGGGCGGAGGCCAATCCAACATGCTTGTTGATGAAGTTAAAGATGGTACGGTGCCACATCAGAGAATTTTCTGGGTTCAGTACCCAATGATTCTCATCGGGGAACGTCAAGAATTGACTCTCCACTCCCCTCATCTGCAAAACATTGAACGCCGCTAGTCCCTCGGCAATCGTCAGACGATAGTCTAATTCGTTATGGATGATCAAGTGGGGAGTTTGCCAGTTTCCTGTAAAGCGGGATGGGTCCCACCGATCCCAGTTCTCCGGCACTTTCCAGTACGGGCCTTGAAGATCCCGAACGGGAAAGTAGAGCTCTTCAGTGCTTAGCAAAGAACGCATACTAAAGATTCCATCGTGAGTCACCAGGGCCTTGAATCGACGGCCGAGTTCATGACCCTGAATCCAGTTCACCATATAACCACCATACGATGCTCCTAGCGCCACAGCCCTGGTAGTGTCGACATAATCCAGGTTGTTCTCGATATAATCAAATCCCTTTACCAAATCGATGTAGGGACGCCCTCCCCAGCAACCACGAATCCCGTCTGTGAATGACTGCCCGTAACCAGTGCTACCTGTGGGGTTGGGTGTGATGACCACGTACCCTTGCTCAGCAAACACAGCAGGATTCCACCGTGTACTCCACTGGTTATTCCATGCTCCTTGAGGGCCCCCATGAATCAGGTACGCCAGAGGATACTTGTTACCAGGTTTAAAGTCGGACGGTTTCACGACCCAGGCGTGAACGGGGTGGTCCTCGGCTCCCTTAAACCAAATTTCATCGATCTGCGACGGAGACAGCCCGAAAGCGGCGCCACCACGGGCTAGTGAAGATATGACCTTGGGATTTTCTGGAGACTGGGGGTCGATAATCGTCCACCGGCTATTTTCTACCAAACTGTTACTTGCAATAAGCAGCTTAAACGACTTAGCCGATGCAGGGAACACATCAGTCACATAGCCCGAATGTGTCAGCTTCTTCAGCACGGAGGGGTTAGAATGACGGAAGTTAGCGAGAGGTAGCTGGTATAAAACTCCATGGCCATTCTCCTCAACTTGGACGAAGAGGGATTGGTCGTCATTTGCAAATGTCAGGGCTGACGGACTTAGGTGCCACAAGCCCTCTCCATCTGCCGATGTAAAAGCCTCTATCATCTCCCCACTCCAGGGGTTGGGTACATAGAGTATTCTGTTCTTGTCTGACTCATAACCATCCTCCCGCATCGCAAGGAGGGCAATCGAGCTGCCGTCAGACGAGAGAACAGGGGAAGACATGGCCCCTTCAAGACCCTTCAGGGCATGGATTTGCTTAGATTCTAGCGTCGTCACGCTAGTCCAGGAAAACATTGGACAATAATAACACGAGCAGGAGGTGTGCGTAGCAGGGTTCTCATTCGGATCCTTGGCGACGAACACAATTGCTGAGGGGCTGATGTCAAAATCCCCAGAGCCCCCAAAAGGCGGAATCGGCGATTCAACGCCGGTCAGACCGCACACAGATATCAGGTTGGTCAGCGAGGACGTTGAGTATTTCCCTGCATGTCTGGTGGCCGGGCTCATTGGAGCCTGCTGAAGCAGGCCATACCAGATGGCATTGGTCTGGGGCTCAATGTATGAGTCCCAGTGCCTCACATACAGAGAGCTATACAACTTTCCAGTAGTGAAAGGCTTTTTGGCATCATGAGGGTTGTAAAGGCTCCCGTCCGGGTTTGCCTTGCCCGTCACCGCAAAACCAATTTTTCCCGGTTCGATGGCGGTGACTTTGAGGTTTGACACTGGGCCAGGAACCGTTCCAGCGGTGTATGTCTTGTCTACCTCGCGGGCGTGACCAATTATGAAGCTGGTATTACCGTTTGCCTTTGTTTTGAGCCATATTAAACGGTCATCGTTGTCCAACCACTGCGGAGAGCTGGCGCTTGGATCATTTGTAACAAGAGCAGATTGGCCGGAAGCGATGTCCAATACTCGGATTTCGTTGGTCTTTGAATGCGACTCGAAGGAATAGGATGTCTGGGTATATACGGCCAAAGTCCCTGACGCATTGGGCACGGCAGCCGAGCGCCGAGGAGCTCCCAGTAGGACCCTAGGAAAGTGACGTGTTAACGTTTATGTTGAGTTAATGCATATGAGGAAGACAGCCATGATGAATTGATTATATATTGTTCTCCCTCGTGAACAAGACAAAGGAAGGTACTATGGAAGTGATACACTTACTCCGGTGTGAACTTCATTGGACGAATGGTCATGACAGATCCCCGATAAGAGCTGGAATAGTAAGGTACCTCCGGGCCGATAAGAGCTATAGTAGTATCAGAAGTAAGGTTATTATACTTATGTACGTATGTGTGTAGATATATATTATAGTATAAGAACACTGTTAATTCCACACGGCGATAGGGGATATGAAAACAAGACAGAGGAATGGGAAGGGATAGGAAGGTGGTGTGAGAAGGAGAGAAGGGGAGGGGAGAAGAGAAGTGGTGCCGACCTTGTTGGGGAAAGAGGAGAGAGATATACTCTTTGGGTTAGGGAGATCATGGGTCACACTTTCCCCACTTAAGCTCCACCGCTGCCGGATTGGGGATCGAACTATCAGATTGAAGATTCCATATTCAATTTTTTATTTCCCACATTACAGCATATAATTACACACACAAACGTGGACCAAGGTAATAACATCATACAGAGGCCACCCGAAGCATCAAACAAAAATTGAAATAAAATAAATAAATCTTGGATTCTTTCCTTTACTCCTCATCCTCCTCTTCACTTTCATCCTCGTCCATACCCTCAGCGGCCGTGACACTGAAAGTGGGCGCTTGGTCAACACCCACGTAGCTGTCGCTCATCAAGTACAATGTCAGCTCATGCTCGCCAGGTGTCGGTACGATGTACTCGAGACGCAACTCCAACTTCCGCCCAACAGTAACTCGCTTGATGGCAAGCAGGCTCTTGGTCTTCTCATCGCCCACCACCAACCACCAGTTCTCCATCTTTTTGCTGGTGTAGAAGGGCGCGTGCACCGTCATATCGGGTTCTTCGTCTTCCTCAACTTCCCGCTCAATCTTGATCTTGAGATATGAGGGCTCGCCAGCGGCAATATTGTCCGGATCTTCGACTTGGAAGTCAACATCAATGTTGGGATATTTATCGTTGGTGAATGCTGCTGCCTGGGCTAGCTGCTTGTTGTCCAGACCCAACCGTTTGACCAAAGTGGCGTAGTCCTTGTTCTCGGAGGGGTCCATGGCTTCCATAAACTCGAAAATGTCATTGATGCCGAACTCGTTGGCCACCTTGACGATTTCGGGGCTGAAATGAGGGATCTGCTTGAGAGGACTATCCCGATCCCACATGGCCTGGACGACCATCTGCGACATCTCCATGGCGTTCATTGCATTCAAATGGCCTTCCGAGGAGAGAACGTCCACACAGGCGCTAAGCAAGTTGAGAGTCTTGCTAACGATGACTTCCTGATCCTTGGCCAGATCAATTGGGAGCTGCATGCGCGAAAAGTGTGCCTGTAGCAGAACAAATGCCTTGAAATGAGGCGAGTCATACGCAGCCTGAGACATCTTAACCGGCACTCGGTCGTACACGCGGCGCAGAATGTGGTCTTCGTGGCGACGCATCTGGATGGACTCGAACTCTGTAGCTGATGTGACAATCTCCAAGATACCCTTGAGCTTGGTACGAGCTGACAGAGAGAGGAGGAATGTCTGCATGGTGATGAAAGAGATGTTGTAGTATGCTGCAATCATGGCCGCATTGAGAGGCGAGACACTATCATCTTCTTCGTCCAAATCGATGATCTTAGCTTCGGAAAGTTCCTTCAGGGTGTTCTCTACAAGTTCCGACAAGAAGGCGCTGAGACCCTCGTAGCTGACATCAGCAAGACCATAGAAACTAGGGTTAGCTAGAAGGCGGCGGTAAAAGTAGGTGTGTGTCATCCAGTCCACGGCATCCTGGGTTGAGCCGATGACTCTAGTGCTAATTTCAGTCACGAAAGCATCGTGCAAGTAAGCCTGTAGGTGGCTCTCCACGGGGAGTGCCTCGTTGAGGAACTTCTTGTAGTATTCACGTTTGACGGAAGGAACCATCAACACGCCCCGGCCAATCTTGTCTTCGCCGGGGCGAGAAGCCTTTCCGAACATTTGCAGAATCTCGCTGATGGGATAGTCAATATACCGATGCTCGCGGCCCTCGAAAAATTGCGTTCCCATAACGATAACCAGGTGAGCAGTGAGATTGAGTTCCCAGCAGACATCACGAGAAGCCAGGAGTACTTGAATAGCCCCGATCGAGAAAAGATGAGACACGATCCGCTTGTCCGTAGGGCTCAGTGCCTCATGGTAGTACCCGATACCGTGAGACAGCGACTCAGCCAGGGTTTGCTCCTGGACCCGATTAAGCAACGGAGTCAATTCATTAATGTCAGCGTTCAGGAATCGATCTTCGTCGTCATCGGTGGCACAAGCGGTCAACAGGTCCATGGCAGTTGAGCGGGTCTGCTTGCGGTTAGGAACGAAAATGATGGCGGGCTTGTCCGGTGAGAGCTGCAAGATCGAAAGATATGCTGGTCTTGCCATGGCCAGCATAAGAGAGGGAAAGTGAGGGATGCCAAATGATTGAATATGGAGCTCCAGAGGCACAGGACGGGCATGAGGACTGAAGTTGTAAATCGTATGTTTACTGGCACCGATCCATTCTCCGATATCCCGAGCGTTGGCAAGCGATACACTTAGACCGATGATACGCATGCCATTCTCAAGTTGGAGGGCGATAGAATGCATGCGGGACACCACAACCTCATAAACGTAGCCGCCATAGCCTCCAAGCATGTGGAGCTCATCTGCAATGAAGAGCTGTACGGTCTGTACATTCTTGCGCCTCTGCCATTGCCTAGAGAGGACGTCCCACTGAGTTGGCGTGGCGAGCACCAGGTCTGCCCGCTCCAAAAGTTTCAGGTCGGCCGTAGTCTCTCCAGTGAGCTTAATGATAGCCTTGCCGCCGGAAAGCTTGCTCAACCGCTTCTCCCAGTCTGCAAGTCGCTGATCGACCAGTTCCTGGAAGGGCGCAATGTAGACAGCGCGACCGCTATCTTCCTTGGCCCAATGACGCAATAACGCAAGTTCTGCACATACGGTCTTTCCACTTCCAGTAGGGGCACCGATGAAGACATTATCATCCGTATCAAAAAGGGACTTGAAGGTCTGTGTTTGGATCTTGTTGAAGTATTGCCACTCAGAGTATAACTGCTGGTATTCATCCCGCTTCAACGCTTTGATCGGAGCGCTTTGCATGGCCAACAGAGGAGTATGTGGGGGGAACCGCTCCGGAAGGATTAACTTCTGGAACGAGACAGCAATCTTCGTTTCCGAATGCATCCAACGGTCTGAAATGAGTGAGATGAAGTAATTCGGGGGCATTGGCTCAGTGATGGGGACGGTGAACTCCACAAGATGCTCATTCATCTCGGACTGCGCATAGTCTTTGCGAAGAATAAATTGGTCATGGAAAAGGATTTCCTCACCATCACAGTCTTCAACCACAATCCAGAAGTCCTGTGCGGTTCCGTGCAACATCTCGTCCCAGACAAAGTTGGGTGTAATTGTCAATTCAACCCGTAGCATTGACCGTGTCACCGGTTGAACCTGTGCCTGAACCTCCAGACGAGGGAACTTGGACACTAGATCGCAGACAACACGTCCGGCCTTCGGCATACCTAGTAGTTCACCCATGCGTGGAGGATCAAGGTCAAGATAGCTTGCCCACGGCACGTCAATTCTTTCCGCTTTCTGCATGATATCTCTGGGGCAGGATGGGAACTGGCGAAGAGGTGTCATGGTGGGCCACATCCGCCTTTCAGCCATCTTGCAGAGATCGAGGGCGGTCTTGGCAACAGATGACCATCCCTTCCTGAGCGCAATCTCAAATAGGGCACGCAAAAGACGACCAGCGGACTGAGTGACATAAACCATATCTGCCATCAAAGCAAGACCATCGAGCTTGAGTCTTGAGATATACGCCTGTAGCAGAACGTTGATTTTCGAGTGAGGTTCATCAATACCTTCCTTGACAGGAACAGGCACACGGCCCAAGAGCTTCGCCAATTCAAGCTTCTCATCTTGACGGACAGGGATATACTTAAACTCGTCACTCAGAGCGAAGATTCGGAAGAGCTCGATAGTAGTGACCGATGGCTGAAGATGCTGGGAATAGGTCAACATGGAGTTATGACCAATGTAATAATGCGAGGCAACCCGTCCTAACTCTGTAGACTGAAGACGCCCAGTCTTCTTCTCATACTTGACAAGACCTGCGCGCTCTAAGATCACAGCTGCCGAGTGGACCAGATCAACGCGCTTCTGCTCCAACGCATCATCATTCTCATAATCGGCACCGACACTATACAGCCCAGGAGAACGGAGCATACGGACGAAGAGGTAGGTATAGCCCAACCAGTCAACACCCTCGTCGCGATTCCGGATATTTCCAAGAACAATCTCAGCATTCATATTATCAGCAAGTTTGCTCATAAGCTGACTCTCGATAGGCAGTTGCTGGTTCATGAGGGAGAGATAATACTGAATTTCGGTCTGAGAAGTAATGATAATACCCTCACCAAAGGTATCGTACTGCGGTCGACCAGCTCTTCCTAACATCTGCAGGACATCTTGAGGACTCAATTCAACCCAGCTACCCTTTTCTGGGGAATAGACCTGGGTACCTTTGATAATAACGGTATGAGCAGGCAAATTAACACCCCAGGCCAGAGTCGCGGTACAAACCAAAACCTGGATACTGCCATCCGCGAAGAGCGCCTGAACTGAGTCACGATCAGCAAGACTCAGACCAGCATGGTGAATACCAAAGCCGTAGGGAAGGAGATCTTTGAGTGACGCATCATCTACGGACTCAGCTTCTTCAGCCAGGATAGCTCGACTAGCAGCGTCGCTTCGTAAGATTTGACCAATAGTCTCCATCTCCAAGGCCTTGTCTCTGATATACTTAGCAGTTTTAGCTGTCTCCTTCCGAGAGTGAACGAAAATAAGCATTTGATTCCGTCGCTGCCCGACTTGCTCGATAACCTTATTGTAACAGATATCGTTCATGGTCTTCAACTGCTTGATAGCTTTCTTATCTGTGACGCCAATGAACTCCTGCTTCAAGGGACAAGGTCTGTAAGAGCCATCGAAATGGAACAAGTCTTTTACGGGGTCTACTCGCAAGAAGCTTCCCACGTCACGGTAGTTGGGAAGGGTGGCACTTAGACCAACAATACGCACAGGTTCACCAGTCTGCTCACCCTTGCGAATGATCCGACTGACGATGCTTTCAATGACAGGGCCTCGGTCGTCGTGAAGAAGATGAATCTCATCAATGATAACAAGTCGCACAAGCTTGATATAGCTTGTCTCCGAAGCCTTTCTCGTAACAACATCAAACTTCTCTGGAGTCGTAACAATAACCTGAGTTTCAGCAATCTGCTGCTTTGTAAGCTGGCGATCACCAGTGAGTTCGGCCACTCTGATGCCGTAAGGTTCCAGTCGTTTGCCAAGGTTTCCAACTTGCTCCTGAACCAACGCTTTCAAGGGCGATATGAACACAATCTTGAAATCGTCGAGCATTATCTCGCCCGTTTCAGGATTACGATTCTTCCCAATTTCTCGAAGGACAGTGAGCATGGCAACATTTGTCTTTCCGGATCCTGTAGGCGCACAGACAAGCATGTTACCATCATCGTGGAAGGCCGAAGGGTAACACTTGGTCTGGATACGGTTAAGCTCTTTAGAGCTTCCAAAACCAATTCGTGCCCATTCGGGCAGTTCTGTGGTTGGAATGTTCTTCTCTCCGGGATCTCTCTTCGCTTTCGGGGGTGGTACATGGATCTCTTCGTATCCCTTAAAGGTCCGTTTGGTCGAGCCTTGAGGCAGTTTGACACTGGGGTTTGTCATTAAATGGTTGCCCTGGTGGAAGATGAGGTTTTCCAGGTTAATCAGTCTCTTTGGTTGAAGGCCTCTAATCAAACCGCCATCTGCTGGCTTTTCCTCCGGTGCAGGTGCATTTGGCACGTCAACATCCATAAGGTCAAGTTTGATCTTCTTCTCGGGCCGACCTGTCCCCTCGTCACGAGCTGTCTTGCCCCGGATCTCGTCCAAAATGGCGCGGTGTCCGGCTTCAACCATTTCACTCTCAACAAGGTGGCGGGCATCCGCATCTTCAGCCACCCTACGCCACCTAGTAACCCAAACAATCTTGTCACGGTTCGTTACCAGTTTAGCAACAAGATTGGGATGGTCATAGTCGAAGAGCTCCATTAGATCGTTTTCCACATCTCGCAGTGGCTTCTCCGCACCATCCTCGCCTGTACCACTGAGGATCTCCAGTGCTTCGGTAGCCTTCTCGTGCTGTATATGGGCATCTGAGTATGCGTTGCCAACCTGACGTTGAAGCCAGTATGCATCAATTTCCCGAGCAGAAACCTTTAGTGATTTATCCCGTCGGTCCTCACTGCGATCCATGCCACCATCTATGACCATTTCCTCGGTATCAAGTCCATCGGCAACTGCCTTTTCAGTGGTTGACTCGTCAACCCCGGGTGCCTCTTGTTGATCTGCTTCGTCCTCGTCTGACGACTCGTCTTCATCTCGCACTTCGTTGACAGTACCCATACGCTCGTCGTCTTCGTCTTCTTCGTCGAAAACAACGGCAACGCCCTGACGTTCATCGAGTTCCTCCTCACCTTCACCCTGGAGACCACCATCCATATCTTCATCATCATCCTGTGCGTCATAATCGGTGATTTTTTTGCCAAGGTTTACGAGTTCATTAAACTCCTTGGGGTTCATAGAGCTGCCGAGCAAATCATCAATTTCCTTTTTCTTATCGAAATCTTTCATCTCCTCATCCTTCAAGTACTCTAGAACGGCATCGGCGGCACTCCGTACGACTTCGTGAGGGACATCGCCAAGATGGTTTGCGGTCATAGTAAGGATCAAATCGTATGTGGCTCGGGTGGCAGGTGTCCGAGGACGGTATTTCAGCCCTTCGATAACAGCATCGGCCGCTGAAAGGATACCTTGGCCCCGTAATTGTGCTGGTTGGCCGCGCTGGCGCTTTCTCTGTTCTCGGGCGAGTACATCTTCGCCCTCTCGAATTCCGCCTCGCTCGATAATTGTCGGCCCGGCAGTCTTCTTTTTCGTCTTTGGCGCATCATCACGCGCCATCCTTGAGCCCATCTCCCGAATGCCAATCCGACCTGCGAGGGATTCCGGGTCTCCGGTAGGTTCATCGTTGACGCGAGAAATGAAACGACGGTCCGCCTGGAGAACCAGGTTGGACATCGCCGAGTACTTGTACTGCGAGATATTTTGGTCCGCCATTTTGATGGAATTAATATGCGATTAACTATGCAATAAATAGGAGAGGGATGCGACTAGAAGAAATCGTCTGGGCTCGGTGGAGCTCACGATCAAGCGGCGCGTCGACACTCCTGTGGCGAGAAATGAATCCTGCAATTATATGAAATCCCAGAAGGTTTCACAAACCTGGGGCATCCTCCTGCAGCAAACAAGCTTCCTTGTTGGTGCAGGGTCGCTAGATGCGTTGGGATGTTTGGGGAGAGTGTTGAAAGAGTTGCGTTTGAGAGGTCCGCTTCCGAAGTTCTCTTCAAAGCAGATTTGCGTGGCGAAGACGGAAGGTTTGGCGGGGTGGCCTCAGGCACAGTCTGTCAACGCTTTACCCTTTTTAAACCCAAATACTCTTACTCTCCGTAGAGCTCGCGACAATGCCAAAAACAACCTCCAACGTTCGAGACACGCTGGGATCATGCCGATCCATGGCAGCCGCATCTCACATCTGATTCCGTCGCGCATTCCCGTCCTCCGCAAACCCGATCTCATATCGTCCTATCACTGCCATGTCCACCGAACTATCTGCCATCATGCCCGCCGTCCGTCGCTGCGAATCGCGACGCCAATTCCAGCTTCTAAGCTCACGCTCCAACGTGGTGCTAAAACGCAGTCTACTGTGAAGCTGAAAGATTTACCACAAGGAGCGTTGAGGCTGGAGTCTTATGAGGATGCCGTAGAAGATGCACCGCGGTACCCCCCAGTCGTGCAGGGACATAAGAATAACATGCAAAAGTTCCAGAACTGTGTCATCCTGACCAGAGTTGGTGGCTTTTATGAGGTACGGACAATGTTCCTGGGGGGCTCATCTATCATGAAGGATCTTAGCTCGTAAACTCATTGCCTGACTTTATCCTAGCTGTATTTCGAGCAAGCCGAGGAGCTCGCTCCGTTGCTTAATCTCAAACTTGCCTCCAAAAAGACCAGCGGCGGCCCTGTTCCAATGGCGGGGTTTCCCTTTTTTCAATTAGATCGCTTCCTAAAGATACTCGTGCAAGATCTCAATAAGTACGTGGCTATTAGCGAGGAGTTCGCAAACGACGCAGAGGACAAGGCTCGCTCAGGGGGGCTTCTCTTCGATCGCAAAGTAGCCAGAATTATTACACCAGGCACATTGATCGATGAAAAGTTCATGGATCCTGCGGAAAATAATTTCCTCCTAGCCATATACATAGATGAGCTGTCATTGAAGACACAACTAGAGCAACAGGATGATGCCTCATCGCATCAGCATGTACTGTCGTCCGCTTCTCAGCCCGTAGGCTTATCCTGGCTAGATCTTTCTACCGGTGACTTTTTTACCCAGTCTACGATAGTGCAAATGCTTCCTTCAGCTGTTGCGAGAATTGGTGCTCGTGAAATTTTAGTTGACAGGAATATCCGGGATTTGATCGGACAGGAGCTGCAATTGCTTATGGGCCACGACCATCGGCTGATGACATTTTTCCAGTTTCCCCGGGATATCGCGCCAATGTCTCGCTGGGACTCTATGCTAGAAGCGCCCGTCCCTCCTAAGGCTATCGAGACTTTCACGCAAGAGGAAACGGCCGCAGGTTATAGTCTCTTGGAATATATCCGGGTTCAACTACAGGGACTGGATTTAAAACTTCAGCCTCCTCGTCGCCGGCACTTGAACGAATCTATGAGTATCGATCGTAATAGCTTGAGGGGCTTGGAGATTCTCGAAACTGCTCGAGATGGATTTGGCAAGGGTAGTCTACTTCACGCAGTTCGCCGTACTTGCACCAAGAGCGGGGCGCGTCTCCTGAGGGACCGTTTGAGTATGTCTCACACCTTCATTTGATTTACATTGGCCTCAGTCTAATCTTTCTCTTGCCTAGCATCCCCTTCTACTTCCTTGCGTGTCATCAACGAGCGCCTTGACCTTGTATCGGTCTTCATCGCAAATGGCGAGCTACGTGATAGTGTGACGCAGCTATTAAAGCGTAGCTATGACGCTCAGCGTCTGGTCCAAAAATTCACACTTGGACGGGGTGACCCCGATGACCTGATTTGTCTTTCCAGGGCTATAGAAGCCTCGAAAGAGATTAAACGGGTTCTCTCTGGCACAGGCTCCGACACCTCGGTGCCCATCCAGAACAATGAAAGTCTTAGAGCCATGACTAGTAGGCTTCATTTGAGCAAGCCTAGCCGACTAGCAGACAAAATTGTGGCTGCTATTGATGAGGAAGGGTTGCTGCAAAAGCAACGAATCGAGGATGATACCGCTACAGAGGCGGCGATGTTAGCTCAAGAAGTCGCCATGAACGAAGGCTTGCCAACGGATCTCGATGCATTGCCCAAGAAAGTGAAAGCCAAGAACACTGGTCGAGCTGGGACAGCTGCAGATGAGCCCTCGGATATCGACACCTGGATTATGAGGCGGGATGCAAGCCCTGCCCTCCGTAAGCTCCACCAAGCATTGACGACACTACAAGATGAGAAGGCCAGCTTAACGCAGCGTCTACGCGACTCTGTGGGATCATCTGCTCTTACCCTCAAGTGGACCCCTGGTCTCGGGCATATATGCCACGTCAAAGGGCCCAAAGTCTCCCAGGAAGCTCTCGAAGAATTAGGAGTGACACGAAATGTCGCATCAACCAAATCCACCAGGTCTTTCTATCTACCGGCATGGACTGAACTCGGCAGCCGAACAGATCAAGTGAAGCTCCAAATCCGACAGGAGGAGCAGCAGATCTTTGAGGATCTCCGCCGCGAAGTGATTCTCAACCTGGTGAAGATTCGACGCAACGCAGCTGTGATGGATGAACTAGATGTCGCGTGCTCCTTCGCAACGCTAGCACAAGAGCAGCAACTTGTTCGGCCCATTATCACAAAGGGAACCACCCACAAGATCGTCGGAGGCAGGCATCCGACCGTCAAACTCGGCCTCGAAGAGCAGGGTCGACGCTTTGTCAGCAATGACTGCTTCTTAGGCGACCAGGAACGCATCTGGCTCATCACGGGGCCCAACATGGCCGGGAAGAGCACCTTCCTGCGCCAGAATGCACTCATCACGATCCTCGCGCAGGTGGGATCCTTCGTGCCCGCTGAATACGCCGAAGTCGGGACCGTAGACCAAATCTTCAGCCGTATCGGCGCCGCGGACGATCTCTTCCGCGACCAGTCCACATTTATGGTCGAAATGCTTGAGACCGCCGCGATTCTGAAACAGGCGACGTCGCGATCCTTTGTCATCATGGACGAGGTAGGTCGTGGCACCACACCCGAGGATGGCACCGCCGTCAGTTTCGCATGCCTACACCATCTCCACTACCGCAATCAATGCCGCACCCTCTTCGCAACCCATTTCCACGAGCTGGTGGACATGACGCGCGATTTCGAGTCTCTAGGCCGATACTGCACGGACGTCAAGGAGACCGCGTCGGGGTCATTCTCGTTCGTCCATCGACTGCGCCAGGGTGTGAACCGCGAATCCCATGCGTTGAAGGTTGCCCAGCTTGCCGGGTTACCGAAAGAGACCATCGAGATGGCCCGGAGCATACGCGACAACGCTCGTACTAGCCCAAGTACATGTTCAGCGGAGATCAATTGGAGCCAATCCCAAACGACTCCAACGCAGCCCCAATCCCTCGTTTCGTAGCACATGATATCCTACTTATCAATTCTACATGTACAACTGCCACTACCGAATGTATACTAGCTACCATCTACTGCACTACCCCACTAACAAATGACTTCATTCATATAATGCATCATAACCTCATAATCCAATCCCTCCCCCCCTGGCAAATCACCACTACAACTTCGCCAACCCCCCATCCTGAATCTCAACCACAATCCCCTCCCCAAACGCCACCTCCTGACAATCCTCCCCCTCCATCCCATTCATAAACTGCACGACCACAAAATCCACCCGTCTCGACCCAACCACCACCATCGGCGCATGCCACGTCCCAGCCCCATACGTAACAGCCTGCCCGCCGCGCGCAACAAACGCCCTCAAGTTCCTCAAATCCGGTGGATCCCGCACCGTCGTCTGCCCAGCGGGCGTCATCGCCGTCGCCGTCTGGCCCTTCAGCGTCGGGGCAACGATAACCAGGAACCACGGTTCGGCGGGCGATTGGCAGGAGAGATCGATCGGGGTGAAGGTCTGGGTGGTGAAAGGGTGGCGCTCGAGGATTCGCACGTCGAAGGCTTTAGAGGGCTTTCCCGGCAAGGCGCGCAGTTGGCGGGGGAAGCAGCTGAACATGCTCATGCGGGCGGTCGAGGGCTGCTTGCTTGGGCAGTTGCCTCGGTAGTTGTCTTCGAGGGGGGAGATGGGGCTGTATTTTAGGGCGGAGGATTGGTTGGCGAGGACGGGGGTGGGTTCGTGCTGTGGGAGGGTGGTGAGCGGTGGTGCGGAGGTTAGGTCGCGAGGCAGAGGGGCGTAGATTGCTGTGCCGAAGGGGGCGAAGGCTTCTTTTGTGAGTGGTTCTGGGGTGAGGTGGAGAGTTGGTGTAGTGGTGAGGATTGGGGCGGACATTTTGTTGGTGTTGTTCGTTCTGGTTGTTGATTTGGGGGATTGGATGTGAGTATGTGTATGTGGAGGTAGGTTTGGAAGAAATAATGAGCAAGGGCCTGCTTTTGGAAGTATTTATTGAAGGTCAATCGGTGGTCTGGAGGAGAGAAGTTGGAGAGAGAGAGAGTAGAGGTATAGACATCCGGGAGTCGCCGTTTAGTTGCTTATCGGAATGCGCCGATAAGGTATCATTTATTGCCTGAGGTGACAAATAACGCTGACTACTCAACACAACACAATGACTATATATATCAATGTCAATAAACATACTCTACTTCACTCTTTCACCTTATAAATTGACCCCTCGACCATTTCCTCTTCTCTCTGCTCAACGCCATCCAGTCCTTCCCGTTGCTCTTTCGCTGTCATATATATGATACCACTCGTCCAAAGCATCAGAGCGATCGAACATCCGATCATGGCCCACATACCCTTGGTAAACCGGGGAGCAAATGTAGCAGAGTAGAACAGAATACTCCACCAAGCGTTAACAGCATTGCTCCCTAGATTCATACTAGCGATCACCACTGAGCGCAACCGATCATCTTGATACCGCATAACATCATTGCACCATGCGAAGAATGTAGCTTGACAGGCATATACCGCACCAGCCCAATAATAAGCTCCAAAGACCGTAGCGGTAGACGAGAATTGAGCTAATATAAGGGCCGACGTGACGATGCCAGTGATCCCAATGAAGAATCCAACCAAGTAGCGTTTCCCACCCATGAAGTCGGTCAATGTGGCCCAAAATAAGGTGGACACAATACCAACGGCTGGAACACCCGATGGGTAATTGTTCAGCTGCGAAACGGCGTACTTATTAGTCGGATGTGATTTCATGTAGAGTGCGAGAAGGGAGTTGGTTGAGAAGGATTCAGTTTCTCCGGCGATGATCCAGAGCATGACGAAGCCATACCAGTACCAGGTGCCGAATACCTTCTTAGCAAAGGCTAGGTTCAAGCGTGCCCTCACTGGGTTGGCTTCAGGCATGCGGGAGATAGCTAGGGCACGCTCGGAGGCTGAGAGATATGGCGCTCGGGTGGTGGAAGGAGTATCAGGGAACAAAAACAGTCCATAGAGTGCGATGGGAAGGGTGATCAGTCCATCGATGATAAACAGCCATCGCCAACCGGACAGTCCACGCGCTCCATCGAGCGATGAATGGATGCCGGACTGGATGAAGCCCCCGAACATAGTACCGGCAAGGCCAGAGGCAGTGAAGATGCCACTCCTCTTACCCAGCTCTTTCTCCGTATACCAGGCCCCGAGAATGTAGTGGGTTCCGACGAAGGTACTGGATTCCGCCAATCCTAAGAAAAACCGGATAGCCATGATGCCCTGAGGGTTGTGGACGGCAGCTGTGATCATGGTAAGACCACCCCAAAACACAATCATGACGGGGAAGAAAATGCGCGGAGCAATATAGGTCAGTGCTAAGTTGGAGGGGATTTGGCCTAGGATATACCCGACAGTGAAAACAGTGTTGATAACATTGAGTTGATTTCCCTGGAAGTTGAGTTCTTCCTTCATTCCCGACACATACGCATTGGATAGGTTGGAGCGATCTAGATAATTGAAAAAATACGTCAAACAACAGAATGAAAGGATGAAGAAGTCCAGCTTTCGCAGCAGCTTAGCCTCCCCAGGCCTCGACTCTTGACCCTTCAGATAGCTTTTGAAGTTGGTCAACATCGTGGGTATGGCAGCTTGATGCAGAACAGTGGAGGGCTTATTTCACAGTAGCTTTCTTCAGGCCTCTTTATACCACAATCAGACTAATCTGACTGTCTCATACTCGTACATCTTCCTTCTTCAAAAACTCTAAATGAAGTCGGCATGAGGACAGTCCGGGTTGCTAGCAGCCATCCCGTTCGCCCAGACACCGGTCCAACGCTCACCAATAGAAGGAAAGGTCGTACAGAGTGGAAGAGCGTCCAAGGTTGTCCATCTTGCGAGAAAGAAGCAAACCGCTTGGCGTTGATAAGTCCATCTATGTCTATCAGTCAGGATTCACGGTCCGGATGGTCCTCTCACTATCATCGGCGAAATCATTCCCAGATAAGGGCCGTGGAAGAGGCACTGGAATCAACCCATAACTATAATCATGTCGATAATGGTCGTCTAAATTACTGATTCAACATAATGATCCACTCTTGCATCGCATTAGATTCATTTAAAACCCCGCCTTTGCGAGTCTTATCACTTGACTTCGGCTTTCATTCCGGGAACCCCGCTTCTTCCAATGACATCGCGGAACCCTAACTTGCAACACCGGTTCAACCTGCGATACGAACCTGCTCGAGTGCCACTAACCGGATGTCAACTGCCGGGAAGTACATGAGCAGTAGATTAAGGCTGATAGGCCTCTTTTTCACCCGGTTACCACCACGACACCTTGCCCAGCTCAACTTCCTCGGCGATTGCCATAGGATACCTTAGCCGAGACAAAGGGGTAGTCAAGACAAAGCAGGTTTGACGATATCTCTTTACCTAGACACGGCACTAGAACCCTTTATCAGTGAGGAGACGTGAGGGGGTGCTAAAGATAACCTCTTCAATGCTTCTATCTCTTTCCCCGCAGTAATCCCTCGCGGCATTCATGCAGGGTACGATGCCGCGGCTCCTCTCTATAAGACGGATTCCAAATTCCCCAGCAATGCTACTCACGAACGGCATCACATCTCCTTCAAACCAATCAGAGTTACCTCCTGTACCCTGGCGAAATGGAGTCCTGGAAAGCGATCGCAAAAAGCAAACAAGAGGCGCTCAAAGCTGCCATTCCTCCTGAATGGGTAATTCCTGCCCACCTTCTACCCCCGGAGCACCAAGCAGACGTCACGTCTTTCCCACGACAGTCGGGATGGTTTACCACTCGCGAGCTGGAGATACTGTCCGCTTTGGCGCCCAGGATCCTGGCCCATATAGAGACAGGCTCCTGGACATCGGAGGAAGTGACGAAAGTATTTTGTAAGGCTGCCGCGGCAGCTCACCAATTGGTACATCCACTTCCTTCATTATGATTATCGAAAACTATTGACTAACATACATCAAGACCAACTGTCTTTCTGAGATCCTCTTCGACGAAGCCATCGCTCGAGCAAGAGAATTGGACGAACACCTGCGAAAAACAGGCAAACCAAAAGGCCCATTCCACGGCCTCCCAATCTCCCTCAAGGATAACTTCAACATCATCGGCAAAGACTCCACCGTAGGCTTCACATCGCTCGTCAATGATCCCGCCACATACAACAGCACGCTCACAGACCTCCTCCTGGATGCCGGAGCCGTGCTGTACGTGAAGACCAACGTACCGACAGCGATGATGATCGCCGAAACCGTCAACAACGTCTTCGGTCGTACCGTGAACCCACGCAATCGCAATCTGACATCCGGTGGTTCATCCGGAGGCGAATCAGCGCTGATCGCGTTCGGCGCGAGTCGCATCGGCGTTGGAACGGACATAGGTCAGTGACACCCCCAACCCCCGAAAAACTGGCCAACAACCAGCAAGCACTGACAACTCATTCCCGCCCAGGCGGCTCCCTCCGCATCCCAGCCGCCTGCACCGGCATCTTCACCCTCCGGCCCTCGTTCGGACGCTTCCCAAACCTTCAAACCCGCTCCGGTCTCGCCGGCCAGGAAGCCGTAAACAGCGTCAACGGCCCCATGGCCTCCACCCTCGAAGAAATAGCCCTCTACTCCAAAGCCGTCATCGACCAACAACCCTGGCTCAACGACCCCAAATGCCTCCCAATCCCCTGGCGCCCAACGGAGCCCAAGCACCGTCTCCGCTTCGCTGTAATGTGGCACGATGGGATCGTAACACCCACACCACCTGTCGCTCGCGCCCTCCAAGAAACAGTGCACCGGCTCCGACAGGCCGGACACGAGGTCATCGACTGGGCGCCAACGGGGCACCAGGAACTGCGCCAGCTGCTGCAGCGCAAATTTGTCGCGGACGGGGGTAAATCCGTGCGGGGGCTGCTGGCGCCAACGGGGGAGCCGTTCCGGGAGGAGATGGAGGATTATGAGAAGGCGACTGAGTTGGGGGTTCATGCGATGTGGCAGATACATTTGGAGCGGAATAGTCTGCAGATGGAGTATTTGCGACGGTGGAATGAGGCGGGGATTGATGGGATTCTTTGTATGATTTCTCTTGGGTTTGTGTGGCAGGATTGAGGTCTTTTGCTAACCTGTGGGTTTAGGTCCGACGACGCCGTATAGTTCGGTGGAGCACGGGAAGTTTGCGTATGTGGGATACACGGGGGTGTTCAATGTGCTCGATTACTCGGTTGTTTCGTTCCCGTGTGGAGTGAAGGCTAGTAAGATGTTGGATGGGCCGTATCAGAGTCACAGGGCGTTGAGTGAGGTGGATGATCGGATACAAAGGGATTGTACGTGCATATTCCCACCTTTTCATGGGTTGTTGAGACGCATTGCTAACCACCCGAGTTCTAGATGATGCATCGGCAGTGGACGGCATGCCGGTCAGCTTGCAATTGGTTGCACGCCGACTTGAAGAAGAGAAGGTCCTAATGATGACAGGGGTTGTGCTGCAAGCTGTGACGTCCGGTGTTAAGTCCAAGCTATAATCTATATAGGCGTCAATGAAGGTACTGTGGCAACGTAGGCATGAACATATTTACAACTAAGATAATGGCTAACATTAGGGGAAAGCGTACGATAACGGTAATCTATCTAGTCGTCTGTGCTTGTATCAACAAACGCACAGTTGCATTAGGGCCGAGTGGTAAATGCTTGGAGCACATAAGAGCAATTTGTTAGTTCAAATATATGTGCAATCCCCCGTGATATCAATTGCCTCGGGTCTATCTGGTCATAGCACACCACCGGGATTCGACGGCTCGGGCTCTTTGAGAACCGTGTGCTGACGAATCGAGAGAAGCGACACATTGGTCCTCTTTCACGTACCATCTCCACTAGGCTTCCAATGCAAAGCTTGGAACTAGGCTTTTAATGCTGAAACAGGTGCGATGTTCGTGCAGTGCTCTTGGATCACCGAGCATTTGGCGCGGGGTGAGGGGTGGTGAAAGATGGTACGGAGATCATTGGATGGCATGCGTCGTGCAGTCTGTTTTACCGAGTCTTGAGGCCATAATGGCGCAGAAACTGGGGGTAGGAAATTGCACTTGCCGTGATATAAATAATGTCGCTTACTCTTGGCCTCTGTAACCTGCATGTCCAGGACAAGGCTAGTGAAGTTTTTGTGTGATCGTATACCTTTTAGCCTTGTTCCTTTGGAAACAACACCAGATAGTACTATAAAATGGGGTGTATTGTGACTTCCTTACAAAGTTGTCAACAGTTAGGGTTATTGTGCATCCAACATACGCAATTTCGAATCCTAGTATTTGATTGATCGGGGCCAAATTCCACCCTTTACACCGTGACTCAGCAATAAACGACACGGCACAAATGTAGGGGAACTATTAGTGACATTTTCCATGGTTTCCAGGGGATGTTTTCTATATCTGTCCGACCAACACCCTCATTATCCTCGGCATTGCTGTAAATATCTCTGATAATGCCCCAATCAGTCTTGACAGAGGCACAGTAGTATCTTTAATGAGAAACTATCCGTGCCACGACGAGGACAACCCAACATCCCACCGATCAAGGCTCTCCCAAACACAAATAATGCCGAACCAGAACTGTGCGCAACCACTAAGACCTCCATCAACTGGCAAGCACCACCAAAACCAACCCATTTAACTCCCTTCAATAACCCTAACCCAATATCCAATATCGATTCGCAAGCCCCAACCACAAATTATCGCTTACCTAGCTCTCCACACTACCCCCCAGTGCCGGAACCCAAGCCCATAAAACTTCACAGCTGTAAGCCCTAAGCAGCAAAACCAGCGGGGAATGACGGTCCTACTAGAACCAAAGTGGACATCAGGCCTCCCTACTAAGTGCTGTGCACGTTCAACACAAAGTCCTAGCGCAGAGAGTAAGTTCACGGCCCCCAAATCTCCATCGCAGTGCAACCATACACGATCCCCCCGTTCATGATTGTTGGCCCCACGTGACTCACTTAAGAGACTATATTCTGCAGGCTATCGCTATGAAAGGTGGGGACTGGGGAGGCTTTTGCCCAATCAGGGGGGTTGTGTGCCTGTCGGTAGAGGCCGGATGGGCATTTTGGGGCCTTTGGGGGGTAGCGAGATTAGACCCATTGGGGGTGCGGTTTTAAATGAAGCTTGTGATCTGGTTACATTGAGTTGTGAGGAATGGTGTGAGGTGGTAGAGAAATGGGTGAGGGTTTATAAAAGGGGGAGTCCGGAGGTGGGGTGTTAGTTTTTTTTTTTTTTTTTTTTTTTTTTTTTGGGTGTTTTTGATACTATATTGCTGTTTATAGATACAATATAAAGAGTCTCAATACTCACTTATACCCACTACACTCAACCCTCTAAACCAAGCAAAGAAAAGGAAAGGAAAAGAAAAACAAATTGAAATGCATCCCAAACACCTCCTGCTCACCCTCGCCGCTACGCTCGTCAGTGCCAAAGAGGACAAAACCACAGTCCCCGGCTGGGATGCCACCGGCATCTCCTTCAGTATACCCACCTACACCGGCACCGCAGCCAGCGTAGCGGGGATCAACGCCGAGGAAACAACCTACCACATCAGCTGCACCAAGGGCGCCCCCAAGGAATACTGCCAGATCGATAAACCCTGGACCTTGATCCAGGGAAAAGAAACCTTCAGCATGACGGGGTCATACACGGTCGGAACGACGGAGACGGATCGCATCACTGCGACCCGGCACTATGACTGCAAGTTCAAGAACTATTCTGAGTCGGCTTCGTGCTCGTTCTCGGTGACGGTGACGGGGTCAGTGGGTGGGGGGCCGTGGTCGAGTTCCGCGTTGTTGGAGACGAGTATACCCAGTAGTAACGTTGGGTTTTATGATATGGTGGTTACTGGGGGTGTGGACAAGTTCACGAAGCCAGAGGCGACCAAGACGCCTGGTGCTGCGGCGGGTAAGCTGGTCAATGCTAGGGCGGTTGCTACTGGGGTGCCCTTGGCTGGGGCGGCGGCTGTTGCTGTCGCGGCGATGCTTTGATTGATTTATGTTTATGGGATGTTGGGGGAATGGAGGTTAATATTTTCATGCTGGTATGTAGCTCGTTTCAGAACTATATACATAAAGATGTAGCCATTCCCAAAACATTAATGTCCTTTCTGTTTATATGTATATATACCCGCAATATGGACAATTCCGAAAGGAGAAAATATGACCAAGTATAGATCCTAAAAAGCATGCTGAGTCTAGGATAGCTTCCCAAGCTCGAATTGAGGCTGAGACTCAAGGTGCGGAGACAGGTTGGCTCTCCTGGGATTCGGTATGCGGCTCCTTCTCCTTCAGCCCAGTTTTCGTCTCGATATGTTCCTTGCTGAGATGCTGACGAGTAATCAAAAGACTGAAGAGAAGTCCGCACGCTGATAGAGAGGCGTAGAGAATCCAGATGTTGCGCAGGCTCCACGCGTAAGCATCCTTCACCACACTGCGTTGAAACGTATCCTCGATCGACTGAATGACCATGATGTTAGCCGCGGCCTCTGGCCCGGTAAGTTCCTTCACTATCGAGTCAGATAGTCCAGCTGCGAGGAGCTCCGACTGGCGCGTATCCATGCTGTTCTGGAAAACCACTCCGCCAAGCACCACTGACATGGCCATGGCCATATTACGGATGAAGCCGAAGGTTGCAGTCGCGGCAGCGGTTTCATCCTGGGGTACATTGCTCTGCAGAGCAAGGAGAGGAGGGAAGAAAAGCAAACCACATCCTGCGCCTGCGACTACTTGGTAGCAGATGATCTTTGCAAGGGGTGACATAGCGCCGAAATCGATGAATAGACCGCTCCCCAGGAGTACGAGTGCGGTTCCGGTCCACACGATTTCGAGATAATGGCCGGTGCGGTGGATGATGATTCCGGCCGCAAGACTCAAGGCGGCTTCGGATAAGACAAATGGGAGAATTAGAAGGCCCGAGTGGAAAGGAGACGCTTCCTTGGCCGACTGGAAGAATAACGGGAGGTAATATTCTTGTCCGAGAAAAGCCTGTGGATCGTTAGAAGCATCCTATGTCTGTCTATGAGTGATGATTGGAGACTCACAAAGCCATGTGTGAACGCCACAATAAAGCAGGCAACATTAGAACGGCTTTTGAATACACCAAGCGGCATCAGCGGATACTTGGCCAGACGTTTTTCACTGTAAATAAAGATAAGTGACATCAGGCAGCCAAAAACAATGAGACAAATCACTTTCGGCGAATTCCAAGGGAAGGTATCTCCTCCGAAGTCAAGGCCCAGCAGAACCATAACCGCCAGCCCGAGAATAGAGAAGCTACCGAACCAATCGACTGCTTTGATGCCATCTATAACTCCGGTCTTTGGGTTGTGTACATCTAGGAATAACAGGAGAAGTACAAAGGCTGTTCCACAAACAGGCAGATTGATCCAGAAGATCCACCTCCAGGAAACTGACTGGGTGAAGGCACCGCCAACAATGGGGCCTAACGCTCCGGCAATTGCCCAGATAAACTCAATGAGGCCCAAGAAAAGGCTGCGGAGTCTGTGATCCGTCAGTCCCAAATGCAATATAAGCCTTCGAATGAAAATTATTACCGGACACTAAAGAGGTCGGAGATAGTGATAGTAATTAGCTGGATGAGCCCACCTCCTGCGATACCTTGTACACCACGTCCTGCAATCAGCATAGGCATGTTGATAGCTTTGGCACAGATAATCGATGCTCCAAAGAACAAGGCTACAGCCAACAGAAGAATCGGCTTGCGTCCCCAGATATCGGACAGGTTTGCCCAGATGTTAGAGCTGGCCGCATTAGCAATTAGGTATGCACCACCAATCCATACATAGCCTCTGCCTGAATGCAGCTCTGCGGAGATAGTTGGGGTTGCTGTTGCCACAATGGTCTGATCAAGAGCGGAGATGAAGAGACTGAGCTAGATTCAGCGTCAGTTAACAGGGTGTAAATTTATACCTTCGGAGATATCAAGTGCAGAGGAGCAACTTACTGAAAGAGCAAGCATGATGGCGACGATCCTCCAATTGCTGCGAGATTCGCCCTCAGCCGCGTCCGCCTCGCGTGGCTCATCCTGTGTTGACGAGGGTAGTTGACTCATTTCAAATACAGTATTGCTCAGGTTGGGTGCATTTCCATTGTAGGGTTCGGAGATAGCTGTTTCTACTTCATGATGACCGGACCCATCTGCGAGATCACCGCTAGACGGAGACAGTGCCATTACGCAGACTAAGCAAAGAGAAAAATTATTAAACTATGCAGAGAGTCCTCCTTTGGAATAAGAGAGAGAGAGAGAGACTGACTGAATATAGAATCGCCTTCGCTGACCGATAGATCGGAACTAACTCATGTTTGTCTTGTTTGTCGCCATTTCTTTTTTTTCTTTCTTTTCTTGTCCCGCAACCTGAATGGGCTCTGATTGGTCCGGAAGGTGACATGTCATAAGCCACCAATCGCGTTTACTCGTTCTATCATATATGATCCATGATAGTACTTAGTGCAGTACCTTACATATACTACCTGCTATTAAATAGAAGGAGAAAACAGTGATATTGAAAACAGAACTTAATATGGACGAAGATCTTCGACAATTTGATATAGCACTGCAACTCTATTTATCTGATATCATAAAATCCTTGGTATAACATGTCTATCCTCCCTATATGTACCCCGAAAGAAGAAATCAAAAGAAAAAGATTAAATACTTTCCGTGACGCTCAAAATGATGGGGCCGAGACCAACTGGAAAGGTCTAAATTGGCTCATCCCGCGGCTCAACAAGGACTTCATTCACCGAGACATGTTCGGGCTGACGCAGGGCGTACACGATCGAATTCGCGATATCTTCTGGATCGAGGATCTTAGCTCCGGATGGCTCTCCGTACTTCTTCACAGCCTCTGTGTCCGTGGACATATTTAGAAGGGGCGTAGACGTGTTGCCGGGTTGAATACTGGTCACGCGCAAGCCGGTGCCCGCTGTTTCCAGCCGCAGGGACTGGAGCGTGGCCTCAACGAAGAACTTGCTGGCGGAGTAGACGCCAAGACCAGGGAAGACCTTGCGGCCAGCATCAGAAGAGATGGCAACAATATGGCCGCGGCTCCGTGAGAGCATGCCCGGTACAGTGGCAGACAGGCAGTGCAAGAGACCCTTGCAATTGACGTCGACCGTGCGTTCCCACTCATCGGTCTTCACATTCGCCATCATGGTAAAGTACATGACGCCAGCACACGAAACCAGGATGTCAACGGGACCCAGCTCCTCACTCGCCGCACGAAGAAGGGCTTCGACTTGCTCACGGTTCGTGACATCGGTCGGGTGTGCGATCACCTTCACTCCGTGAGCTGTGATACGACCCTTGACCGATTCGAGTGCGTCCACGCGCCGGGCGGCCAGGGCGACGTTGCAGCCTTCTCGAGCCAGAGCCACGGCCACCGCAGCGCCAATGCCAGAAGATGCACCGGTAACCACGGCCACTTTCCCGCTGAGCGGACCTCTAGGCTTTGGTGAGCCCGCCAGAGCATGTTGCCGGGAGGGAGGCCGGGTCAGCCAGCCTCGGGCGAACCAATGACGTGTGTAGGTTTCGAGTAAAGCCCGGCCCACCTGGGGCCGTTCAAGGTCTGCCAAGAACGGCTGGGTCGCGGCGTTATCGAGCACAACGATGCCCCGGAGGAAGTCAACGGTGGGCATGCCACTACGGAGGATATCGACCGTGAATGCGCCGTCGCCGCCTTTCACGGGGCCTCTTTTTTGAGTCCACATGCCCACCCACTCATCCCAGCCAAGGGGTTGGGTGGGATACCCAAGCTCGCGAAGCGCCTCGAAGACGGAGTTCATGCTGAGCGGATTCGGGTCACCCAGGTGGAAGACCGTTTGGTCAGCCTGATTCTGAGTGGCTAGGTGGACAATGGCCTTGCTGACGAAGTCCACTGGGGTCATTTCCGCGCGCCACCCGTCCACGTTAGGGGCATATCCGAGATGAATTGACTCGACAATTAGGGCCGTGAGAAGGTCCCATGCGTTGGCAGCACCAGTCGAGCTATGGCCACTGATGGTGCCGGCTCGGTGGATTTTCACCGGCAGCCCGCGACGACCGGCCTCGAGGACGAGCTGCTCAGCTACCCACTTCGTCTGCCCATACCCATCCAGCAGCTTCTCCGGAACTTGTTCCACGTCCAAGAGGGCATCCTCCGGCCAGCCAGTCTCTCCCGAGGAAGGCAACACTCCGTTCGTGGAGACGTATTGCACGGTCGCGCCTCCCCTACAAGCCAGGCGGAGCACTTCTCGGGTGCCACCGACATTCGGGCCGCGCAACGCCGCGTATGGGTATACCAGGTTCACAGTCGCCGCCGCGTGGACAATGACTTGGACGCGGCTTGCGAGCTCGTCGAAAGTATTTGGGGACAGGCCAAAACGAGTTCGCGAAAGGTTGCCCGGGAGAATCTCGACCCGTTCCATAATTGAGTCGCGCCACAATCCCAAATCCAAGAGGTTCCGGCGGATACGTGCAATACCACCGGGCTGGTCATCATTGGCGGGTTCGTTGAACCGCACCAAGCATATGATACGAGCTGACGTGTGCTCCACCAGGTCATGAAGCAAAAATGCTCCCAAGAAGCCGGTCACACCAGTCAACAGCACGGTATCCGCGGTGTTGATGGAGGAAGCCGTAACCTTGTAGGGTGTAATATCATCATCCAAGGTAGAGTCGGCCCGTAAGACGGCCGGGAGATCTGCTTGTACAGCAGCAGTGTGCCCATCCCTGATCGCCCGGACGGTTTCCAAATGGCCTGTTAGGGTGGTGTTCTCGGCGAGACGGGTGATAGGAACGCGGAAGCCGAAATGTCTAGATAGCCTGGAGGATAAATCGGCCAGAGACAAGGAGTGTCCACCGAGATCAAAGAAGTTATCACTAGGCTTTAAAAGCGTGCGTGACGTTTTCAGGACAGCTGCCCAGATGGACGCCACCTCATCCAGGCTAATCGAGTCTTTTACCGGCTGGTTCCCTCCATTGACCAACTTGGGACTCTGGGGTGGCGGCAGGTTCTTGAGGTCGACTTTACCCGTGACTTCGTGGGTCGGCAAATCCTCCAACTCCACCCATAGAGCAGGAATCATATAATGTGCCAAGTGAGGAGCCAGAGTGCGACGTGCCGCCGGGCTGTGCCCGGAATCATTGATCTCCACCTTGGGGCGATCGGCAGACTTCTCATGTTCGGGCACAATATACGCCACCAACTGTCGTTCCAAGCCTTCCCCGTAGGCCACCACCGCGCAACGGGAGACCGCCAAATGGGTCACGATTTCATATTCAACTTTAGCCGGCACCACGGAATACCCACGCAGCTTGATCATCGCCCCAACACGCCCCGTAATTTCAAGAAGGCCTGACGGGAGCAGTCGCGCAATATCTCCCGTCCGGTACAAGCGCGAGTCGGTATTAGAATCGAAGGGATTCGTGACGAACGCCTTGGCCGTTGTCTCTGGAAGATTAAGGTATCCGCGGGCGAGTTGAGGACCTGCCAAAAAGAGCTCTCCACTCATGCCAACGTCGACCTTTTGCAGTGACTCGTCCAGGACGTACGTATTCTCTGGGTCAATCGGTGGTCCCACGGGACAATACAATGCTTCGCCGTCAATCTGCTGCAGCATCTCCCGAATATCCCCGCAGGCGATCTCATGGGTTTCACATGCGCTATAGCAATTCAGCAGCCGCGTTTGGGGGAAAGCATTGCCCGCCCGACGGGCTAGATCAGTCGTTACCACCTCGCCATTGAACCACAAGGTTCGCAAATCAGGCAACCGGTCGCCAACGTGGGGGTGACGAGCGAGAACCGTGGCCAAGAGGGTGGGCGTCATCAGCGTTTCCGTGACTTTCTTGGCCGCCAGCAGGTCAACGAGCGCCGCCGGGTCATAACTAACATCATCCGGTACAGCGACCACCGTCGCTCCGCGCAGAAGAGGGCGCAAAATTTCCCAAACAAAGAAGACATTGCAAGCAACCCGATCTCCCGGTTGGAGGTCCGATATCCCGAATCTCAGATTATAGGAGAGAACGGCAGCCCGGTGGGGGTTTGCGATACCTTTAGGCTTGCCTGTCGTCCCCGACGAATATGACACAAATGCCAGTCGATCCAAGTCGTCATCTGCCGGAAGTGGGGATGGCTCTGCCACATGCCCATTGGCCTTTGGCGCTGGCTCATCCTGAATGATGACGGGGACGCTGGCTTTGATCTTGCCAACCTCTGCCCGATTTGTGATGACGACCGTTGGCTTTCCATCCTCGATCACATCGGCCAAGAGACCGGGCGGATAAGCCAGCTCCAGAACTAGGAATGCACCGCCAGCCCGAAGGGCAGCGAGGCAGGCAACCACATAGTCCGCACTGCGCGGTAGTAGGACCCCCACGAGGCTGTCACGACCAACCCCGTAGCCACGCAGGCGACGAGTCAAGGCCTCCACCTCTTGATCTAGTTCGGTATATGTGTATGTAATTTTGTCATCTTCTAGTGCCACGGCATCAGGAGTCGCCTGGACCTGTTGTGTGAAGAGAGCGGAGAGATCTTTGGCGGTATCAATGATCGACATGGTACCGTTACCCAAGGTAAAGAGGAATTGAGGAGGAGGGGGGGAGGAGGAGAAAGTAGAAGGAGAAGGAGAAAGCGAGTGGGTTATTCACGACATGCAATGGTTGAGGAAGAGAGGGTATTTAAGGGGAGGGTGGGTGTTTAACTATTAGAGGCCAAAGAGAATTGTTTGTTAGTCAGGGATACTCCTAACCATTGATGAGAGGAATGGAAGGGAATAAATAAGGACGAGTCACCTGCAGTTGCCTTTTCTTCTCGGGTCTAGAGAATTCTTTGGAAAACAAGGACGGGCGACATTTTGGGCCATGGTCATTGAGACCAATGACTTTAGCGTGAGAGAGGAGAGTGGGGGGGGGGGCGTATATTATTATTGCTATTGACATTGAAACGAATATGATTTATGGTCGAAGATGCTAAGCTTAGAACGGGGTTCTTATACCCAGATAGGTTAGACAAACCCAACACACGTTGTCAAGCTTGCAAAAAAGACCAGGACAGACCTCATCGATCGGGGGCCATTCCTTTCCCATCTCTAGTGCCAACTATAACTTAAAGAGGGCTGGTTACCGGAAAAGGGGAATTACCCTTCTTAGATCAACATCTCGATCTTTGTATCTCTATCTTTATATTTACATAATTATATACATTTATCTAGATAAAATAAATATCACTTAATAACTTTCCCACCCACCTTTTCCCCCATACTCCACTCTCTCCTTCTGGGGCTCTTTCTCCTTTCCCGATCCCCGTGACCCACTTTCACATGCATTATAGACATTCGCCTCTGATGCCTCTTGTCCAAATCGGTTCAATTCCTCTCAACACTTTTCGCTCTGTGGAACAGCTTCGAAAAGAACAAGAGTAGCTGTATGATTGACAATGTGATTGGCTGTGATGATACATTAGTCCCTGTACTACTACTTTACCGGGGCTCAGAAACACTACCCAATTACAGGGCCACCTGCATATCTACGTGTATATATATATATATATATATATATATTATTACGCGACGACTACTATCATAGGAGACATCGATGCATAGGGATTCGATCCAGCCTGGGTGAGATTATCTTCATGTTCTCAGGGAACACTTGTATATAGGACGCGTTGACTTCAAAATTGTCTATCTGTTCATATCAAAATTAGTGGGCCAAAGAGTACATTAGACAGAGGAAATTGATAAGACATTCAGGCCTTATCGCACGTGACGTAGCACGGCCCCTCTCCTCTTTGGGATCGCGGTGTCGCGTGCCGCATGTTGCATGCCGCAGATCACGTGTGTGTTTGCTTGGTTTGATGTTGTATCACGTGTTAATACTAGTGTCCGGTGCTGACCAGAACGAGAACCCCATAGCTGGACACCGCTGCACAGGCGACGGCTGCTGTGCTACTGGAGGGCTGAGATCGTAGGCGTCCAAGGTGTGTCCGCTGAGAGATGAGGGTGTAACGCCTGTCAGGGAGGACTTGTGCGGGTATGTCTCCCCCAGTTTGATTGGGAATGCGGTGTAGAGCTAGAGGGGCGAGTGCTTCATCTTTCCGGTGGGGCTTCGTGTCTCGGGTGTCAGGGCCAAAATATATACAGATGAGCCGCGATAATAGTGGCGCAGGTCGTTCATTGATGAATTAGCCCCTGGCCGGTATTCGGGGATGTTTCACTCCTGACTGGTTGGTGTTGGTTAATAAGTTAGTAGTTCGTTGTGTTGACCATGTCGGAACTGGATTGATATAGAGGATGGGGATCGTGGGTGGAAAACTCAATGAGAGGCTCAAAAGGAAAAGGAGGGGTATCGTATTGTATCCCTGTGTAATCCATGCCACTAGCGATATCAATCACCACCAAGGACCCAACAAGGAACAAAAAGAGAAAAAAAAAAAATAAAAATAAAAAAATAAAAAAAAAAAGAGAAGCGGTCGTTAATATATAGAGGTCGTATAGTCCTATAAATACAAAGGCAAGACATCAAAAATCCCTCCGGAAGCCGCCACCGACAGGGCGAGGAAGAACATGCGAAGGTATCATTCGGCTATTCTGGCGACTCGAGGTCACTAGTAGACGGAGCGGCCATATCACGCACTACCGCGAGAACGGAAAAACAAAACAAAACCATATACCAGACAACTATGCAAGATATAATCCTGTATCATATCACCAGAGCGCCCCACAAGACGAGGAATAAAATCCGATATAATAGTGAAAAGCACATCCACGATGCGGAGAAGATATCAAACGAGGAAAAGGAGAGACGGAGACGAAAACAAAACCAGATCCCACAACCCCCGAATCCTGACCCCCACGTGTAAATAGTAGAAGGGAATAAGATAAAACAAGCATGTCCTCCGTGATAAATAAATAAATAAAGTGACCCCATACTGGTGTCGTTACACTTTTGGCCATCTATTTCGCTGGACCCCTTCAGACGTCGATGGCGTTTTCGGATGGCCGCCAAAGGACACATTACCCAGCAGACACTTCACTTCCGCCCCATGGAGATGACCTGCCAGCAGTCACCACTGCTTTACCGGTCATCGTCGGCATGGCTGCCATCCCAATGATGCCTATATCCAAAAGAATGAACCATCTATCATAACCTATAAGCCCGTACGCAGGCAATTTACAGACTGGTGTGGCCGTCGGGGCACCAGTACCATATATCGACCCGAGATCAACCCCACGACGAGAGTTCGCTATAAAGATACCCGGTCATGGGAAAGGCAGCCTAGCGGCGTTGGGTGTTGCGCTGCAACTGTTCCCCGATCCGCAGAGCTTCGGTGCCATCATCCACGAGTGATTCTTTGAACCATGGGTGCTTCAGAGCCTCCTTGGCGGAGATCCGATTCTTGGGGTCATAAACGAAAATGCGCTGGAGAAGATCCAGGAACAAACGGTGGAACTTGGTAGTGGTGGGAATAAAATCCTGCGAGAATTAGCACAGATCCCGCAAGCGAGCTAGATGACCAAGGACATACAGTCAATTGTTTCATCGCCCTCACGTACTTCCGTGAGGCACGAGTAGTTTCGTCGTTAGGGTAATCGAGCTTGTTGCGATTGAAGTATCTAGGGTTAATTAGCACTTTCCTAGCAATTGGTGTGGTGACAACAGAACATACTTAGATGACTGGTTCTGGCTCCCACTCCGACCGCCTTGCATCACTTGTCTCACGAGTCGAGTATCAATCCGGTCGCCTATTACGGCCTCCATCATGGCAAGGTGTTCTAGATTATCATGGGTCTGGAAAAGAGCATCACCGGTGAAGAACTCAACCAGTATACATCCGATACTCCATATATCGCACGGGAAACTCCAGCCGAGATTCAAGATAATCTCAGGCGCCCGGTAATGTCTGGTGGAGACGACAGAGGAGTGATATTCGTCATCAAAGGTGGCGGATCCAAAATCAATCAGACGAATCTCGCTATCCAACAGGACACGCCTTTGACGCGCGCTGCGGGAGATTGCGTGTGACGATGATGGGATCGTGCGATTGTACGTGAATGTTTGATATGCATTACTAACAAGGAGAATATTTTCGGGCTTTAGGTCAGTGTGAATGAGGTTCAGATCATGAAGAACTGTGAGGGATCAGTATCGAATTACCAACATCATGGGAAATGGAAGAACTTACACGCCACGCTGGTAAAAAGCTGACGAGCAAAGTTTTGGATTTGGCTGCTGGGAAATGGAACGAAGCCGTTGCCCTTCAGAAAGTCAAATACACTTTGCCCAAGCAAATCGGTGACGATGCATATGTGGTTCCTATAGTCAAAGCAATCGCGCAGATGGATACATTTGTTCCGATTTTGTCTGTCATTCGAAGCCAAAGTGGACAGCACTCGAAGCTCAATCCGTGACGCGTCACGATACTTTTGAATGGAACGAATGATCTTGACTGCACAGCGAGTCTTCCGCTGCTTATCATACGCTTCAACCACCTTCCCAAATGTCCCCTGTCCAAGGAGCTTGATGATTGAATCTTGGAGAGTCAGTCTAATAAGTACCATAGATTGACCACGGGCGCGACTTACATCGGTCTGTTAACGGGGTATCTGACGTTACAACATAATGGCCATCATCGTCATCAAACTTTTCTCCTCGGTTTGCGTACTATAGTGTGTGAGACACTGCGGGTACCTAGAACAGAGAGAGAGAAAAAAAAAAAAGGGGGGGGTGAGGAAGGAGTGCAAGCTACTTACATCCCGGACTACAGGCACTGGAACATCTTTCGCCTTGATGATCGGCTTGGGAGGTGGGATGTAATTCAAGAACGCATCGCCGGCATTCTCCAACTCTCGCCGTTTCTGCTCATCTCGAACAGATTTTCGGGTGGTCACCCGTTTCCGTTTTTGGCCAATATTGGCATCCTCGTAGTAAACACCATTGCTCGCACCAGAGCTTCCCTGCGAGAGCGAGGTCGGCGCCGTTGTTTGCAACGACGTCGTCCGATCCGTTGAAATCGAGGTAGCCGACGAATCTTCTCCATAATGCTGAGGATTGATCGAAAATGATGGACGATCATAATATCCTACATCGTATGCTGTCTCGACTCCGGTGCGCCGCTTCTTTCCCGCGGGCTGAGGCAAATTGCCGCTGGGGGCCGCCGTCACAGTGGATGTCGTCGCGAAACTGCGAGAGGAGCCGCCGTTGGACTGCTCCGGCGGCGGGGTATCATCGATGACGATGACTTCCTTGGGGATGCCGTTCTTGTAGAATTCGCCCCAATCTGGCTTTTTCCTCCTTCCGGACTGCGTTGGGGCAGTGCTCGCGCTGATACCATTGTGGGTCGGGGCCATGGTTGCCGTGGTTGTCGGCGTGGGAGCCGCCGAGACGATCTTTGGAGATTGCGTGAACGGCAAGGAGGCCGTTGCCGGATTGACGGCGTAGGGATAAGTGGTGGCGAGGCGAGAGGTGGCCGCAGCGGACGTGGTCGGATACGAAGGGTTCGGTTGGTAGGGCGGGTGGTGAGGGTATCCGTAGTGTTGCTGGTGATGCGTAGGATGTGTCGCGGTGGCGGTGGAGGGAGTCGACATGATGAGGAGAGAAATCCAGCCGGTCGTCCGAACGGCGGATGCTGGCGAGGGGAGGGAAGGGTTATGGAGAGAGGACGAGGTTTAACACCGTCGGATCGCAGTAGACCGTCGTAATCTACTTTTGGGGGGTGTGAAAAGACAGGGGACTCGAAACACCAGGTCGGAAACCCGGAGTTTCTCGTAATGAACCCAGTCGATTGAAAGACGACTAATCCGATTGACAGCGCAATAAAATGAAATAAAGCGAGTTGGCTCAAGAAGCGTAGAAAGAGAGGTGAGGCAATGGAGACAGGAGAGGAAGGGGAGAAGAGTAAGAATGGAAGTGGTTTGAGAGGCGTGGGGGATGACTTTGAGAGGCGGTCGGAGAAGAAGTAGCCTTCACAACAAGAACAAGGTATGGGAAGAAATGGAAATGGATTGGAAAAAGAGGATGATAAGAGGGAACGGTAGGATTCAGGTTTGTCTCATTTGCTTCGGTTTGACAATGGGCTGTACCATTGGCATCGAGCCTATTCGGTTTCGGTACGTAAAAAGGCAGGGGAGAGCAGGTGATAGAGTATTATTACCTGGGGGAAAAAAGAGAGGGAATGAGAATGTTGAGGCTAAATGACCCAGACCGTATAAAATAATCATAAATAATAATAAAAAAAGAAGAATAAGAATCAGGAAGGGGAAAAAAAGATATCTGAGTGATTTCTACCAGAAATTGTAAAATATAATAATAATAAAATAATAATAATACTATAATAATGTCGAGACGGAAAAAAAAATAAAAATCCAAAAAGAGAGAGAGAGACTAAGAATAAGAGAGTTGGAATATCCCTAACCAAGAACATCACACTGACTGACGATGCGATTCCAATTGAATGGCGAGTCGCCGCTCGTGGCAGAAACAGAGAGGGTTCGTCACTACGGAGTCGGGGGAGTAGTATTGGCGTTCGGTTATGACACGCACCAGTGGTTTTACCACACTGACCTGATCCAATTTAAAGTAAGTAATGTAATTTAATTCCGATTCATGAATCGGTCAGTGAAGAAGACTCAAGATCGTTATCTTCTGGCCTGGTCTCTTCCTGACCAAGCTTCTTCCCTTTTCCCTTTTTCTTTTTTTAATTATTATTATTATTATTATTATTATTATTTTAGTTTGTTCACATTATCTTTTTCTTTGAGTTATATTACGTCCTGTATAAGATAGAGAAAGAATCAAAGAATTGAACTTAGATCTGGTGTTGCCAACCTACGCACACACACAGTACACACAGCGCTATGGAGCTCATTTGCAGATCGCAAGGCTCATCAGACTCCAGCGCCCGGGGCAACCCATTAAATGATTGGAATAGCGCCGGGGAGTCTAGCCTTAACCGTCCCATCCAATTCCCCAGAAGGCCTCCTATTTTTCGCTCTTTGTAATCCCCCCCCCCCTCTCTTGACCTTGAGTACAATAGCTTTCTCAAAATAATTTTTGAAAGTGAGGCAAATCATTCTTGATCAATTAATTACTGTTACAAGAGAAACTTCAAGCATGGGGAGTATTCCAATAGCCTTTCCTCCCTTCCTCGTTAAACCATGCACAGTCGATCTGGTGTTGCCAGTGGTTGGTTGTGTGGCGACGGTCGAAAGCCGTGTGTGTATGTAGGTAGTGAGAACACCAGTTTACCTATTCAGTACCCGGCATAAGTAGATTACTCCCCTAGAGTAGGTGCATGCACCGTGTCATTCTTACTGAATGACTTTATCTTATTTTATTGATTTCTCGTCTATTCTTACACATACATGTACACATATCGGAGTGCATACATTTCAAGATTCAGACTCAGATTCAGTACATACATACATACATACATACATACATACATACATACAGCGCTAGTCCCATCTCGGGGAGTGGTGCTGTTGGAGCGATTGATTGGACAGGATTGGATGGAACCCCTCCACGCTGGCTTCGACTTCCCTTGGCTCGCTGCGAATTGATGTCATCTTCGTTCACGAATCGAAGGAGACAGTTATGGACAGTTATGATTACGAGAGGTTTTCGGAGAGGACAGAATCCAGTGAGATGTTCTCCCACATATGGTAAGGTATAGTATAGTCCGTTTCGGGACAGGGTAAAAGTCAAGTGTCATGCGGGTAGCGTGATGACGATGAGATCTACAATATGGATGGGATCTCCTGCTTGCGTGTCTGGCACGTACAGTTTCCCGAAACCTAACCTCAGTACTGGTAGAGGGCGAAGTAACACAGTAGGGACGGAGTATAAGATACCTCGAGGTACGAGTAAGGCATACGAATTAGCTACGCTGTTCCCCCCATTACTGGATGACCCTCAGTCCATGGAATGTCAGAAATCAGACAGAGTTCACATTCATCAAGTTATCTGATTTTATATTTTGTTTCTCCTCCCCCTTACCGTCAGAAAAAGGGTATAAGAAGCAAGGTAAATGTCTCCTGCAGCTCCTGCCAAAAAAAAAAAAAAAAAAAAA